TATGCTTTCTATGCAACTATAACGGATCAAACTCCATTCTATAAATAATCCAAAGCACTATTTATACATGAGCGCCTGTGACGGAGAGACGCCAGAATAGAAACAACCAGCACCCCAGCGAAACGAGCGCACGTCGTCATAGCATGCCCAACGATTTCACATCTCGTCGTCACATTTCTCCATCCTTGGACAAAGTTTACTTCTCTTTTGCAGAAAAGAGAGCTTTACAAGTGTAAATTGAGTTGACTGATCACTCCATGGTAGTGGTAGGCCGTAGGCAGACGAGAGCTGAGCTCTTCCCTCCCACTTCGGCTCTGGAAAACTCAGTACAGGCAGATGACGCCGACGAAGATCACCAAAAATCGCGCTTGATTCCATCATGCCCTTCTCTTGCAGAACTTCAGAACAGAGAGAAGAGAACGGCGAAAGGCATGCGCGGGCGGTTGCCGAGATGGGAAATAGACCCTGCCAAGCTGTGCAGGGATTCGCGGCGGTTGGGGGTATAACAGATCCTGTGGTATGGTAAATTGATTTGATTCGGGAGTTATTGCTTTGATTGGGTCTCGTCAGGTGCAGTAGCTGACTGAGAGCGATCAAGATGACGCTACAGAGTCGCCGAATACACGTCCATCGTCAAACCGTTAGCAGTACGAGAGTTCCCAAAAACTGTTGTATGGAAGGCCGTTGCAAGAATGCCCGAAAAGAAGAGGTACCGGCAAAGAAGACGAGCAACACGTGCAAGATTACTCAATGACGAGAAATGAAAAGCGATCAGAGCAGTGCTCGTTCCGAAATTTGAGTGAGTGAAGGTGATAGAGTTTGTGAGTGTCGACGACGAGGGTCCCTGCAGTGAGAGAAAAGTCCGAGAAGTCAATTACCGGGCGAGAGCAAGTGCGTTGTTTCTGCAGATGAATGGAGTGTTGGAGATACTCGTACGTACAAGAGAGATGGTGAAACGAGAGCAGGCAGAGGGCTGGAGAGCGGGAGAGAGCAGACTAGTTTTTATCATCACAGTTTCAGAGCTGAAGAGTGACAGATGGCATTTCGTTTGCTATTATTTTCCGTTGAGGGAGACACAGTTGCGAGTCTAAGTACAACGCCGATCAGTCAGACTGCCGTAATGATTACAATCAAAGAGGAGAAACGTGGCGCAGGGGGATGGGACTACACTAAAGGAAAGGGGGCTCTCGCTGAACGGTAGATCGTGGAAGTCGGTAGACTTGGATCGACTAAAATTTTAGTGAAACCTCCGTGGTAGCAATTGTATTTTTATTTTTGCACTAGCACCGTCATTATCTTTTTTCCTGTCGATGAAAAGGAGACGTCTGACGTATAGATCGGCAGTCAAGCATGATTGGGCTAGCGGCGGTCTGCAGAGTGTCGCTTCCCCTCCTCCTCTGTACGTAGTGAAATATGTCTTCGGCTTAGCAGTTTAGCGTGGAGTCAGTTCACTATCTTTGTCAAAGCCTTCACCGCCGGATATCGGACGAGAGCAGAAGCCTCTGGACAGGAAACACAAAAACCGCCTAAGCGAGACGTAGGGTGTGCAGCAAGCCAGCGCGCACGCGGTCGGTCGTGGTCGTAGGTCGGTCGGCGTCCCCAGATAATTTGGGTGGCCTGTCGGCGCTTTCTGGCAGAGCACGCGCCCTTCGCGCAGTCGAGCCAGGTTTGCTCCCAACAATTTTAAGGTTATCTTGTACATTTGCTTCCAGCTATATCAACTAGAGCAGAAGCAGAGAGGAATCTGCTTTTGCTGATTTACAATATTGATCAAAATGTTGTCTTTCGGGGGTTTTCATTTTCGTTTAGGAAAGTATGGCAGATAACGTGCGAGCGCAGCGTCGCGTGCGCCGATTGAGCACAGGGCATATTCGACGCCGACGAAGATAACGAAGGCAGCGAAACAAGTCGAATGCGTGGCCCTCCCCGGTCGTCGACCTTCCCAATCCTACACCGAGCAATGAACAGGAAAAAGAAAAAAGCCAGGCGTGCTGGGTGGGAGCCAAGCAGATGGAATGTAGGTCTAGGTCAGCCAAATCACAACGACAAACGATCAGGCAACAGCAGGCAGCAGTAGCGGCAGCGGATAACTCGTCACTCAACCCTCTGTCCTCTTGTGCTCGCAGTGTGTAGTTTCGGTTCCGCTTTGCGGTGCTGTGCTCGCCGGAAGGTAAAATGGCTGTTAGTTTTACTAGTCTTCACTAGCCGTATGCAATCACAAACATCCTATTTGGTTCGTGGACTAAGTCGCGAGTTGCCGTTAAATCTCTCTTTGCTTGTCTTTCGATTCTAATTTATTGTCTAGCTTTCTAATTAATCTTATTCATGTTATTTATCACTTTTCAAGATCTCTTATTATTATTCATTTGATATCGCATTTGTTGTTATCCTACCATTCTATACGTCCAAAGGGAGAATAATTGGCTGAGCGCAGCCATGCAGGAATTACACGATGACGCTAGGCCGAAAAGCGGAATTGACGCTCTCGTTTATCGACTAGAGCGGCTGCAATTTAATTTTAGTGTTTTATATCGAGAAACCCTAGCAAAGGGACTCTACACAAAGAGCGCGAGGCAGACTAGATCAGAACACAATAGAAACAAAAAAAAAAGAAGTACGGCTGCACTAAACAGCAGGGTGGATGGCCCTCTGTACTATTGCGCACCTCTACAGACGTTGCAACGGCAGCCGCAACAGGCAGACAGGACCAGGACAGACGAGGCAAACTAGCTGCGCGAATGCAGGTGGACAAAGCATATCTCGGTGCTCAATTGAGTGTCTACTCGTATTCGATGCATGCCAGCCTGGCGCGGTTGCCAGAAGTAGTCGCCTAGAGGCAGATATAGGCTTCAGAACTCAAACCGCATAGCTAAAGCGCTAAAGCGCCAAAGCGCTAAAGCCAAGTCAGACCGGCGCAGTCCAGCCCGGCGGATCACAGCGAGAGCGGGAGCGAGGCAGGTCTAGGGCCAGCGCAAACCCTTGCTGCAAATGGCAAAGGGCAAAAAAGTAAAAGCTCTGGTTGCAGTAGTAGGTCGTTAAGCCCGATTTCTTGCATGATGCGTGCATGACGTGCGCGATAGGGGCTGCAACGGCTGCGAGCGAGGAGAGAGCTAGAGAGACAGTGGCAGAGATAGAGATAGAGCAGAGCGCAGAGGACGAGGAGGGCGCGGAACAGGAGCGAGGAACTGTGCTTCTCGCGTCGCATGTATGAAGCATTATCGTGGGCGTCCTGCACGTTGTATGCAGGATTTTCAAGATTACCGCCTGGCTGATATTAATGTATTACCGCCTGGCTGATATTAAGAGGTTATCGTCCTACTTTCCTCGCTCTTCCCTCTCTGGTTTATTCTTTTCCTTTATTTCGCTCAACGGTATCTGCCTGCTCTTTTCTTTCTTTTCTTTGTAACCCGTTTCTTTTTTTCCTCGCTGTTTCACTTTGTTATTGTTTTGCTTTCTGCTCCCGCGCACGCGCACTCGCAAGCCAAACAAACACGCCCGCTCACACTCACACGGACTCACACGCTCGTCGCACGATCTGCAGCAGGCGATCGCTTGTCGGGATATCCGGATTCGGAATCTTGGATACACCTCGCTGACTGTGCGGTGTGCCACTCACCAGACCCTGCGCGTTGCTTCTAGTGTTTACCGTAGAATGCGTCATAATACACCGACGCGCTCGCTCGCCATCTAGGCGAGTTCAGAGAAGAGCGCGGCGTGGCTCGGGGATATAGTTGATCGGAAACCCCGGCTGGACGTTAAACTACCATCACATCGACAAGACAAATGAATATAAAATTATATAACGGACTAAAACCTAGGACGCGATGAGCAAAAGGAGAGTGATAGAAAATAATTAGAAAATCAGGCAAACTAACTAAACGGAATCCCAAAGCTCAGGGCAGAAAAAAGAACAAGCGCGCTCCGACCCCGTATGCACATCGGCCAGACAGAAAAGGGACAATGTCTCAAATGTACCGCAGGTTTGAATAATCACCGCGGAGCAGGCTGTTTCAAGTGGTTTTTGTTCTGGTTGAAGAGAAGGACGCGGTGAATTCCGTAGCGCGCTCGGGAAGAGGGGAACCTGCGCAGGTGAACCCAACCAGAGCAGTTAGGTTTGCTAATTAGATGGACCACTATATAAACCAAATGGCACAGTTAGGACACACCCTCGGGTGAGCAGGTAGGGAGGTGAGTGAGTGAGTCTGTATAGATTGACAGACTATATCAAAAGTAGTTTTTAATAAATTGCCTTCTATCTACTATGGCGTATCTATTAATCGTCTGAACTCGACAGAAGGTTAGCTTATTAAATCATCGATATTGCATCCTTCCCGAGGGCCCGTCGTCCGACTTGATCGCGCTCGCGGCAGTCGCACTTCGTAGAATATACAGACATTCTGTCTGTCTTTCTACTTGCAGAATGCGGCAGTGTATCAAGGAAAAAACAAGTTGCTGGGTGAGTCGTCTGCGCGATGTACGTCACCGGTCGCCGGAGATTAGCAGGACATCGCGATGAAGACATGCCGGCGAGTGACAGACGCGAGACCGCGGGCTATGGAAAAACTGACAGGCCTCAAAGCCCGGAGGTAGTCATGGCCCTCCGTCAGCACTGCCCGGCTCTGGATCGGATTCGATCGGATTCGATGCGAGCGGGCAGCCAAGCTACTTGGTTGTTCTTATTTTTGTTTGCGGCAAAGTTTGACTTTAGGTAGAATATAGAGACAGTTAGGATACTACGTCGTAAGAGGGATCTGAGGACCAAGAAGCAAACAGACACTGGCCGGTTTTGCCAGCGCGCGTCCCGCGCGTCCCGCTCGGCCCGAGGTTGAGAGCAGGAGTAGTTAGCGACCCTATAACCAAACTCACTTTGCGCGCGCGCGTGCGCTTTAGGCCCCTCGCGAGGTGCCGAGAGAAGCGAGAGCGAACCCGGAACCGGAGGAGAGCGGGTAAACACGAGAGGGTTGTCGAGAAGCAGACGAGGAGCGCGACATCGCGGAAGGCCGCCGCGTCGGACAGGTGCGCGGTGCGGTGTGCAGTGCGCAGGGAGCGAGGGCGGCGAGCAAATTCGGAAAACCTCGGATGTCGACCGCGAATTGCCAAGGACGTGTTTTCGTGTTTCTGTGTTTCTGAGTCTGATTCTCGACTGTGTCTGCGGGTGAAGAAGGATCGAGCACCAACGGCGAAGAAAAAAAACCCGCCGGTGGGAGGTGGCAGGACCTTGGACGCTACACGACTAATTGCTGACATAACCGTGCAGCTGCAGTGTGCTGATCGTCGTTTGCGCGCGATGTCGCACGCTCGAGTCGAGTCGCCGTACCTCTCGCTGAGGTACGCCGGGCGCATGACAAGTGAGCTAAGGTTTGGCAGTGGCGGTGCGATGTTGTGGCTGCAGCTTGGGCCTGGGGCTGAGCGATCAGGCAGAAAAACTCGAGGCGCGTGCCCCGGACTCTGGCTTTGCTTTTTGGCGTGTTCTCAGTTCAATCGAACTTATACCGCTCCCTCTGCTCTTCTTCCTCCTCTGCTCCCTCTGCTTCTTTCTTTCCTTTGTTTCCCCTCCTCTGTCTCTTTTCCTCGCCTCCTTCGCTCCCTCCCCGTCCGCCGCAGTCCTCCCGCCCTCCTCCCGTCTGCCTTCGCCATGGCTCGATTCCCAGCAGGCGCTTTCCCCGGGCACCCTGCCACCAGCCGTGGGCTCCTCGCGCGAGCCTTCTCAGACGACGTTTTGGACTCGACCGTCGGTCTCTCAAACACCTCCGCGCCATCCTCCGCCGCCACCTCCACCCTGACCACGACCTCCTCTCGACGCACCTCTGCCTCGCGCCGGCCATCGCTCGCATCCTCCCGCTCTGCGCCTGAAGTGCCCGGCGCTCCTCTCACCGCAGCGCAGGCTGCCGCGGCCGCCACCGCGGGCGTTATCGCGATCAAGAATGCTGCGGGCAAGTTTCAGTGCCAGCTCTGCTCGAGCTCGTATCTACATGCGAAGCATCTCAAGCGACATATGCTACGACGTAAGCGTCTTTCTGTGTTTTAAAATGGGCTCGTTGGAGAAAGATCATGAGACTAACGCTATAGCAGACACCGGCGACCGACCGTACAAGTGCACTTTTTGCACCGATTGCTTCTGCCGCAGTGATATTCTCAAGCGACATTTGGACAAGTGCAAGAACCGACATGGCGCTCGAGGTCCGAGCCGTACGTCTGCGAGCTCGGCAGCCGGCAAAGCCAGCAGCAGTCGGGCGACCGCCACCGCTCAGTCGTCGACGTCAGCCCCTACGAGCAACAGCAACCGAAGCAATAGCAACAGCAACAGCAGTACGAGCGGAAGCACTTTTAGCAGCAACAGCCAACGGGCGAATTCGTCGGGAAGTGTAAGCAGCGTCAGCAGTTCAACGGCGACGGCGATGTTTGCTGCCGGATCACCATCAGCGCCTTCGACGCCGGCGACACCGCTGACGCCGGTTGCGTTCTACCCGATCAAGAGCGATATGAGGACTGATGATTCGCAGGATAATTTGGCGTCGTCGTACTTTGACGATCGGCATTTGTTGATCGGGGGCGGTCCTGAGGGACAACTGCTGTCGGAGAACAATATGTACTTTGATCTCGCCTCGCATAATTTGATGCAACAACAGCAGCAGCAGCAGCAGCAGCAGCAGCAGCAACCTCAACATCAGCAACATCAGCAACAGCAGCATGCGCAAGCGATGGTGATGCAGGACCAGGCGTTTGAATATGCGGGATTTATGACGCCTTACTATGATGATGGAAGCATGCACTCGGCGTCGATGTCGAATGCGAGCTCGCCGGGTTCGATATCGCCAATGTCTGTGCCGAATCATCTGCCGACGCAGTTCCAGGAGGCGAGCAGCTCGCAGAACTCGTTTTTCAGTATGGCACCGCAGCAGCCTAATCCGCACTTTTACGATTTGCATGAGCATCAGAGCACATTGCAACGCCGGTCGTTTTCCGAGCAGCAGCAGCAACAGCAGCAGCAGCAGCAACAACAACAACAACAACAACAACAACACTTACAACAGCAACAACAATTACAACAGCAACTGAAGCAACAAGCATACCAACTACAGCATCACGTATTCCAGGCGGCGCACGATGTGAGTCAAGGTCAACAGCAGACAACACAGGGCGAGTCGAATATCTACGAATGGGATTACGATGAGCCTCATTCAGCAGCGGTGGCGGCGTTTAACCAGCTGCAGCATCCTTCGTCACTCTCACCACCGTCGACGGCGCAGTTTGTTGGGAACGATCTTTTGCTGCTGCAGGGGATCCATCCGGTGCTGAATTAGTGCTAGCAGTGCTGATCGGTGTTGATTCATTGCTAAAACAAGGAGAGGAGAAAAGAGAAAAGGAAGAGAAGGGAAAAGAAAGAAAAAGAGGAGAGAAAAAGTTTTCTCTATGGCGGGTGTACAAAGAACAAGATTTGATTTGGGACATTTTTATTTATTGGCAGGGATTATTTATATTTATTTATTATGTTATTGGATTAGTCGACGGCGCGTTCGATTCGGTTAAGAGCAGAAATGTGAAACTGAGAGAGTGAGCGGCTCAGGTACTCTGGTAATTATTTATGTATTAATTGTTTGATGTTTGTGGCGCGATTCCTGATGATTTGTTTGATTTGTATAACTAGTCTTTCGGTGTTTTGAGCGCGTTTGCTTGTTTTGAGCTGTATATATGTTGTGTATTTTGGTGTTATCGACGAAAAGTGTAATATATTAATACGATCATGTATTTTCTATATCTTAGAAGAGAGAGATGGAGAGAGAGCAGAAGAGAAGAGCAGAGCAGAGCAGAGCAGAAGAGAAGAGAAGAGAAAGAAAGAAGAAAAAGGCGATAGCGAAAAGCGAAAGTGCGAGAAGAACCAAAACAGCGGATCAGAGCCGTTGCCGCAAATCGCGCACATGTGAGCAGAGACAAGAAGGAAAGAAGAGGAAGATTACAGTTCGAGGCTAGTAACTGTTGATTAGTTGGTGGATGTAGTTTTAGTTGAGTAGCGGTTAGTGATTGATTGCTAGCGATTAGTGAAGATGATCGAGTATGGCTGATCGAGCAGGATTAGTGTTAGAAAAGGAGACTAGGAGGGTGTGTAGGTTTACTAGCTCTGCTTTTAGCTGGCGATTTGATTTCATTCTTGCTTCGTGTGCTGGTGTTTGTCTGGTTTGCTTTGCTGTGTTATTATCTTCTTTTCTCTGAATGGTTATCATCTAGATTGACTGATCAAGTATCAGTAAAGCGAATGAACAACAACAACATCAAACAAGCAGAAAGAAAAGCGAGGGAATCACCACAGCCGAGAATCGAGAAGGGTGGCTCCAAACGCCCGGGAACACAAGATTTCATTTCTCTGCCCTTCCTCTTCTTATCCCCTCGCTGCTCTGCTCTCATATCCTGCTTTGCTCTCATATTCAGTCTTTTCAAGTGGCATCTTCCAGCATCTACTGTATGAACTGTGCTTACTGCTTCTTCCTTGCTGAAAACAGCTTGTTCATATTCAGTCTAGAACTCAGGGCGACACCCGCCGATCACGACCATTCAAACCAAATCTACTCTGCGCTCACCCCGCCCGCTCGACTGCCCCGCCTGACCAGCAAACACCCAACTCCAGCAACAATAACCACCACATCGTAGACCCTCATATCCAACAATCAATAGCAATAACATAAATCATCGTAAAAATTCCAACAGCTCTCAGCGCTAGCCTCGATCGATTCGAAATCTGCCGACGTCACCACGCGTTCGAGCGCGCGCTCGCTCGCTCGCGTCCAACTCCTCCGCTCGAGCTCTCTGCCCCGCACTCGTCCGTCCCACGTCCTTGATCCTTTATTACCTACCCTCTCCTCTCCTCTCCTCTCCCTCCACGGCTATGAGCTGAATGCGTGCTGCCTACTGAGAGCGATGGCCACTCTCGTCCGCTCATGCCCACGCTCAAAGCTCTCCCCGCAGAACCCGGACGGTGCCGCCTCTGAGCACACGCCGCCGTCGCCGCTCCGCATCTCCTCCCCCGCACTTCCTCTCCCTCTCGCGCTCGCCCACCCACCGCCGGCGTCTCCAACCCTGTCCTTTTCTTCATCCTCCGCTCTTGCAAATGTAGAATCCTCGAGCCCGGCCGAGTCAGACGACATCGACACCCTCGTGCTCCCGCCGTCGATCTGCGACTCCCCCGCCGAACTCGCCCTCCCGCTCTCGCTCTCGCACTCGATCTCCCCTTCCTCCCACAACACCAACAACAGCAGCATGATGATACACCGCCATTCCGCTCCCGCCTCGCTGCGCATGCTCGACAGCCGCGGCGGAAGCGCCCTGCTCACGCCGTACCTCTCGTCGACGGCCTCGCCCGTCGCAAGACAGACGCCGTACCAGCACTACTTTTGCGACAACCTCTATCAGAAATTATGGGCCCTGCGCAGCAGCGACTCGGGCCACCGATCATCTTACGGCGACCAGTACACCACCGCGCCCGCATCCTCTTCTTCCCCCCGCAAACTCTCCTCCTGCTCATACACCTCCGCCTCCTCGTCCTCGTCATCGCCATCGTCCGCGTGCGACGACCACATACCCCTCCCGCCGCCATGCCAGTCCCGCGCGCTCTGGGCAGCCAGCCGCCGGCGCACCGCGAGTCAGCCCGAATCCGCCGCCGTGCCGCCGCGCGCGTGGGCGTTCTTTGGGCGGCAGCCGGGGGGCGAGATGGCGAATATCGATGCCGCGATGCAGACTGGGTTTGAGCAGACCGAGAGCCGGGGCGGGCGCCAGAGTCGGCTAAGGTCTGTGTAGGTCTCCTCATCAGATGTGCGGTCTGTTGAGTAAAGTATTTGGGATCGGCTGGTTTTACTAAGCTTGTTAATTGCTTCTTTTTTGTTCCCGGAGTTGCGGTTTGGTCTTATAATCATCAAATACATGGCGCTTGCTTTCTCCTCTTCCATTCCACTTACAAGATCTCAAATCTCAAGAACTCATCAAAGTAGATATATTTAACAAAAACCAGACTGTTTATTATTTAACAACAACAAAGCACATACTCAAAGCCAAGCCGAGAGCTTACGACGAGCCGTACTTTGCAATCAAGCTCTCCGCCAGCGCGATGTACTCCTTCTCTGCCTCCTCGGTCGATTTGCCCTTCAGCTTGTCCCACGCGTTCCACTTGTACTTGCCCTACACACAAAATCAACCAGTTAGAGAAGAACTCTAGAATAAGAAGGAAGGAAGGAGGAAAGAGGGATGTACCTTGAGGTCAAAGACACCGGGCTTGGGGGTATCGTTGTCACCGACGGTAGCTTGCTTGAACAAACCGTAGAGCTGGTGATGCGTAATCCGCACGTCAGTAGCTGGACAGCAATAGCAAAGTCAGAAAGTAGAAAAAGGCAGGCATACCGAAAGAAGCTCGTCGTCGGTGGGCTTCGAGGGAAGTTTCTGCACAGCGTCGGCCTGTGATTAATCAATTTGTGTTAGCTGTCTGAGATCTGCAATTGAACCTCGACCTTTGACAAATCAATGCTATTCAAATAGCACAGAAAATAGCCTGAAAGAGACTTCTGACTGATTCGAGAGATCAATCGTCGCTGCGTCATTGAATCAATCAAAGCAGCGATCGCGCATCGCTTTCTCTACATCCTCTCTCTCTCTCTGCAACCCACAATTTATAAACACAAATCAGATACACATACAGCAGCTTGGAATTCAGCAGAAGGCATGGTTGTATGTATATATTCTCAGCGAAAAAGATAGGTCGATCGAAAGCGCGGTGAGAGAGATCTATCAAGCGGATCAGGAGGTTGGTTATATTATATAGAGACCGGTTGGGGAGGGGGAGAGACTAGTTTAGAGTTTGCGGGTTTGTTGATTGAGTTGTACGTTGGCTGGATTGCTTCTGCGTTGTGGTGATGTGAGTGTGTTTCGAGTAGTAGTTTACTATGGAAACAGATACTAGGGCATATATAATGATAGCAGTTCTTTTGGAAGAGAAATAGCTCAGGAAACTGTAACTGTATGCATATATCCATCCTCCCGGCAAAGTCACATATACGGCATAACCAGCCCAATATTACCCACTTACAGCCCCAACCCAACCCCTTGTCAGTACACAAGAAGCCAGCCAACCACGGCTCACTTGTTTCCTCACCGAGCAAGTCAGCTATTGAGAAACCTTAAAGATTCTCACGGATCCTGGAGACAAGAGAATACTCCCGTATCTGTATATATCATCGTGCCCGTCTTCCACGCACCGGATTCACGTCTTTTGCTTCAAGGTATTTTCATCTGATCTTTATTTGTGTTGTTGGGCGCATTGGGACTCGGTCTGATACATTGTGTTGGTAGAGTAAAGACTTCGTTCGACGCATCTCGGAATCATCGCTAGTAGACATCGAATCTACTCCACCACAACCAGACGACTCTGCCGAGCCTTGTTCTTTAAGACAATACACCGAATTCATACAGTGCAATGAGACCTTCAAATATCCTTGCCATGCGGAGAACGCTCGCTCGCTGCGCGGACCTCCCGCCGCTGAAGTACATGACGGAGGAATTCTACCGCTCCACCTACCTCAACAGTAAGGCCCCCTCTTCTTCCTCCTGTTATTATGCAGCTCCATAACTAACACGTCGCAGAGCAAACCGGTCTCACCGGCATCTTCGAGTTCCCCGAGCCCCGCCCGCGCCTTCTCCGTCTCTACGCCGAGACCAACGAGCTGCTGCAGCACTTCCCCGAGACGAGCGTGTACCGCCAGTCCGTCGAGGGCATCAACAAGCACCGCTACGAGATCGTCAAGACCACCGACTCGATCGTCGAGATTGAGCAGAAGCTCGGCGGCGGCCTGATTGAGGAGATCTTGATCCAGGCCGGCGAGGAGTTCCAGCTCGCGCAAAAGATGCTGGAGTGGAAGGTGTGGGAGCCGTTGGAGGAGGAGGCGCCTGAGGGAACTTGGGATAAATAAGTAAGAAGAGTGGGTTAGATCGGAGTCCTGCTTCTTTGTTTTTAGTTTTTATCGTGGTAATTCTGGTGGTGTGCATAACAGCTTCTTTCTTTATTCTTCATCATGTCCTCTACATTATACAGTCTACATCAATCAACATTTTCGTTCTCAGATAAACAGTGGTAGAAATGCATATATACGAAACTAAAACCAATGGGAAACTTTTAGATAATCAGCACAGAGCACAAACATAATGGTACAATCCCAAAAAAACTCAACAGAAACAAGAACGCGTAAAACAGTCGATATGCTAAGAGAACAACATAAATTACTCCTCGTCATCCTCGTCCTCGTCCTCAAAGTCCTCGGCCGCGACGCGCACCGCGTCGTTCGTCTTTGTATCCCACACCTGCACGACGCCGTTGCTGCCTCCGACAGCGACAGTTCGCGCCGCGGGCTTGTCAGGCAGCCAGGACACGGAAAACACTTTCCCGACGCCCATGTCGCGGCTCGAGAACAGCGACGGCCCGGTCTCGGACACGTTCCAGACCTTGACCTGGTGATCGGTCGAGCCGGTGACGAAGAGGCCGCTGACGTTTGCGTTGACGTCGAAAGCGGTGACTTCGCTATCGTGCGCCTGCAGCGTCCACAGCGGCTTTGCCTTGTGCGGCGACGCGACGGCGGGGGCGGTGCGCGCGTCGAAGCAGTGCACGCGGCCGCTCTCGGTCGCGACGTAGAACCGGCTGCTGTCGTGCGGGTCCCATCGCACGCCCGAGACGTCGGCGTCGACGCCCCACCGGCGAAACTCGTCCGGCACGCGCATGTCGCTCGCAATCACGGTCCGGTCGTACGATCCCGTGAGCAAAACAGGGCCCTCGGTCGGGTGCCAGGACAGCGAGCAGACCTTGTCGTCGTGGAAGGAGTAGCTGCGCGCGCAGGTGAGCGTGTTGAGGTCCCAGAGCTTGATGGTCTTGTCTGCCGAGCCCGAGGCGAGGATGTTGCGGTGCTGCTTGTTTGCCGAAAGCGCGAGGATCGCGTCGACGTGGTATTTGTCGTTCGCAACCGGTTTCTTGGGTTTCTTTGCTTTCTTCTTCTTGTGCTTCTTGTCCTTCTTCTTTGGCTTCTCGTCCTCGTCGTCGCTCGCGGCAGCGGCCTGGTTGTCGGCCTCGAGGTTGCCGAGGATGGCATCGGGATACATCTCGTCGATGACGTCGAGGTTCCAGATCTCGATATTCGGCTCAAACGTTCCGATCGCCGCAAAACTGCCCTGCTGGTTTTCCTCCGTGCGCGTCCGTCCGACGCGGACGTTGAGCCACTCGACGCAGAGCGGGAAGCTGGGAAGCAGGATATCGTGGTGCACGTACAGGTTCGCTTCGGACTGGTCGTAGACGTAGACCTCCATGTGCGAAAGATTGTCTTCCGTCTTGGCGACCAGGAGCAGGTTATCAGAGTCGAGGATCTGCAGCTCCTCGCGCTCTTCTTCTTCGATGTCGTCGACCACGGCGCCGTCTTTCTTGGGCAGCACAATGTACGGGTCTTCGTCGTTGGATTTGTAGTATGCGAGCGATTTGATGTTGGAAAACATGCTCAGCGCTGTGGGGTGTTAGCTTGGTGATCAGGATTTGTAACTGTCAACCAAAGGAGTACGTACATGCGTCGGCCTCGGGCTCAGCGTCGTAGTTCTCGAGATCGTATTCTCTGAGATCGTCTGTGATCTCAACGTCTTGCCTATACAGTAACTGTCAGCAGCCGCATTCATATCGATCTCGGAGAAACAAGCAACACATACTTGACAGCATCAGCAGCAATCTCATTCTTGATCTCCTCATCAGCCTCCTCATCCACCTCAACCTCAACATCCTCCTCCTCCTCCTCCACCTCCTCACCATCAACCTTCATCCCCTCAAGCTCATCATCCTCGCTATCTCCGTTCGTAGCCCCGTCCGCGAGCGCACCCTCATAATCCTCGAGCGCGTCGTCGAGCCGTAACTGCGCGAGCTTCGATATCCGATCAATCTCTTCCTCGTCCAACTGGTACTGATTCGGGAACTCGGCGGCGAAACCGCGCGGCACCCACGTCGTGTATGAAATCATTCTTCTTTTCTATCTCTCTTCTTCAACAACAAGAAAAAAAATAGACGCTCAAACGTATATACACTGATACACACTGGGTAAATCTTTTTTTTATCGCTTCAAGAATTTTTTTGCAAAAGTCCCAAGTTACCCGGGTTGAAAAGAAAGGTTACCCTGCACCACCCAGCCCTCCTGAGCTCTTCCTGTCACTTTAAAAAGGGCTTCTCTGCGCGCTCGACGCTGAAAAAAATTTCGCTCGAGGTGAAGAGAAGATCAAAGACGGCAACTGTTGCTGGACTGGTGCTGAGATTTGTGATGGGTTTTGGTTTGGGATACCCGTTTGTTTGATTTTGCTTTTAATTTTCGTGTGATTGGCCGTGGCTGTATACGCTGAATGGTATGTTTAATCCACTGTTTTTTCTTTGCAAAATTCTCAAGTATCCTCTCTTTCATTCTACCCACTCTCGATGGATGTTTGGCGGGCAAGCGTGCGCATGGCGATGGGTCATCATGATGAAATATACCGAAATTTAAATGTATATAGGAAGTGCCGGGTGATTGCTGCCGTATCTCAAAATTGGAGAGCGGCGTAAGTTGATCAGAACACGGGTCTCTGAGACGATGACAGGAGAGCTATTGCGCACGCTAGAGAGAGGGGTTGGGTGAAGGGAGAGAGGAGGGAGGATGGATTGGAGAGATTGGAGTGCTAACTTTGCAAAAGCTGAATATAGGCTGTTTCTGTCGGGTTGATATTTGATGAGGTCATGTTGAAATTTGATGGGTCATGTTGTATTTGATGAAGTTATGTTGAATTACGTGATGACGACTGCGTTGATGGCAAATGAGAATGCTTACTCGATTGAGTATCTTTTAGATCTGTAAAAGCAATTATAAAGAGCCAAACCACAGGAAGAGAGATGTAAACACATGATGTAATGGAGATTACAGACAGCGCATCCAGGAGCGCGGTTAATCGACGAATGAGGATTAAATTACAAACGAGAGACTAACACAGCAGCAACCAACATCAGCAGCAGCAAACAACAAACAGCGAATATATTTAGAAAATCATAAACCGAAATTGAAATTGCGGCCAACAAAAGAGGAAAACGCAAACGCCCGAATCCAAAATCTCGAACTCAACTTCGACTTCGACCTGCTCGAGCACCTTCGCCGCACCGGTCCGTCCGCTTTATGCCGACACCACCGGGTTGCTGTCCAGCCGTGCCGTGTTTCCTGCTGAGCTGGGTGTGTGTATTGCTGCTGCTGCTGCTTTTGCTTTTGCTTTTTCTTCCATCTGCGTCCTTCTCTGCGTCGCATTGACAATACGCTGCAGGAGCGACAACAGCATCGGCAGCAGAGATTTGCTCTAATTACACTTCCCGAATCAGGCAGCGAACCAAGTTTGGGGCGTAACACAAACCCCAGGGCCGACGTACGCCCCCGGTCTGCGAGCACCAGTTTAGTCTCCTCAGCCGCTCCAATTTAATCTTCACTTTTCTCTTCTTCTCTGTTCTCTTGTTCTCTCGCTCTGTTCTCGCTGTTCGAGAAGTAGTAGCGACTCTTCTCAGCATTGAGGATGTCTGTGTTTTGTCTGCTTCTTCTCATTGCAGTCGACAGCAGCGACAGGTCTCCGACCGAACCAGGCTGAACCAGGTGCCACTACCGGCGGGGGCGTAGGGGACCGACCGACCTGGTGCTTCTAAACGCTAATCCTAATCGAGCCTAGCCCACCGCTTCTCGGTTTCATTTTTCAAACCGGGCCTGGACACCAGCACGCAAATAAGAACCCCTTCGTCTCCTGTCCTGCCCTTCTTCCTCCTCTCCATCCTCCTCCATCGATCCGGTCCTGCCTTTCTCGTCTTCTTCGCTCGCTTTTTCGTTCTCTTATTCCTCTCGGCTCTAGCAGAAGCACAATTCTGCCCTCCATTCCTTTCATTCTCGAATAACCACTCTCTTTTACTCCAACCCAGCCATGCGTTTCTCCACCGCCCTCGCCAGCCTCGCCGGTCTCGCCAGCATCGCCTCGGCCCAGCACGTCCACAACCTCCATGAGCACGAGAAGCGTGACATCACTTACGTGACCGTCACCAACTCCGTCGACTTCGTCGACACCGTCTTCGTCGTCGCGACCGTCTTCGTCACCGCCGACCCGCTCGCTATGGTTACCGAGACTGACGCTACCACTTTGACTTCCACCTCGACCTCGTCGGTGACTGCCTCCCAGACTTCGCCTACGTCGTTTGTCACCCTTACGACTTCGTCGTCCTCCACCTCGGAGTACGTTGCGCCTACCACTTCGTCGACCTCGACTTCCGAGTACGTTGCGCCTACTACTTCGTCGACCTCTGAGTACGTCGCTCCTACTACTTCGTCGACCTCCACTTCCGAGTACGTCGCTCCCACCACTTCGTCGACCTCTACCTCGGAGTCCGTTGCGCCTACCACTTCGTCGACCTCTACCTCGGAGTACGTTGCGCCTACCACCTCGTCCACCTCGACTTCTGAGTACGTCGCTCCTACTACCTCCTCGACCTCCGAGTACGTCGCTCCTACCACCACCTCCTCGTCGACCTCCGAGTACGTTGCGCCTACCACTTCCTCGACCACTTCCAGCGCCGCTGCTGCCTCCTCGTCTTCGTCGTCTGGCACTGGCGAGTACTCTGGCGACGGAACCTACTACGCCACCGGCCTTGGCTCCTGCGGCGAGACCTCGTCCGACACCGACTTCATCGTCGCTATCTCGACCAACCTCATGTCGGCCGAGGACAATGGCAACTCGAACAACAACCCGCTCTGCGGCAAGACCATCACCGCCTACCGCGGCTCCAAGTCCGTCACCGTCACCGTCGTCGACACCTGCATGGGCTGCGACACTTACGATCTCGACTTTTCGCCCGCTGCTTTCGACCAGCTCGGCGAGGAGAGCGAGGGCAGAATCTCCATCACCTGGAGCTACGACTCGTAAGCGACGCTGCGCTTCTGAACCGCTTTGCTACTTGCTAGCGATGCGAGCGACTCTGTGACTTGGCTGCTTTTTGTTATTATGTTTTATTTGGGAAACTCCTGGACTCTTCGGGCTATATATTGGAAATCTTGCTTTTTTTTTTTATCTTTTTACCTTATGTTATGTTTAAACGACATGTTATATGTGACGACTTTACGACCCTACCTGTTTTTGGAAATATACTGCGATACTTGAAAATGTTCACCACAAAATATAAATCCGTTGCAAATTTAGCAGTCAGAGACTAATTGGTAGTAAATTGCCTTTTAGAGTAGGTGAGATTCGGAACCAGAATCGCGCAAGAAAGGTTTAGTTACCCGGAGACCAGGGCAAACGCGCAACACGTGGATTCGCAAACGCGCAGATGGAAAAATACGCGTACCTGGCGCGCTTTGTTTTCTGTGTTGTTTTGAAACGTCTACGCGAGGAGGCTTTTCGAGTTATAAGAAGGAATTCTTGCGTGCATTCTTGTGGTTTATTTTTGTTTTATGTGTGAGATGATGGCGATCTAATGACAGTAACAGCATGCAACGTCGTCCGCTAATCCAAGCCTCACTCCACGACGCACAGCAGCAGCAGCAGCAGCAGCGGCAGCCTTACACCGGCAGTCCAGACATGGACATAGACACGGACGCGAACGCAGCACAGCTGTCCAAGGCGCAGGCAGAGTTGCTGCAGGGTCTGTTTTCGAAAAAGTACGGGCTGCGGGTGTCGATCGAGTACTGGATCAAGCCGGTATACCTAGCGACTATGCACAGCAGCGCGTTTCAGCGGCAACGGGCGGCGTCTGTGGAGGCGATTTTTGCGAAATTGGAGAGCGCGTTTTTGAATGAGGATCTGAGGAGGTGTATACCGCCTCTGCCTGATACGCAGCAGGGGGAGTCGAAAGCGACGGTAGTGCACTATCTTATCGACCGCGCACCCGCTGACGCAGAGGCCGATCTACGCGACTGCGTGCGGCAATCGAATTTCCTACCAGACATGCGCCCGACCTCTGTCCCGACGGCGATTTCGGTGCCGGTGCCGACTACGTTTCAGATCATTGACGTGGTGGAGATAGGGATGAGCAAGTATGAGCAGCTGAGACGGCTCGAAGACGGCATGACTGACGGCGGACGACGGATTATTCGCGATCTGCCGAGCGGAGACGGCGATGACGAGTCCGCGCAGATGCAGCAGCAGCAGCAGCAGCAGGCTGTCGAGGCGGACACAGCAAACTTTTCATCGTCGTCGGCGGTGCAGTTCCATATGTTTGAAAACAACGGCAAGCGCAAACCACTGATTGGCAAAGCGCACTGCAAGGCCCTCCTGCAGGACGCGCTCGGCCGCGTGTACTGGGCGATCGAGCAGAAACCGATTCCCGCGATCCAGGTCGGTCTCAAGCTCGGCTGTAAGATCACAGTGACGGCGAGCACGACCTGTCTCCGCGGCGTGATCTTGCTCAAGCCGGGCGGGACGGTGGTGCATGGCGGGGTGGTGGAGGAGTGGAACGTGCGGTTTCGAGAGCGGCTGATGATGAGGTTGCAGGGCGAGCTTGGGCTGGTTGATGAGCAGCTGTGGCAGCAGAGAGAAGAGACACAGCAGGCGCGGCCGCATGTGCGGACACACTCGGCGCCGACTATTGGCGACAGGAACAAGTTGGAGTCGATCCCTGACGTACAGGATTCGTACTTTCTGGACGACGAGATCGATGAATACGAGCGCGAGCAGTACGAGGAGTATGACGTCGAGGACTTCAATGAGGCGGATTTGGTGGATATCCTCTAGTCTATACAGCATAACATACAGGATAATACATAGAAACAAAATATATTCATCAAAAGTTATACTACCATTACAAAACACACTCTCTCATGCCTTATCAGATTTGTTGTACACAGCATTCATCCCAAAACCGGCTGCGGCCCGGGAGTAGTGCCCATTTAAATTAATTTAGCGCCCGCCACCGCATTCGCGCTATCCTTCACAAGCCTAGTTCCCGACCATACGCCTCCGCATACCGAAGAAACCAGATAAGACCCAACTCCAAGAATAGAACCAAACCGCAAGCTGTCAAAAGAGCGGGAGAGGAAGCTAGGTTACTGTGTGGAGTAGAGTGTCGGTCCTGGGAGGCGGTGGCGGGAGCAACGGAGGGGAGGGAATTTAGAGCAGCTTCTCGATCTCGGACGAGAGACCCTCAGGGGTGGTGACCGAGGAGAAGCGTTCGACGACCTCGCCCTTGCGGTCGATGACGAACTTCTCAAAGTTCCACTTGATGCCGCGGAAGCCGAGGAGACCGGCCTTCTTGGACTTGAGGAACTTGTAGACGGCGTCGGCGTTGTCGCCGTTGACGTCGACCTTCTTGAGGACGGGGAACTGTGGAGTAGTTAGCATTGGGAAGGTATGATTATGATTAAATGAGAGGAGTGAAATTTTGCTTACAGTGACGCCGTAGTTGAGGGTGCAGAACGAGGCGATCTCCTCGTCAGAGCCGGGCTCCTGGCGACCTGTGGTTTGTTAGTGGTGGGCACGATGACAAGAGAAGAAGGAGATGGAAGTAGCATACCGAACTGGTTGCAAGGGAAGCCGATGATCTCGAGTCCCTTGTCGTGGTACTTCTGGTAGAGCTCCTCGAGGCCCTTGTATTGCTGCATGATTAAGATCGTTAGAGAAGAGTTCGAGTGCGTTGGAAAATTTGCAGGAAGAAGAGGTTTCGTACAGGAGTGAAACCGCACCTAGAGTAATTAGTGGTTAGCACGATCGTGTTCATAAACAGAAGAATGGAGAAGACAAGATAAAGAGAGACATACTTGGAGGCGACGTTGACGATGACGACGACCTTGCCCTCGAGCTGGTGGAAGTCGAAGGGGTTTCCCTTGCTGTCGAGGGGAGCGAGGTCGTAGAAGGAAGTAGGGACGGACATGATTGGTGTGAGGTTTGTATGAACAGAGAATAAGCTGACTGTGAGTGTTGTTGAAGGAGAGAAGGAAGGACGTGGTGGGGAGAGAGGAATCTATATAGAGTCGCGATAATTATTAAGAAGGGAAGGATGAGTGAGTCTCTAAGCGAGCTCCGACGTCACCTTTTTCCCTGCTTTTGCTCCTCCGTCCTCGGCCCCAGACCCTGCAAACCCAGAATCTCGCCGTTCTCGCGATTTACGGTTTTCGGACATGCTCCAACCTCGTTCGTGCGGGCTCTGATGGAACGCCGCGCCACCGCCCTGTAAATCGTCTTCCTTTAAGCGAGCCCGAGTCGGCGAACGCACGACGCAAGGTTCGGGGAAGCATGCTCAGCCTCGGCAGAAGCACGGCGTTGGCCTTGCTTTGGGTGGAAGAGAGGAGGTTATTGTCGCGAGGCCCGTCGCTACTGGGGTTTAGAGTCGGGAAGCGAATACGACGGCACAGTATTTTGGAACTCCGTCTGGAGATGGAGTAGTTTGTTTTGTTCACTCCGATGCCGAAAATCAGATGCGCTGTTGGTGTTCGATCTATCCTATTCCGCTGCTCACTGTGTGCCCTCAATTCTCTGCTGATCACCTGTCGACCGCCGCCATCTACGTTCTTATTTTCATGCAGAAAAGCAGGCGACAGAAGAAAACAGGCTAAGATTTGTCATCATTCGACCCTTCCTCAGGGCAACGGCTTGGTCCTCTTAGCGAGGTACGGGGAGTCGGACGAACTTCTTCCGGGCTTCTTACTTCATCATCCCCGGCCGACGATGCCCGTACACGGCCGTCGTACTTCGGTTCTCTCATCGTTCGCCTCGCGGTCGCCATCTGCCGTTCGTTCTCTGCTTCTCTCCCCGTCTTCGTCGCCCTTGGCCGTGCCGCGGTATTCAGTCCCCGGCATCCAATCCCCGACAGGCCTGGACCGCTGGACGGCGAGCAGTCTCTGGTGCCGGTTTATCCCTGTCAGATAGAAAAAGAAAAGTGCAGGGCACTGCACTTCATGCTTACGAGAGGACTCTACACTATCTGACTAATATACACGTAATCATAAATTTGTCATCGCCACTCCTGCGCGAAATGAAGCAATTGCACATAATCAATACGCACATAATCAAAGACCACCATCCCCCACCGCCCAGATGACAATCACAGTATCGACGGGAAACGTTTCGCACTCGCGCCAGGTGCACTGTCTTGACCCGGTCTTGGACATCAAGCAGCGGATATCGCAGTGGAAACAGCAGTCGCCGGCTCTTGAGCTCGACGATGCCGCTGTCGCTGACATCGATATCCCGGCCAATCCCTCTGAACCTCTCTTTTGCTCTGAGGAAGCGCTCGCAAAGAAAAAGTTCGAGACAACAGGTACATTCATTGCAATTCCTTCTCTGCTCTTTCTCTCTTGATGTAAAGCGGAGCTAACATGGACTTTACGTGACATGTAGTAAAGATATTCTTCCCCAGCGGCTACAGCGCCTCTGCGCGCTCTCAAGCTCTCAATAGCGCGCTCGCAAAGCTTCGCCAGTCAATGCCGCCTTCTGCCGCCATCACATACCTCAACCTCTCCTTCCCCGAAATCACCTTTGCCGACAACGACGACGACGACGATGACGACTCATCGCAGGACGATCGGCCCGAAAGCGATCTCTTGACCCCAGATATCCTCGACCTCTGGCGAACCGCGAGCAAGGCCACGGGTATCTACAACGTCCAGCACCTCGGCGTGTCTGAGTTCTCGGCCGCGAGGCTGCATGCGCTCATCAAGTTTGCAGACAAATCCGGCTGCGTCAAACCTGCCGTAAATCAAATCAACATCCGCGACTGCTGCGTGCTGCCCCCGAGTCTAGTCAACCTGGCAAAGAGCCACGGCGTCAAACTGCTGACGCATAACGATAACTTCAATATCCTGCCGGTCGACAATGTTCCGGAGTTTGTGAGCCTGGTCGGGTCGGCGGCGGCGGACTCCCCAGCGGAGTGGGCGTGGAATTGGCTTATAAAGATCACCACCGTCGTCGCCGACCGCGGCGTCGTATACGGTCAGGGGTGGATGGTAGAGTTTGCCGAAGCAGCAAAGTAATGCATATACATTTAATGCAAATATATTCACAATCAATATAACCAGCTTAGTCCCAAGCACTTTGCGCATCAGCCCACCATACTGCGTTTCCGCCCTCGTAATCTTACAGCCTCCAGCTTCTTCATAATCTCGCGCACTTTAAACACACCAGTCTTCTTCCCCCGTCCAAATCCTGCCACATAGCCCTCCAACAGCCATCCAATATACTCCTCCGCGTGCATCGGATGCGTGGAGACAAACGCTCGCTCGAGCACGTAGAGATCTACAGCCTTGTCTTCCGGTAGCGTCGACTGTGAAGATAACCCGAAATCTATGATAACCGGCTCCATCTCTCCTTCATTTTTGTTGCGTAACACCAGATTCGACGTCGTCAAGTCCCCATGCACCATGTCCATAAAATGCAATTTCGAAATTTCGCTCCCTACACTGAGCAGCGTACCCTTAATCTTCTCCTCCCGTAGCTTTGCGCGACCAGCCTCATCTTCAGTTTGACTATCAATAACCTCCTCGTTTCCCCAAATCCACTTCTTCAAACTCGGCCCGCTGATATTCTCCATCCAGATTATCCCTTGCCGCGGATCGACAGACACAAACACCGGCACCTTCACACCCGCAAGCATCAGCTTATAAAGACTCCGCACCTCTGACAGCGTGCGGTGCTTCGTCAGCTGCGCATCTAGCAGCGCATGACGATACGGCTTCGGCGGCCTGTATTTCAGTATATATCCTGCCGAAAATCCTGGCGAATTCGTGATTGCTTCGTGTGTGGGAATGAACGGATGACTCTGTGAGAAGAAAACGAGCGCCTCGGCGCCCTGTGAAATCAGTGTAAGATCAAGAGCTTTCACAATCCCTTCTGGTAAAGCCGGAAGCGGGATTTCCGCATTCTTGTTGTCGTCCGCCATCGCTCGTTTCGTTTCCTCCCGCTGCTGTATCTCAAAATCCAACTCTTTTGACGACGCACATTTCAATTTTTGAGCGATGAGCATCTAATTTACCCTGAAAAAGTCACATGATTAGATGTATTTCGGACTTTGCCGCTTTGATACTAACTCCGCGAATGGATGAGTTGGTGCGGTGGGATTGTGTGGGGGTGGAAAGCCTCTGTGATCTCAGGTTTCTCACATCCCCGCATTTACTGATCTTCTCCATGTTCTTCTATGAAGATTTGGGTGTTGATGTTTGTGGACTGTAATTTTGAATACAGCGGCAGGCGTTTTTTGTTTTCAAACTTAGCAAAAGAACCCTCACAGGCTTTGTCGTCGTTAATACCCCGAAGGACTGTAAACCTGATCTCACATTGGACCACAAAGAGCATTCTGAACAATGGCCAACGAAGATGCGCATACTCTCCTCGACGCAAGCGCCCAGAACCCTCCACCGCAGTCCTCTAAGCTCCGTATGCTTATGTGCGAGGTCGGTCTCCAGGCCCTGCTAGAATCATCAACCGACGTCCGCATCCTCTGCTTCCAGAGACTAGTCCGGATGATTGCCTACGGCCAAGCAACACTCATCCTCACACTATACTTCTCAGCTCTCGGATTCTCAGACGAGCGCATTGGGCTATTCATGAGTGCCACACTTATTGGCGACGTGTTGATCTCGTTCTTTTTGACGCTCTTTGCTGACGCGCTTGGAAGACGGCGAGTGTTGATCTTGGGATGCGCAATGATGTTCACCAGCGGACTCATCTTTGCCATTTTTGATAATTTCTGGATACTTCTCATTGCCGCTATTGTCGGTGTCATATCCCCAAAGTGAGTTTTATTTCAGTCCTTTGAATTTTGGTTTGTGAATAGCATCTGGACAGCATCGCTAACCGAGACTCCAGCGGAAACGAAGTCGGTCCCTTCCGCGCCGTCGAAGAATCTACTCTTGCCCACCTCGTCTCAGCAGAGTCGCGCACAGATATCTTCTCCTGGTACGCATTACTAGGCAGGATTGGCTCAGGCCTGGGGACAATAAGCTGCGGAACTCTTGTTCAAGTTTTACAGGATCGAGCCGGATGGAGCAACGTGTACGCCTACCGGTTCATATATGTGTCTTACTCTTCCATCGCTTTGATCAAGCTGTACTCGTCCTTCAAGATCTCAGACAAGTGCGAACTCCCAGCGTTTTTGGAAAGACGTAAGAAACGGGCCGAGGCACTTGACGAAAGCTTGGATGAGAACGCGATAATGCTCGAGAACATGCAGTCGTCTGAAGATGAGCTCCGCGACGGAGCCGTACAGGAGGAAGACGGAAGACTAATGAGAATCACAAGGAAGAGCGGTCTTCGGTCATCCATACCTTCGTTTTCCGCCCGGTCAAAGAAGACGCTTTCAATCTTGATGCCTTTGTTCTTCCTGGACTCGTTCGGTCAGGGCCTTGTCAATAATTCATGGCTCACATATTACTTCAACGACAAGTTTGGAGTCAAAGAAGCCTCCCTCGGTGGCATCTTCCTCACCGGACACATCGTCGCCACGTTCGGGGCCTTAATCGCCGCATCGACCGCAAAACGACTAGGCGTAGTCCAGACAATGATAATCACCCATATCCCCTCGTCAATCATCCTCGGCCTCATCCCCGCCAGCAGCAATCTCTTCCTCGCAATCTTCCTCTTCGCCGTCCGCGCCGGCACAAACATGATGGACACCGCGCCGCGACAGGTCTTTGTCTCGTCCATCGTTCTAGCAGAAGAGCGCACGAGCGTCATGGGGATCATGAACGTCGTCAGAACGCTCTCGACTGCGTTCGGACCGGCTATTACGGGTGCGTTCGCGGGGCAGGGGAGGATGTGGATCAGCTTTGAGATTGCGATGGCGATGAAGTTGCTCTATGACGTTGGCATCCTTTCGTATTTCTTGAAAGAGAAACTAGATCGTTCTTGAATCAGCTTGGATACTCACTCGTTTACAATCTACGGCGAATGAAGTACAGTGCATTTTTGAGTCGCATTTATTTTCAATTATATAACCAAATCCAATATACCAGTCAATCGCATACAACTATAAATTACAAAATACAACGCACTTATTATCCTCTCTCCTCCAAAAAAACAGAAACTCATTTCATCGTTCAGTTGATTCTCGTGTTGACCGCCTTGTTCTCCGTAAGCATCTGCTCCACCTTCTCAGATACGCGCATGGGCTGAACGCCGCTCGGTGTCTGCTTGGATCTCATGGTGGGGAACGTCCCGTCATCAAACTGCCCTGGCATCGACGGGGCATTCGTACGGCCCTGCGCGCCGTTAGTAGTTCCAGTGGTGGCGCCGTATCCTCCAGAGGAAGACGTAGTGGCAGACGCAGTCCGGTCGGTCGTCAGGCCTTGCTCGTACAAGCCGGGCTGAGAATTCGCGGTGACGACGCCGGGACGAGTGGTGTTACCTGGATCGTACGCCTCCGTCTGTTGGCCGACGCCTGCGCCTTCGTAGGTGGTAGACTGGTTGTGGTTGGTGCCCAGAGCAGTAGTGGCAGCAGCAGCACCAGTCGCGCCGGCACCGGCGGCGAGATACTTCTCCTTCGTTCCGGTACCGCTGCCTCGAGTGCCGGTAGTGCCAGTAGTGCCAGTAGTGCCAGTAGTGCCAGTAGTGCCAGTAGTGCCAGTAGTTCCAGTGGCACCCGTGACACCAGTTCCACCAGTGGCACCGGTAAGTCCGCTCTTATCGTCGCGACGAGTGATTTTGTCAGGGGCGTTGATATCGCCGGTGATAGAGGCGGAGCCGATACTGAAGACAGGCGACGTCCATCGTTCGCCGGAGAGAGCCATCTCCTTGTACTTGGTAGCCTTGGTGGACGAAATACCCTTGGGCAAGACAATGTTCTTGAACATCGAGTCGTGCTGCGTCATTGCGATATTGGTCTTCGCCTCACGATCGGGCTTCTTCTTGTTCGCCTCCGCCTTCTTCTCCTTCGACTTGAACATCTCGTTCTTGACCGCCTCAGAGTACATCGAGAAGATCGACGGCTTCGACTCCAGCTCGGGATCGTTCTTCACGTCGTGCGCGATTCTCTTCTTCTCGAGCTGCACCTGGTACGCCATCGTGTCGAGATCGTTGAAGCTCTTCTTGATCTGCTGCTGCAGAACGGCCTTGATCGCAGGCTTGGCGATCGACATCAGCAGAGGACGGAAGATCGCAAACAGGATCTTGTGGCGCGAGCGGCGCAGACGGACGTCCAAATCCTGAATCTTGACGTTGACGTTGTCGACCTGGAAGAAGTTGTTCGGGCTCTTCTCGGTCGCGGTCGAGAGCGAGATCGTGAAGCTAAGTCCGTCGCGGCCGAGATAAAAGTCGGCAAGACCGGTGTCGCGCAGCGTAGGGAATCCGCTCTTCTTCTTAACGTAGTAGCTCACGTCCTTGAGGTCGCACTGGATTCCCTTGCACGTCATCGTAAACGAGCCATGCTTGTAGTTCGCATCAGAGTAAGTGCTGCGTCCCCATCGCATAACGCTCTGGTTGTGAAGCTCAATGAGGTTAGGGAAGAAGTTGTTTGACTCGACGATCAAGTTCTCGACAACCGCATCAATCATCACATCACTATACTCAATGCGCGGAAGCGGTACGTATCTGACGTTCTCGAAAATCTCCGGGATGATCACATTCGTGACATCCTTGAGCAGATGAGGCTTGAAGACAAACCCATCGTCGCCGTCGGTTCCGAGATTCTTGAAAAGTATGTCCATATCCTTGCCGAACTTGTCGTTCAAAGGATCGGCTCTGAACTGCTCAATCAAGTAGTTGAACTCCCGAGTGAAGTCGTCACCGTATCCCTTGTACTGCTTGGAGAAGATCTCGCGCCCACGGTCGTAAAGACTGTTGTAGTCGCGAGTCGCCGAGTCTTCGAGAATATATCCCTTCTCCTTGAGGACACGACGGATGTAGCTGTCAACATCAGTGAACCAGCTGCGGAGATGTTCGTCCTTCTCTGCCGCGGCATAGAGATCGTTGGCAACGCCAAAGAGATCATCGAGAGACGAGTCGTTTGCGAATCGCTCGACGAGAGTTCTCAAGCTGGTCTGCGCGGCCTGCAAATGATCATTCTCGGTGAACTTCTTTGCTTGAGAAGAACCGTTGCCCATCGAGTCCTTCGCAGTAGCCTTGTTCTTCTCAAGGAAGTCCAAAAGCGAGTCAATAGCGCTCTGAAACTCGGGGTGGCCCTGGATCTCAACGACCATCTTCTTCAAGCGCACGATGATCTGGTCACGACGCTCCTGGGGCATCTTCTCGGAAAGGTAGTTCTTGGCCTGTCCCAGTCGCTGCTGCTTAGCGTCCATGGCCTGCTGCTTGTATCGCTTAGCCTCGTCGCTGTCCTTGTTGAAAGCACCCTTGTACTTGTCAAACTTCGATGCGTCGGGACTGTCGTGCCATTGGTTATCGGGAGCGGATTCGTCGATCTGGCCCAGTTCTTCTTCCGAAGGACGCACCTGCTCAGCGGCGTTGCCGAGCTTGTCGGTCGCGCTCGTGGCGACGTCACCAGCCATGTCACGGAATAGAATGACGAAATCGTTCACTAAGATGTCTAGTTAGTATTCGATCATTTTAGATTGATAAAAGATATGTCAAATACATACAGAGCTTGCGGAACTGTCCGTTGGTGATGATCAAGGTTCCAAGGTTCTTGAGTCCTCCGACAACGTCCTGGTCTTCGTACAAAGTCGCACTGTCTCTGCCAGGAGTGGTTTTAGGATCACCGGTATTGACAGGCTCTACAATGTTGTGCTTGCTCTCGCTCACGAGCGATGAGTGCCAAAGAAACTCCTGCAGCAAGTTGCCGCGGTTTTTGGTGATCCAGAGAGTCTTCGCAGACTCAACCACAGCAGCTGCGTCTTTGATCAGCGACCGGCCTTCGTCGGAGAGCTTTCTGTTCCATTTCGAGTCCGGGTTGAGAAGATCTGAGCCAAGTAGGGAGTTCAGCGCGATGTCGGCCTGCGCGTTGGTTGGCATCTTGCCTTCCTTGAAGGCTGAAGTCGAAAACATCGTCAGTTAGTGGGCAATTCATCATGACTTTTCGGAAGTTGTGATGAGAGCTTACCAAGGAAGATGCCATAGAGCTGCAACTTGCGCTCAATATCGGCATCCCGAACGTTGGTATCGGTGGGTCGTGAAACTTGTGCCATTGTGAGAGATGTTTCGTCGATGAACAAAAAAACAAATCACAAGTCAAAGCAGGCCGGATATTGAGTTGTATTTATATATCTCAAGGGCGGAAGGTCAAACGAATCGACTTATCAGACTTCAGGCGTCCAGAACAGACGAGCCCGCGCCAATCATCGCCCATCCGGAACATGTACCGGAACGACAAGCAGTGATGCAATCATGCATCAACAGTACCATGGCCAGAACAGTAGTATGATCGACAGGACATCGATCGTCCACCCGCGTGCTAGGATCACACAATAAATGAATACATGAAAATCAAGCAGTCGAGATGCTGGATGAGAGTCGAGAGTTTCACAATCCCATAATGTGTAAAAATACAACTCCCAGAACGGCTATGACGACGACGATCACCAAACTTAATCCGCTCAACTGTCTTCGTCATGCCTGCTTATTTCTCTTTCCCGTGATCGACAAAAATGGATCATCGAGTCAATGCTCAGTATTCTTGTGTGAAGGCGAAAGAATGGGCTTGTCAGGGGTCTGTACTGCAGTATGGTTACCTACTATACAATTGGCATCGAGATCTTTTCATGGTCGGGTGAGCTAGACGCGACGGCCCCTCCAGCACAATGTCCACCTCATGATATCCTAAATCTCAAATCATTGCATCTATAACCCTTAATAATTTCAGACACAGGCAATTGATCGGAACGGTTGAGGGGAATATCGAGGATCATCGAATCCGTTGTTGCATCACTTCCCGGCGGTGATGAGATGACGACGGTTTGTCAACATTTCAGCCCTAACCCGAAATGAATATCGAAATTACGTATAATCCCCGAAGGACAATGAGCGCTGTAGGCCTGAGAAACGTCTGCGTCTATTAGCTTGTTGATAAGGGAGCATGAGACGAAGCAATTCGAACAATAGTGCTAATTGTACTGAGTTTTCAGTTCTGTTTGTTCAGGCCGTGGTTTGTCGTTAGTTCTATATCTGACGGTATTACTCTATTCTACTTCCCGTAAGGCCTTCGCTTCAACAGTAGCTAATAAGGTGTCATGATTCCCGATCTTTCGAATCTGCACTTCTTCTTTACTATCTCGTTTGGCACTAGGTTGCATTTACAGACTGGGGGATCTGTTGGGCCTTTGAGTGGGCAGTTGATGTCATTTGACAACGCGTCGTAATCGAAGAAATAGAAACAGTTTAAATGTCGCTACAATTCACGTATAATACACGCGCATGCTACCTCTATCCGCCAATGAGAATCGCAATGGAAGTTTGTTCCATAGTAGTTGGGTATTTTTGCTGCCGTGGGATCGACCTGAGCATGCGGCGCTGAGCCGGTGACGACATCGCTTGGGATTTTCAACTTTCAGGGGCTATAGAATAATTCGTGGTGGCGTCGGCACACTTGCTCTACCACATCCCACAACCACCTTATCGTCTTACATTCTTATCGAAACAAAATCACCGCAGAATCATGCCTCAGCCGTTGTACCATACCTCCGATAAGGACTCAAACGCAAAGTCCAGCTCTACGGCGCCGAACGGAACGGATCGCGAGCGAGATCAGCCGGATCAGCACTCATTGTCGAATACCCGCGAATCGGGTCGAAATGTCAGAATAGGCGAGCCCGAGGGAGTGCGTCGACAAGCAGATATCGACGCTGAATATCTCGAGAGAATGGAGGAGGAGTACGCCAAGCGCGAAGGTGGAGCGTGATCTCGAAGCGCTGTGACAAGTTGCGAGTGTCTCTGGATTCTGGCGATACTCGGTCAGCATCAGTATTCTGCGAGTCACCTTGGCCTGCAACTTTCTTATGATTTTCTACCTTCTCCGATCTGACACCTTGGTCTTGATTTCTCACTAATGTACATACAACATTATCTTAGCTAAAACAAATTTCAGGATTGCAATAAATATTCAGTGTATTAAATGTATATTACACAAAAATTAGTCAAATCTGTTAAACAAGAACCGTATCTCTTCGCCAGTCAAGCGATTAACGTTAAGTTTTCCGTCCTTATCGTCCATGACTCCCCTAGCCAGCTCGCGTTTCTGTTCCTGCAGCGTCAGGATTCTCTCCTCAACCGTAGCCTCGGCCGTGATGTCGTACACGTCGACGTCTCTTGTCTGTCCGATCCGATGAACCCGATCAATAGCCTGCTCCGAAATCATCGGATTCCACCATGGGTCGACAAGAACAACCCTAGAGGCACAAGTAAGGTTCAGTCCGAGAGCTCCGCATTTTAACGAGCACAGCAGTACTGTAACCTCAGGATCTGAGGCCAGTCGCTCGAGTGCCTCTACTCGGCTTTTGGGCTTCATTGATCCATCGTCTAGACAAATATTAGCAAATCTGTGATTGTCAACGTCTACTAAGATCATTACTCACATCTCGCATAAACAATTCCACGATTCGTCAAAAATGGCTGAATGATATCAAGCATGGTAGTAAACTGACTGAAAACAATAGTTTTCCTCGTTGGTTCCTCTTCCAGGATCTTCAAAAGACGGGATATTTTGGAGCTCGGAACCGTAGCGCTGATTCCATCCGAGACAAAAGTACCTATACAGTAATCGCAATAGTCTTTGTTCTTGGCAGACTGCTCCAGCGGAAGCTCTGTCTGGCACACTAAACATCTACGACTTGTGACAGTCATTCCGTTCAGCAATTCTGCAAGATCATCAACTTCCTCCTTGGCTGGTCCCTTCTTCGCTGGCGTCGAAGAGATCACAGCGTCAACCCCATCGGTCACTTTCATAGACACAATACTTGTATGATTGCATGCCTGTCGCAGGCGCAAGAGCAGTAGCAGTACGCTAATATACTGCTGACCGCCCTTACCCGTTCCCATCAAGTCCTGCATCTTATTTCCCATCTTTGTTTCCAAAGAGTCGTAAAAGGCTCGTTCCGGTGGGCTCAGCGTGACTGCAACCTTGTGGACGTTGCGTTTTGGTAGTTTCATCCCGCTTTGTCCCAACACCTCTTTGGTCCGACGGAGCATAGTTTGTGCTAGTACGACTTGTAGTCTCTTCATGGCTAGCTTGCCTCTGCCAGCCGCAGCTGGCCTACTGATTTTGTCTTTCCAGAAAGCTCCATCGCATAGAGGCTGAATCTTTAAAAACAAAAACAGTGAGTGCAGCTCATCAATATTGTTCTGCAATGGTGTTCCGGTGAGGGCCCATCTATTGAGACCGTGCAGCGCACAGCAAGCTTTAGCTGACTGTGAGGATTTGTTCTTGATAGTGTGTGCTTCGTCTAGAATAATCCGCCACCAGTCGAGCTTATGAAGAGGTCCTTTGTTGTTATATTCAGAGGCCACGATCTGATAGGTCGATATAACCACCGAGTACCTCTCTAGCTCGGCTACTGATTTCGTGCGCGAAGGTCCATGATGAATCAATACTGAGAGTTCAGGAGCCTTGGTCTTGATCTCCTTTGCCCATTGATTGATAAGTGCCAAAGGAGCAATGACGAGAGTTGAAGCGCACGCATTAGCCGAATTGTGGATGTCTTTGTCTATCCGGTGAGACAGTATCAAAGATATCGACTGAATCGTTTTACCGAGTCCCATCTGCAACAAAAGGTCAGAAGCTATCTGGCCGTTGATCAAAATAAGATACTTACATCGTCACATAAAAGTCCGCCTTTGTTCTTGACGTCTTTGCCCTCTCTTTCGAGAAGAAATCGAAGGCCCTCAACTTGATGATCCATCAATTTAACTTTGAGCCCTTTCACGGTGCGATCCTCTTCCGATAAAGCAGCATCCCCTTTCTTGTTTTTTGCTCCGTCTAGGATATCTTTCAACGAACTGGTAACATCCGTTGTAGTCATATAAGAATAATCTGCATGTTTAAGTCAGTATAGCGTATACTACTTCCTAAAAACTTAAATACTCACCATCTGGGGTCACTTTGATTGGTATGTCAAACTCCGGTTTGGGCCTCGCTGGAGGAACGTACAGTACATCACGATACTCTGGCCTCTTTTGCTTAGGCTCTGATTTTGTCGAGCTGAGCGACAGATTACTTAGTTTCTGTGTAAACGCAGCAAACGGATCGGCCGAGAATCGTGACTCCGAGCTAGTTGAAGGAGCACCCTGAACTGGTCTATATCCTTTGATCGGTTGAGGCTTTGAAGGCTTATTATCACCTAAGACTGATTTCTTTGGGGCATCCGCAGATGTCGCACGTTCAGTTGAAGATGCACGCTGTGTGTTGCTTGCAGCTGCAAACCCAGAGGAGTTAGTTTTGCCCTGTTCATGCACTTTGGCTTTGATATTTCCGTGTCTATCGTCTTTGCCCTTACTGAGCATTTCCGAGTAGCTAGTCTTCTTGCTGGTGGCAAACAGATCGCTTTGCTTCACATTGCGTGTGCTGAGTACTTGAAGATCGTCGTCAGAGGAAACATCGATGACAGCTCTAGTCGGCTGCGCTACCGGCTTGTTCTTATACGACACTAACGGTCTTTTCCACTCTGAAGAATTGGGAGCCAAGGGCTCTAGAAGATTGGTGAACTGTTGCGAAGCAGTCACTCCCGGGGTTTTGGAGGCGAGATTCGAAGCCGGTCGATATGGTCCTATATTGCAATACCGGATTTATTAGATAATGAGACTAAGCCTCAAAACCAAGCCTTTCTTACCTGCAGGTCTGGGCTTATTCGGCCTTCGCAGTCCTGTCTGTGCCAGTGGATTGTGTAAAGGCGACGCTTTACCAAAAACCGGCTGATCACCACGGACCCTGTCGACCTGGTCTTGCCGTGGTCCGTTTGATGAGCTCATACTGCTGATATCCAAAGACTCAAGAGTATATTTCTATAATTCAGCAAGTGATTCTCCGCACTAGTCGTGGTTCCTCGATTATCGATTTCCGTTATGCATGATACATAGCTCGAAGGTCGTTGTTTGGATTTTTTACATTAAGGTTGCTAGGGCAACAACAAACGAAAGGTACGCACGTGACTGACGCGATGCGATGGCGGACCGTGCGTCATTGCAAACATCAATAGACGCGCGCTGCTACTGTCTCCTTCCAGGTCGCGACCGTCATTTCGTTGCTATCAGGGATACTGACGAGTTTTGAGCAGTTTAGACAAGTCTTTGCTTTTAGATTTGCTACTTTGCTCTGAAATCGTGATTCATCTCTGCGATAACCAGTTGCTATCTTGCTATTGCACCTGTTGTCTACCTAGCAACCGTGATTTTCAACACAGACTCACGACTACACGCTCCCTTTTAATCAAAGTTGTCGCTCCAAGACATGTCAGGTAGTGGAAAGGCATCTTTTTTAGAGTGCCCAGCACTTGAAGAGACGCCACCGTTGAATATTTTCAGGATGGTTCCGAGAGTGAATCAAACCCCAAGTAGGAGTCCTCAGGAACTGAGTGCTAGCAAATCTGCGCCTTCAAGTCTACAGACTGAAAGAGCAACTTCAAAGCAAAGAAAAAACTCAGTTCTCAACTCACCGTTGGACTTGAAGATTATGGATTCGAGATCTTCCATGTCACGCAGCGCCCCATCGTTCAAACTGAAGCAGGAGTCGAACGATGATGGTAATCGAGCGTCTGTCGGAGATTCCCCAGAGTCGAAAAACGCCATGAACAGCAATTGGAGCGCTTCGCAATCAGATGCTCATTTTTTTGACCTCGACTATTTCTCGTCTGACTCTTCCAAGTCAAAGCGGGCCACAGCGCAGACAGCTCCTGTCGCCAATGCGCTAAAGACGAAGGTGCCTTCGAAGCAGAAAGCTCCTGGGAAAGCCCCGAGCGGGAACAGCGCATCTCTTCATACCAGTTCAAAGAAGGCTTATGCTGCGGACAACTCTTTTGGCTCAGAGGAGGAAAGGTCTTCTGGAGCAAGTGTTGCAGACCGATCAATGATGGGACCACCGAGCCTTCTTGACGACGATGATACGCCTCCCTCGATTCATACATTGAGGAACTCGGATTTTGACCAGAGTGGCTTCGGAAAGTCTCCTATACAATCTGAGACCAAATACTCAGATTACTCGAATCACTCGAATGTTAAGAAAGAGGAGTCTGCAGGCACATTGTATTTTAAGAAGATCGCTGGGACCCCATCGGTGCCGCAGCAAGCTTTGAAGTCTCAGATCAACCGGGTTTCTCACTCCCCCCATTTGGAAAATATGCCACGCTCCGATTCATTTGACCCAATTCTGGGGGCGCTTAGTTCGCTCCAGCAGGAAAAAACCAAGCTGGAATACAGATTATCAGGCACGATGAATGAGTTGTCGGCTACACAATCTGAGCTGTCGTCTACGAAAGCCTTGCTTGCTTCGTTAAAGGAGAAAAGCCGAGGTCTTTTGACTACAGTACGAGACATTGGAGCGGACAGAGACGAGCTGCGGCGTGCGATGGATGCGTGCTCTGCAAATATCGAGCTTGCTCGTCTGGGTATCATAGAGTTGAGAAGTGAGGTGAACTTTTCCCGTCGTCGGTTGACTGAACGGGAAGAGATGAACGAGGACGTGTCGATGCAGCTACAGGAGCTGGACAAGGAACTGAATCGCAGTATGTATAGGTTTCTGTGAAACAAAGATGGTAATTTACTGACTTTATCTGCTTCTACAGGATCGATGGCCTACCAGTTACTTCAATCGAAGTTTGACGAGAAATCGGGATTGCTGCTTGAGGAGCGCAGTAAGGTGTCTGCGTTGGAAGAGAAGATTCATCAGCTAGAGAATGAGCGTCAGGCACTGGTTGAGCAACACGAGTCAGAAAAGTCTACGGCGCTCAGATCTATTGAGAGCAAGCTACAGACTGTGAATGATGACTTGACAAAGTATGGGTGGTGTCTAAGTGTTTAGACGGTTTTGGGTTTTAGCTGACATGTGGAATTATTAGATTTGAGGGCCTTTTGGACACTCGATTTCATGATTATACTCTGCGGTTGGAGAGCATCCACGATCTTAACCTCGAGATGCAGGATATGTATGAGCCTTGTTGATTATTATTACTAAGCGATTGCTAAGGAGTGTTCTTGTGCAGAATCACTACAAACCGGGACTCGATATCAAAGCTGAGCTCATTGTCTTCGTCTCAGAAAACACATATTGAGGCGTCTATGACCGAGTTGCAGGAGATACTTCGACGGGAGATCTCCGAGATGATCTCGCAGGCCGGTGCTCTTCAAACCTTGAACGCTAATCTGGAGGCCGGGAATAAGACTCTTCAGTGCAAGATTTCGGAGGAAGAGACAGCAGGAAGAGAGAAGAATACGCGGATTCTGTATCTAGAGCAAGAGATCAGCAAGGCGCTTGACGAGCTGGCTCAGAAGGTGGATAAGGGAGTTGTCTTGAAGCTTGAAGACGAGCTGTCTGAATTACACAAAGCTGCCGAATCTTATTCTCAACTATCAGCAGAATGGAAAGAAAAGATGAAACAAAGCAGCGAGAAGATCGAAGAGCTTGAGGTATGCACTATTTCTTGACGCACATGACGAGTCGTTTCTGCTAATACAGTTTATTTTGGCAGGATGAGCTTCGATCCAAGTCCGATACACAGGCTCACAAGGAGTGCCAGCATTTACTAACACAGCAGGAGCAGCATGCGAAAGAGCTTACGATGGCATGCGAATTAGATAAGCAGAATGCTATCCATTCGTTGACGTCTAGATACGACAAGCAGATGGCAGAGATGGGAAGAACCCATACGGCTAGCATCGAAGCAATCAAACGGGACTTGGTATATTTGTTTATTTACCCCAGCAGTTTTTCTTGGAGAAGAATACTTAACGGACTTTTACTTTTTTAATAATAGGCTGCCGAGAGAGAATTACGAACAAAGACAGAGACAAGGGTGAGCGCGCTGCAAGAGTCAGTAGTGACAGTGACGCGACAGACGGAGGAGAAAGCGGCCGAGATAGAAAGGCTGAAGACAGCGCTTGAGGAGAAGGCGAGAAGGATCCAGCAGCTTGAAGAAGGTCGGCCGGTTGTGAATATCCCGGAGATCCGGTTTATTCCGCGAGATGTGTCGACGGAGGCAGTCCAGGAAGGCAGACGGTTTCATTCTGCTTCGTTCTACGATGAAGTTGAAGGTATACGCGAGCCAGAAGGTAGCGCGAATGATGAGCTGGCTGCGGTGCTTGATGATACCACCAAGGAGTTTGAAGTGCGAGATTCTGTATTTGACGATCCGATGCTGCTCTCTGTGACGTTGATTGAGGACATGAACGTGTCTGAGTTGCAGACGCCGCCCGTGCAGAAAGTGCGAGTGCGATCGGCAAAGGGCTCTGCGAAGAAGCGAAAGGTCAGTTAACTGCTGCTTTGAGTTTGCATTCTTCCAGGTCTAAATTAATGAGCATACGTTTGTCAAGCAGACCCCTGCAAAGACTGCAGAGGCATCAGGGAAAAGGACCCGGGTAGGCTGATTGATCCCCTACATATTTGCTATTGCGCTAGTCTGTGATCTAACCGTTAGCTGCTAAGACGCGGTCGGCATCGCTTGCAGGGAAAGAGCTTTGAGTGCCCGAGAGCGCGAGTATAACATCAGTCAAACATCAGGGGATGGGTAAGTCCACAGGGGATGGGTAAGTCCAAAACGGGAAATAGCATCTGACGCTAATCTTTCTTTGCTTTTTCTATCTTATAATTATCGCTGTCTGTTTTTTCTTGATTTATTTCTTGCTATATTATATATATTGAATTCGCAGCTATCCTTACACCTGTTGACCTCTGCTGACTTGAGGCGTAGAATACGCAAGATCACACGAGAGCAATCAATCTCGCAGGCGTACGTAGACCCTTAAAAATGCACGTACGTACAGAAAGAAGCAAAGAAGCAGAAGCAGGCGCCTGTTTACGGTTATCTGCTATCGCCTTAGTCATCATCTTCTTCTTCTTACAGTTAGCTTTAAAGCCACGCAGCGCTAGGCAATCAGAGTTTCCAGTTTTCCCTTATTTTTGTTTATTTTTTGAATTTAGGGTTTTTGTTTCTTATTCGATTAACCTTTGCGGATAAGCAGCCCAAAGCAGCAAAAACGGGAACACTATAAACACCAAGGAACCTGTTCCAAGAGCGTGGCTGGAGGCTGTGGCTGTGGCGCAGAGAAGGAGGAAAAAAAAAGGGTCTGCTTTTTTATACTTTTTCCGGAAGTCGGCGTCCCGGCGGATCCGATCTCGGTCGGGCCTTTTTGCTTTTATGCTCTGCCGTGTTTTCTTAGTGTGTTTCAAAGGGTATTGTTTGTTGCTGTTGGTGGTGCATTGTGGAGTTGCTGTATTGTTTTTAGTTTAGACTGTACAAAGGCAAAGGAGAAAGCATAGCTACTATTATTACACAAATGAATATGATACCGAATCTGAACTCGGCTTTTTGAAGCCCTTCTCAAGGAAAAAAAAATAAAAGGTCGACAAAAGATAAAAGTAGAAAGAGACCCTGCTTGCGTACACATACGAAAAGACAACACAAAAACCAACAAAGACTCGAGAGATATGAATGAGAGTGTGTGCGTGCGAATAAAATAAAACAGTCGAGGAAAATACACAGGCCGCGGGTGAACGAGGTAAAAGAATAAGAGAAGTAGAGACAAAGATACAAAATACAGCAAGTATTAAAATAAAGAACAAGCGCGCTCGATCAACAACTCAACCAATCATCAAATGTTTTTTGGTCCTCTTCGATCAAAAGGTCAGGAGAAAAACGCATGCATGCACCTCTTTTCTCGAACCTTTTCCCTTTCACCGTTGGATACAAGAAAGTCTATAACAAGGAAAAAAAAATGTATCATGCAACTGACAAACACGCCAAACAGCACAATGTTCAGCGTCTCTTGTCACTCCCACAAAGAGCGTCTTTCTTCATCTTCTCTCTCTCTCTCTCTCTCTCGCTTTCTCACACTTTCCCGTCGGTCTCTTCACTTCTCTGAAAAAGACCACGCAAGGCAACAATCAGGTGAAGTAATAATTAAGCATTAGGCCCGCAAAACTCTCTCAAACAAGGAAACAGCAGAAAAATGAAAAATAATTACAACCAACCAGTAATTAAACACAACAAATAATCCAACTTGATCTTTATAATCTAACTCACACATAGTAGTACTCCCAGAGCTCCCCTAGCAACTCGTCTCAGCAAATCAGCAAAAAGCAGAAAGAAACAAAAAAAAACAAATAGTCATCTTCGCTCTTTTTACTTCTGCTCGAGGCTGCTAGCGGAGCTGCTGTTGCCGCTGCCATTGTCGTTGCTCGTGCTCGCACTGGCGCTAGCGCTGCCAGTCAGGCTGCGCCTTCGTCGACCATGGTCCTTGCCTCCGACTGCCGCCGCGGCCGCGTAGAGCTCAGAGTCAGACTCCTCGGGTGAAGTAGACTCGGGAGTCCGACGCATCATCATCTGCTGCGGCGGTGGCGGAGGGGCAGACATGCGCGGCAGAGGAACGCCACGCACCGACGACGACGACGAAGAAGAAGGTGAGCCTTGTCCGAACGCAGCTGTCATCATCGCGTCCATCGGACTAGGTCCGACAAGCGAGCTCAGCTTGCGGGCTTGCATTGGCGGCGGCATGTACTGCTGCTGTTGCTGGTGGTGGTGCATCGCACGCGGGTTGGATGCATATCTGAATCGACTGTTTGGCGGCGCCGGCGGCGCGCTGTCGAGCATGGCGGAGCTACGTCCCATCTGTGGCGACATAATCGGTAAGGACTGTGAGTGGTGGTACAGCGACGGACGGGGTGCGTTCGACGACATCGAATTCGCACGGCTGTCGGCCAGCACGCGACTGTCGACCTCATGGTAGCGGTCAGACGTGTAGTCGGCAACGGACGACGTCAGAGAATCGTAGTAGTCCACGCCCACCGAGCTTTGATCCGGCGTCATGCTCTGCTTTCGGCCGGATCGCATCAGGCGCTGGAACGCACCACTCACTCCACCACCGCCATTGGTCATCGACTCATTCTTCGTCCGCCCACCAACATTGCTAGTGCGTCTGTTTCGCTGCGAGGTGTACGCAACCATGTCAACTTCCACAGGAGGCTGCGCTGGTCCACTGAAGTAGTCACCGCCAGCATATGGCGCACGGTTGGGGATTCCGCCAGGTGTCATCGAAGGGCGCATGCCTCTTTGACGCTGCTGCATCGCGTACTCCTGCTCACGGATAGCAATCTCCCGTTGTCGAAGTTCCATCTCTCGCTCGCGCAACGTCAAGTCCTGCAACGACGGCGATCCGGCAAGTTTACCCTTTCCAGGCGCAGCAAATTCGCTGCCGTTGTTCACAGGAGAAGGAAGCGTACTGCTGTATGCGACGACATCAGAAAACTCCTCGAGGCCTTCCATCGAACTGCGTCGAGAAATCGATTTCCGAGAAACATGTCCGTTTTGCGAAGATGCAGGTCGACGAGGAGGGGCCGCCTGTGTACCGTTCTGAACAGGTGCGCGTCGCGCCGCAGCGGCTAAGCTCATGTTGGATGGCTGACGGGAAGGAACAGCGGGAATGATGGGTGTGGCCATAGCGCCCTGTTTTTCAGATTGTTAGCAAGCCGATGCAAAAAAAATATACAGAAAATGAAATGTAGCTCACTCTTGATTGGTTGATTTCGTTAAGACGGGAAAGTGTGAGGTAGACCATCTCAAGGCGCGGAACCTTCAGGCCCATGTCGTCGGCGATTTTGAGAGGATTGCCCACCATGACCTCGACTTCCATAGGTCGCTTGGCGAGATAATCCTGGTACATCATCGAAGGCTTGGGGTTGGCAGCCGTCGTCTCAAGAACGCGACGAGCAAAATTGCTGTCGAATGAGCATCGTTGTGACCTGGCAATCAAGATGAGTTCGTCAATGACGGCGGCAATGTTTGCGCGCATGCGAGGCATGAGGATAAGAGAAGAGAGGTTGGGTTCCTCCATGATTACTGATAGTGAATGCAATGCAATAGGACCGATCGACTTCTCCCACTGCTGCTGACGGATGTTCTTCGACACGGCGCACTTTACAACTCCGGCTTCGAGCGTCAGCGCTAGCGAATCAGCCATGTCGTCGATCGTCGTAGGATCTGTCGGTTGCGTCTTTGTGCAGCAACCAATCCAGTACTGGGCTGCGTCGGTGCCGCTCTGCTCGAACTCTGCAGGTCCGATTTGCGAAACTTTCGAGTCGCACACGAGCGAGAGAATGACGTTTTCCTTGAAGGCAGACTCGAGGTACGATTCGATACCGATGCCAGTGCTTGTGTTGACGACGATGCATGTGTGGCCTGGAGTGACCACTCTTTCGATGACGGATCCAAGGTCGTAAACATCTGGAAGGGCTTTGACGCAGAGGAGAATGTAATCGAAACCGCCTTCGGGAACTCTGACGTCGTCGATAGATTTTGAGACTAAAATCAGCAAGTTAGTGTCTGGGCTGGTGTGCAGAAGGCGGCGGTAGAAAATAAACAAAACACGAACCTTGGAAAGGACGGAGTCTGCCGGGACCAAGTTGCTGCGACTTGAAGGCAATACCATAGTTCATGACGATTTCATAATGAGATTTCCAAATGAGCGACACGTCGGCGGCATTGCTGGCAGTGAGTCTCCAGGAGAGGAATGCAGAGATGGAGTTGCTGCCAACTATTAATAGTAGAGGTATGATTAGCGCCTGCTCTGGCTGACTCAAGTCTAGAAAGGGAAGAACGTACCTGACAGGACCTTTAATCGGCTGCTGTCGACCATTATGTGGGATTAAAATGAGATGTGGAGGAGGAATATACAAAAATCAAGCTTCAGCACGCAGGGTTAGCACGAGTTCTGCTGATCTTCAATATAAGAGAGAGCCGGCCAAGAAGGGCGGACGCAGCCGCAGAAATTAAATCTTCTGGTAGCAATTGTTGTTGGGCAAGGCGGAAGAGAAGGCTGCGGCACGGGACTGAATAAGGGACGGGAACGGCAGGCGAAGAGAGACGCAAGCAAAGATCCTGAAACGTCGTTGTCGATGTGAGTTGAGAGAGCGGAGTGCAGCGAAAAGGGAAGGGGCGCCTCAGCCAAAAGAAGGCTGAGGGCAGATTTGTGAGCGAAATTTGAGAGCGCCGCGCCGAGGAAAAAAATGCAGCTCGCCTTAACAAATGCCGCGCGTCCGACGTTCTTTGACCAGCTCAGGAGGACAGGAGAGGCAAAAAAAATAGATAATAATAGGAATAATAGCAGTAAAATAGGAGAATGACTTACAGAGTCTCTAGTTGAGAGGAGACGGGGTAAAGGAGAGGGAGGGGGGATGGGCGAATAAGTGAATGTACGCAGGCCAGCACAGCATGCGGGCTGAACGCGAAAGAGGTAGGAGGCCGCGGGGGTGAGGGGTTCTGCTTGTAGATGTTAATATGAGTTGGTGAATGAGGAGAGCTGCTGTGTGCTCTGCTTGTCGGTATCGTTTGTGTGTGTGTTTGGGTGCAGTTCTTTGTTGTGCAGGAGAGATAAGTGAGGGCGCGGCGCGGGTGACGAACAAAGACACGTAGCAGCACGAGACCAGGAGTTTCCGTGCGCGAAGAAGCTGGGATGGGGAGGTCGGTGGAAGCGGAGAGTAGGAAGAGGAGGACGGCGCGAGAGATGTAGTGGATGTGCGAGATAGGAAGAGGGCGTCGGAGGAGGGGCTGAGGGACCGAGAAGCAGGCGAGCGGACGGGCGGAGGAGGTAAGGAGAGGAGCGGAACAGGGCGAACAGACCTGAACAGAGAGGCGGGAACCTTAGCCCGAGGAAGCAGCGGATGATGAGGAAGAGGGACGAACGGGGATGGGAGAGGGACTGGGTAAGAAAAAGGCGGCGAGAGAGAAGAGGAGGAGGAGCGGGCAGAGTTTTCGTTGCGGGCGAAGAAGGCGCCAGTCAAGCAGGGTCTTGTCCGACTGCGAAGCTACGACGACTACGAGAAGAAGCAAAACACAAACACAAAAAGAGCTCGCACGCCACTAATGCGCCTACCCGCAGCGCTGCTGACGTTTCCGTACACGACGCTGCTCCCTCGCAGGCCTCGAGCCCGTCTCCGGCAGCCCGCGACGGCGAGCAGGGCGCCTGGCCGGCGGACGCACTTGGCTGCCTCCTTCGCTCGCGGACGTCGATACTCCAGCCCCTTCCGTCTGGGCCGATCCGATGTCAGTGGCTGGTGCCCGCCCTGCACAGCCATAGTGCGGCGTACACGCGTCAGACTCTTCCCGCTTTGGGCAGCGCCTCTCCCGATTCGGCATACTATTTATAGAGTGTGATCTGCATAATTGGGTAGTCTTAATATGGAGAGCTTGATTGCGGGAGGGTTGGGTAAGGTGTTAGTCATCCGGACTGAAACAGCGCGTACTCCGAGATTGAGCATCGCGTGTTGCTGCTTCTTTGGAAGATGCAATTGTGTTTGCATCCAGCAGCTGTTCTCGTCTTCATGAGCTCGGAAACAGGCCGAGTTGCTGACCGGGTGCGGGGCACTTCGTGATAAGACATGCAGCAGGCAGCAGCAAAGCCGCCAGCTCGCATGCCGAGAGAACACCAGCGCTGACCAGATCCATCGCCATCACCGCGCGCACTCGCCCTCCTCCACACTCAAATGTCCCGCATCTGCTCTTCCTGCCTGTCGAATCGCGTCCACTCGGACCAGCTCACGTTGTCCTCCTCCTCAGCCTCCCTGTGCCTGGTTTTAGTCTGCTGCGGGCGCTCCTGGTTGGAACTCTAGCTTGAACGAGATGACGTCACATGACTCGTAATCGCCTGCCTGCGCTCGGTAGTTTCAACACCTCGGAGACTCGGACTAAAACTCCGTTGTCTGCTCTTCCTCACTTGCCAAGGGCTTCTCGCCGATCCGTGCTTCTCTGCGATGTTGCTGCTGGTCGCAGGACGCTGTTGATTCTGCAGGGTCTGCGTCGAGCAACTCCGACGCCGGACATCCGTAACTATGAACTGCGCGCAGTTGTCATGACACAACTCTCACCTCATCCACGCAGCTATATCATATCCCACATTTCGCATGACAACTCACTGCCCTTCAATATACAAGCACTAATCATCTTGCTTCTATAGTCATACACAAGACTATTAATTCAGCTTCCGTCGTAGCCGCGACCAAGATTCACGCTGTCACATCTCATAACAAAATGATCGAGAGTACGTCATGATCATCAACCCAATCCCAAGATCATCGATGACCCACCGATTAGGCACCCACTGCCGATTAGGTAGTCTCAGCCCTTCTACAGCTCAATTAATGGAAAACAGCTGCAGTATATTGCAATTAGCTGTATTATATGAACAACAAATATCCCCAAGCTTCAACTTCAACCTCGATGCAGTCTGAGTTCAATATTCTAGGCGAACCGCAAGCTGGGCGAAGTGATCTCCCAATTCGGAATATCTCGGCCAAGCTGCTAGTTGCCGGGCAATCGCCTCGCCTGATGCCGTGTTCCAGTGAATGCCCAGGACCGGTGCACGCGCTTGATGATCAGAAATGAATCAAACGGCTGTTGACTGCGGACATATATATATCCTGCGGGAATCTCGCTAGCTACACGTGTGAATTGCACCCACAGTGCCCTACCTCTCCAAGATGCCTGCAAAATGCCCGCAACCACCACGACAGCATATCCTACCGTCTCAACACTTTCCTACAATAAAACACAGTCTCTCCGCCGATTATCTAGCATTCCACCTCCAACGTAGCAAACAATGGCGCGGACAGCAGCCGGGTTACCTCCACGACAATCGTGACATCATCCGCGCGCATGGCACCTAAACTCCCGCCCGTCGAACTCACTGAGCGATTTAACAAAGAACTTCTCGCTGACGATCTTTTTTTCACTACTTGATCTCCCCCGCTTCCCGATTCCCAGACCTGCACTCCTCTTGATCTCTCACTACGACCGCAAATCATGTCTTTGAGCAGACACATCGACGCCGAATCCCTCATCGAGGAGCACATGCGCCGGCGCGGCGCTGTTGGCACCGCTTCGAAGAATACCAAACACGTCATCTCGCCCTACATCAACCGCTACACCTCTGTCGAGCCTGCTCCCAGATTGTAGGCTCCTCTCATCATTCAATCACTATCCTCAATGCTCTTTATCGTCTAATTTTTGTTCTATAGTAAAATCCCGAAGAACGGCGTTGATGCGAAATGTACTTTATGCAACTTTCATTTTTCATTATGCAAGATCTGCAGCTAACTCTTTGCAATAGCCGCCTACCAGCTCATCCGCGATGATCTCGACCTTGACGGAAAGCCCAATCTCAACCTGGCCTCGTTCGTCGGCACCTACATCGAAACCGAGTCCGAGCGTCTCACCGTCGAGAACCTGACCAAGAACCTCGCGGACAATGACGAGTACCCGGCACTCATGGAGATCCACTCTCGCTGCATCAATATCCTCGGCAGCCTCTGGAACGCGTCGCCCCAGGAGAAACCCGTTGGTTCCGCGACCACCGGTTCTTCGGAGGCAATTCATCTCGGAGGTCTCGCCATGAAGCGCAGATGGCAGGAGAAGCGACGTGCTGAAGGCAAGGACGCCTCGCAGCCCAACATCCTCATGGGTGCCAACGCTCAAGTCGCGCTGGAGAAATTCGCTCGGTATTTCGACGTCGAGGCGCGTCTGATCCCCGTCAGCAAGGAGAGCAACCACTGCATTGATCCCACCAAGATCCTCGACCAGATCGACGAAAATACAATTGGTATCTTCATCATCCTCGGATCAACCTACACCGGCCACTACGAGCCCGTCGAGCAGATCAGCAAAATGCTCGACGACCTCCAGGATCGCACCGGTCTCGATATCCCGATCCACATCGACGGCGCCTCCGGTGGCTTTGTCGCGCCGTTCTGTCACCCGAACGTGAAATGGGACTTCCGCCTCAAGCGCGTGCACAGCATCAACACCTCCGGCCACAAGTTCGGCCTCGTGACTGCCGGTCTGGGATGGATCATCTGGCGATCGGAGGAGTATCTTCCCAAGCACCTTGTCTTTGAGCTGAAATACCTCGGAGGCGTCGAGCAGTCCTTCACGCTCAACTTCTCGCGCCCAGGACACCAGGTCATTCAGCAGTACTTCAACTTCCTCCACCTGGGCTACGACGGCTACGCACGCATCCAGCGAAACTCTCTTTCGAACGCAAGACTCTTGTCTGAAGTGCTCGAGGACTCGGGTCTATTTGTATGCTTGTCCGAGATCCACCGGCCGAAAGGCGTCCACACGTTCTCACCCGAGACCTCCAAGGGCGCCGAAGCCGATCTTGATGATGATCCCGAGTCTTACAATGCCGGTCTTCCTGTCGTTGCCTGGAGATTCAAGGACGAGATCTTGAAGAACTTTCCCCATGCTAAGCAGTCCAGCATGGCCACGCTGTTGCGTGTGAAAGGATACATCATTCCCAGTACGCTCTCTCATATTTCTACTCAACCCCGTGACAAGCTTCTAACAATCTCATCATGCAGACTACCCCCTCCCACCCGACGAAGAAGAGGTTGAAATCCTCCGCGTCGTCGTTCGCGAGTCCATGACCGCCGACCTTCTCAGCAAGCTCTGCGAAGACATCATCAGCATCGCAGAGTCCCTGATCAACGGCGACGCCGACGACATGCATTCGCCCGCCCATCCCCTCAACGCCGTGCAGAAGCTCACCACGCTTTCGCGCAGAGCTACGAGTCTTGGTGCGCTTTCGGAGCATACGAGTCAGATTAACCTCAATGAGGAGCCGCGCAAGCATAAGCATGGTCACTTCAAAGGTGTTTGCTAGCTGAGTCTGTGTCTATAAAAGTATGGTGTATTGTACGAAAATGTAATTAAAATTTTACGAGTGGGTAGCAGTCAGTAGTGATTGTTCTTATAGTAAAACCTGTTTTTGTCACTGATCTAAAGAGCACATCAGTCCTTCCCACTGTCATACATGACCATCGACTGCGCGCTCTCCCGGAGCTCATACATCAGCGACCCAGGCACCTCCGTCCACGGCAGCCCGTAATATGCACACTCTCCCGCCTCCTCCAAACACTCGAGCGCATGCGGCTTCTTATCGAGCCCGATCCACTCCTTCGCCGCCACAAGCTGCCAAAACGCCGCCTTCCGGCGCCGACTGCCCCAGCCCTGTGACCCCATGCCCCGTCTGATGGCGTAGCACGCACTCACGCGCTCGATTATCAGCGCATGCGCAAGATTGCCCATCAGCTTCTCTGAAATAGCTTTCATGAGCCAGCGCGCGGCGTCGTCCGCAGCGCCCCCGCCCCGCGAGCGTAGTAATTCGGACGCCATCAGGATCGTCCGCAGCGCGTAGGTGGGCTGATTACACCGCGAGGTGTACGAGTATGTAGCCGAATCCAGCATCGGCTCGAGAGTCTCCATCCTCGTCTTTGACGACAGCGGCGTCCCGCTCAGGATCAAACTAGTCGCAGCCATCTCCTGCGCGCCGGCATGGTACTTCCACGCTTTATCGTTCAGAAAGTCTTTGCGCAGGATATCGTACGTCGACTGCGCCAGGCGCCAGTCGCGCAGCATGACCGCGTAGTCTGCGAGTTTCCGCATCTGCGCCTCGGCAGTCATGAACCCGTACGAGGACGTCACAGGGTCGTAGTTGCCCGACGCACCTGCTGACGCGCCTGCTCCTGCTGCACGACTGTTTGTGCCCAGAAAGCGACGTGAGGCGGAAAAGAACCGGCCTGTGAGGCCACGCCTACTTGACGCGATCTGTTTCGGTGTATTTATTAGCAAGATGGTAAATGCAAACATCATAGATAAAGAATTATCACGCACCTGATCGTTCCATGTGTTTACGCACCGCTCCATAAAAGGAATCAGGCTCTGAACAGTCATCTCTCTGACAAACGCCTGAAGGTTCGAAGCATCCTCCGCTCTAATATACCGTTCCTTCCGCTCGGTATTCTGCAGCAACTCGACCTCTTCCGCAGCCGATATCCACTCAGAATGCGGCACGGCTTGTATCGGTTCTTCTGTCGCGTTCAACTCGACCTTTGACGAATGCATCCGGATCATGTGGCAATGCAGCCCGAAATGCCGCTTCATGCGCTCAAACAGCGCAATCGACTTCTCGATCTCGCTGTGGTCCTCGTCGTGGATCAGGATGTAGTAACGAAGATAATCTTTACTCATGTAATTTGGTACCGGCGTGTCGTTCCCGGTCTTGTACAGCATCGACAACGTCTCGATCGGCTGCGGATTCCGCGACGAGATCGCAATCACGGACGCAACCGGGTGCGCAAACGTCTCGTGCGCGGAAATCGGCGGCGTGGCAAGTAGCCGTTTCAAGCAGCGGTGGTAGATCGCGTCGTGCATAGCCGCGGGCGAAAAGGATGTTGTGGGGGAGAAAAACCGTGGCGATTGAGCCAGGTACAGCGAAAGCACGCGGTCGAGATCGTAGATGTCGAAGCACGCCGACGCTTGGGCTGCCATCTGGGCTGCTTTACTGTTGCTGCGCGCACGGGTCTTTGTAGGTGACGATGTCGGTGTACTCTGGGACGATGACGAGGGACCGGATCCTGTGCCCTGCTGTGGCAGCGATGCCGCAAACATTGCCTTGGCTGCGAAATTCGACGACACAAAGCGAATCCCAAAGTCTTCGAGTGTGGAGGTTATCCCCTGCGAATCCCGGACCACTACCGGTCCCTTGACTTTATCGCCAAACGGGCGCAGGAGCTCGAGCAAGGAGTCGAAGCCCATGTCGCGCGCGAACTCGTTTGCGTCATCGGAAGCGAAAACCGCGATGCGCGGCGCGAACGACTGCGCAATCAGCGACGCAACTACCGACAGATGCGACGGCGAGGCCGCGTTGTTTGGCGAAAGCGGGCCGGAAGATGAATTGTTTGCGCTGCCGCCGCCCAAGAGCGACGAGAACGAGAGAGAAAGCGACGGCGAGGGCGAGGCGGAGGAATGAGGAGGGGTCGTGAGGAAGCCTCGGCCGTCCGGGGACGAGTGCGGCGAGCTTGAGGCCATATTATCGCATGCTTTTGTTTTCTGGAATGGGTAATCTCTATCAGTGCATCAATGCCCCTGGTGATTGTTGTGACCTGCGTGCACACCGGCGGTGGATTGTTGGTGGTGCGGAGCGGAGAGGAGGGGCAGGAGAGTTGATGGAGATGAAATCACATTGAATTTGGATGTTGTAAAGCCTCAGCATTGGAGCAGCGGCCGCCGCATCGCGCAACAGATCACCAATATCTACCAACGATAGAATCATTTCCACTGTTAGGAGCATACATATGGATTGCTCGTAGGTATAATTTACATTAATAGAAAGAGAAAATTACACAGAAGTCTCTGTTGTATAAACATACTAAGGTAAACCAAATCCAAATCAATTCACCATATATTACAGAACTAAAATCTAATCGTCATCCTCTTCCTCCTCGGCAGCAGCGATCTGAGCAAGTCGAGCGGCCTCAACCTCCTTATTAACCGCAACCTTAAAAGCCTCCTTATCCTCTGCAAACTCCAGCAAATACTCAACTTCCATCTCATGCGTTCGGTGTCCCAAAATCACCAACGAATGCAGCGGCTCTCCGCTCTCAAGCTCGGCCATATCTGCCAGAGTCCCGGCCACAAACTTCTGCTGCGGCGAACCCAGACGGGAAATTGAGACGCAGGGAGTGTCGCGCGTGTAGGCCGATTGCTGGCGCATGTCCTCGATCTCGAGGAGCTGGGAGGCTGCGGTTTCGATGTTCATGTAGCGTGGTGGCTCGTAGATCTTTCTTCCTCGCGCCATGTTCTCAAAGCTCTGCTCCTTGACCTTGATATCTATAGACAGAAAAATCGGCAGTTAGTAAGACGTATTTACAATGTATACACATTTAGGAATCAAGAAATAACTAACCAAGAAGCACAAGAGTATGCAAGCCAATATCACGATTCTCCTTTATCCGATCATAGAAACTGCTAGGCTTCCAATTATCCATAAAAAACACAAGCGAAACCGTCTGTCCGAAGTTGTACAGCTGTAATCCACAAGCACCCACCGCGTTCATCACAGAGGCGTTGTGGATTGTCTCGACTGGAATGCCGAGCTCGCGCGCTCGAATTATGAGATCGGTATGTGTTGTCGCTCTGGGGGAACCGGTCAGCATATTTAATCTGTAATGCGAAATATATAGAGGAGAAATCAGACTCACCCAAATGGATCTCCGACTACCAGAAACGCAACGTCAACGTTCTGAGCATTCTCTAGTATCTGTTCGCTCCCGCTCTCGACCAGCTCTCTGTCTGCCAGTATAACTTCCCGACCATACAACTGCTCCTACAAGCCACAAAAAACCAAAAAGATCAGTATACAACTCAGAACAACGGGAAATCAGTCGATACGTACAAGATCTTCTTTCGAGGCAGCCATCAGAATGCTAGTGTACGCTTCCAGATACACCCGCTCGCATTTCTGAACCGCCTTCAGTCCGCGGACGGAGATATCCTCAGGAGACGACAACCCAAGCCCAATAAAATATAAAACCATCTTGTACTTAAATCAGCAATTAGATAGAGGCGCGGTATGAAATCTGGTAAAAGAAACAGGCTATCGGCCAGAGAGAATAAATTTTGATTTTGAGCAGGGTAACGAGCGTTCCGGGGAGGATGTTAAATGGGCAGAGATGGTAACCCCTGAAAAGCTTGTTGATAGCAGCGGATATCGTCTGTATCTGCTGCACATCTAAACCGATCTTTTGATATACAGATCTATATTTGTCTATCTTATTCATATAAACACTCAATGTCCATCAAGCTCGGTCACCCAATCCACCAGTCGCTTGGCCATAACATCACTATCTTTGACGCAGAACGCATGCTTGCAGTTCTCTTCCGCCGTCGAGATGTTGAACGAAACATTCTCCCTCTTCGCGTGTGCCTCCAAAATCTCCGCCCTGGTACGATCTGCAACCCAATGATCCTAGAAACCAGTTAGCTTTCAACTTTTTCATAAAGACAACACAGAACTGTAGAACTCACGCTCTCGGCAAAATACGCAACAATCCGTCCTTGCTTGCTACTCTCGCTATGTAATGTTCCCCAAGGGCCATCCCAAAAGAACTCAGCCATATCATCGCGTTCTCCGTGAATGCCCATTTCTTCAATGCCCAGACTGATAGACTGCCAAACAACGGCAGGAGAGCCGACCAGCTGGGTGGTGGCATGCAAGGCATGCTCCGGCGGGTTCCTCATCGCGAGCTTGATTATAGTGTGAAGGGCCGAGGATGGGAGATATTTTGCAGCGTAGAATGTGAAGATCGAGACAAAATCGGCTAGCCGTGGTACATATGACGAAATGGTTTTCAACGCCATTCCGCTACTGCTTTGTGCCAAGTCTCTGATTGTGGGGAATAGGAGGACTGCGAGGGTGATCGGTGCTGGAATCTGCTGTTTCGCAAGTTTCGCTAGCATGCGCTGAATCATCCAGCAGCCTATACTGTGACCGACGACTACCACCTGTTTCTTGTTCACAAGATCGACGGTCGAGAAGTAGCTGTATTTCTGAAGTAGGGAGGTCAGAACCTCCACCTTGTGTTGCGTCTGCTGCTCTAGACCGTAGTATTTCTGATCCGACGACCGTGCTGCACCGGCAGTAGCCACGGTATCGTAACCTGCTTGCGAGACGCAAACAATGCGCCAACCCGGCAAGCCTTCTCGGGCCTGAGAGAGAAAAGGAACGTAGTATTCTGGTAGACCGGGATTCCCCGGTATTAAGAAGATCATTCCGCATTCTTCGGTCGCAGCATCGGGAGGAACATCGTATATAGTGGTCGGATATTCGTGCGGATATTTCTGCAGCTTAAACAGAGACTCCGCCATGACTGGATCTGGATACCGACACTACCAAACAGGTTGAGACTTCACTCTGAAATAGAATCTGATACAAATCTCGTGCCTTGGTTACGAACGGCGATCAATCAACGTTGGTGATCCTCAAAACGCGTCGCCGATGATTCCAAAGACGTTTCATCCCAAATTGACCAGAACGCGCGAACTTGGCCGGGGTCGGACTCAACTCCGGATTTCATTCTCCCAGCTAACCAGACCAGCATTCTCTCTTCTCCCCCACACTGAGCTTCATCTTTCTGCGGCTTGCCTTTCTGCTCTTCCGCTGTTTGCTCATGTCGGATGACGACGACGAGGCACCTGTGCGTTCTCATCCTCATCTGTTGATCTCTTCGCGCTCGTCCATAGCTAACCTCGATCCCTGATATTCCTGCCAGGCGGCCCCCACTGTCCCCAAATTCTCTAGCTTCAAGCCACCGGCCCTCGCCAACGCAGACACCACTTCAGGCCGTCACCATCGCCGCAAACACCACAGTCATCACCACAGCTCGCACCCCTCTTCTTCGTCCTCGAAGACCTCAGGATCGCATTCGAGACATCACAGAGCTCATGAGCATACGGACCACCGTCATAGACAGCCGTCCAGCCGCGCAGAGCACCAGCATGATCGGACGAACTCGAAGCGGTCTGAGCGGAGTGCTTCTGACCACATAAGCTCTTCTAGACACATTGAGCGAAGGAAGTCACCGATCGCTAAATCTCAAGACAAGCAGCAGCAGCTCGCGACTACAGTTCAGCATGAGGAAACCACTGCAGAAACGCATTGGACCACCGAGGCCTGGATCCGTGAGACTGAGAAGGGAAACTTCATAGTATCGGCCAAATTGCTTCCGACAATATCCTACGCAACTCGTGACTTTCAGCTGTTCAAAGTCGACTTGAAGGATCACAAGGACAACCTGGTGTACGAGAGACCGTACAAGCGCCCGAAATACTACAGATTTGGTCATGGCAGAATCTTGGGACTGGGACGTCAGTTTTGGATAGCCGAGCAGCAAGTAACCGAAGCTCGAGAGGGTTACGGAGGGGTGGAGGTTTTAGAGGCACCACGAGATAGTGAAATCAACGATTCATCAACCGTCTGGAGGCTAGATCGCGAGCCGAAGCATGTTAAGGTGGAAAAACGGAACGCGGTAGCAGATCAATTTCAGGATGACACTGAGTTTATACCCTTGACTAGTGCTACCAAGTCAGCACAGGAATATACAGGCATTGAGTCATTTGTTGGCTCTCTCAAAAAGGAAGCCAGCGAAGAAGAAAATAACGATCTCTCGTCTGAAGACGGCCTCGAAACGCACGCCGCGTCAAACAGCAAAGTCATCGAGCTCTCCAAGGCAGTAGACCACTCACCCCATGACGTCTCGCTATGGTTCGCTCTGGCGTCCGAGATGATGACAACCTCCGCATCAGAAAACAAGAAGGCATCTACGGTCGTACGAGTTGAAATCGGACTTTCGGTCTTTGAAAAGGCTATTGCGGTCAACCCTGGCAACACTAGGCTCACTCTTCGGTATCTGGACATGTATGAGAGCGTGAATGGGAAGTTTTCTGCGGGCAAAAAGTGGAAGGAGATAGTTGGGAAACATCCTACAAACTTTGAGCTCTTGCAGGCCTGGATCGAATTCATCATGCGAGACTCGGCAACTTTTGAATACGACGCTGTTCTTGCAAAGATCATCGAAGTGATAGACAGTATTCGATCTCAGATTCAGAGGCAGCGAGATCTTGAGGAGATCGAAGAAAGCCTGATGCATGCTATATTCAGGACTTGCAAGTTTATTTTCGAAGCGGGGTATGTCGAGCACAGCACAGCTATTATCCAAGGCCTATTGCAACTCAATTTTCTAGCACCGGATGTTGCAGACAGACTTGCTTGGCTGAGCTCCTTTTGGGCTGGAGAAGAGCTTCGTATAGGCGATTATGCCAGGACGATAAGCACATCGACAGAGACGGCTGATTGGCTCTCAGAAGAAATCGAGGCCTCAAAATGCTTCATGCCACAGCGGACTACAACTCTGAATGAGCTTTGCGATCCTTACTCGGTTATATTATATGCCGATATATCTCCCTTCATGTATGTATTCCGTGGAAAGAAAGCTAAAGACAATTTGGTGTGGGCATGCTTGAAGTTTTTGGGGTGCAATGTCAAGAAATCTGGGTTCATGCCATTTCTAGACCGTTGGGATGAGAGGATACCTATAGCCGATTTTGAACTCCCCGGACGGTTCGAAAAGATTTACGACGAAAGACTGGTTGACTGCATAGTGAGCTCGTTGCTGGGAGTTATTGATGACGACGAGCTCCTGTCCCTTTTCCTTGAATGGAAGGTTCACGTCGATCGCAGTACCGCTTCGGAAGCAGCTAAAAAAGTGCTAGGCCGACGACGGGATAGTGTCGCGCTGTGGTGCTCTTATGCCGATATAGAATGGCAAATGCAGAACATTGAACGAGCAAATTACGTCTATGAGACCGCAGTATCTTATATGGGCGAAAAAGACGAGGCTATTCTTCTGTATCGCTTCTGGGCTTCAGAGGTTTTGTTTCATAATACAAAAGATTGCGTGCTACAATGCTTGGGAATTCTCTCGGGAGTATCGGATGGGAAAAAGAAGGCCGATCCGTCACAGCAAGACATATCAGAGTCTCGTATGAAGATTGTTGAAATACTACAGCGCTCGTTTCTGTCAAACAACTTTGAGATTGCGGAAGCTGCTGTAGAATGCCTACTCATGCTCTTGTATGCCGAGGCACGCGGCAGCTCTACGCCTTTGGATTTGCCGCTGAAAGTGTACAGCGAGTATATTGATCGAGTTGAAGAGCCATCCGCACATGAGCGGCTGATGCTCTTTGTTGCGCGTTTAGTGAAGCTTGACATGTCTCGAGCCACCACATTCAAGGTCTCAACACTGCGAGATCATCTCACGAGATGTATCAAGCTATACCCCCAAAATGCCGAATTTCTATCAATGTTTGCATACAACGAAAGCAAGTACAGAATCGAGAACAACGTGCACCGAGTAATCAGTGAAGCGCTGGACGACGAGCAACATCCCGCTCCGCTGATAATGTGGCGCTTTGCAGTCGAGTACGAGCGCAGTTTGAAGAGCGTACATGGCGTGACAAATCTTTTCGAACGCGCGGTTGAAAGTGCGATTGGAAAAGGCTGTGTCGGGTTATGGTTGGACTATGCTGCTCATAAGCTTGAGACGGGTACCAAAGAGGAGGCCAAAACTATTTGGTTTAGAGCTATTAGCGCTTGCCCTTGGTCGCGAGGTAAGCGTATCTTCTAGAGAACAGCAGAACCTGCGTCCAGAAAATGGATTTACTGACAATATTTACTAGACGTTATTATCCGAGTATTCCAGAATCGCGATTCCATCCCCGACGGGGAGTTACGACGGGTTCGCGATATTCTCATGGAAAGAAGCTTGCGTCTTCGGGTGGAGATTCCCGAAGACGAATTCGGTATTCAGCAACCGCTAAATCTACCGCAGAACGACGAAGACGATAGCGACGGACAAGATGGAGATGTACAGGACAGAGATGGCGAATAGAAAGAGATCTAGGGTCTATTATTTCGTATAATCTTACAAGCGATCGAATAGTGTACAAACAAATTTCTCCTGGAGCTGACAAAAAAAGAAGAGAGAGATCTCGACACATTCGAAATTGACAAACAAATGAAGGAGTAAAAAAATTAGATGATACCATTTCGCACCGCCCACTCGCGTCCGCCGATGAAGAGTCCACTGGGATCGAGCTTCTGTCGAATACTCTTGAATTTTTTACCATCCTCGCCATACCATTTCTCAAAGACACCGGCGATTCCGACCATCTCGCCATCTTTCTTTATCCGCTTCTTCTCCTCCTCAGCACTCAAGATGCCAGCGGGTCCGATGAAATTCTTGGCCCAGTGAGGCCGACCTCCGTACTGCACCATGACGCCTTCGAATTCGGTGTACCACTTGCCGATTGGCGGGTCTCGACCAAACGGACGATACATTGTAGCGTTGATGTATAGAGTAAGGTTGTCAACGGTTATAGGTTCGCCCGGCGCGGGATAGTCGACACGCGGAGCATACTCGAGCAGGGAGCGGGAGAAATTTCCGGGGATGGCGCCCTTGCCGCCGTTCGCATTCACGATAGCCAGAGGCGAGTCGGGGATTTGGTCCTCTGGAGGGGTAGAGCAGTTGGATACACGGACCTCGATGGGAGCATGAACGTAATAATCGTGATCTTTTGCGGCTTGCGCAACGAGCTGGTCAACCCGAGTGAGGATCTCGACACCGTCGCGCGCAGGGACGGCCCATTCGTTGACATACTGCTTGAAGAGACAGTCCATGTTGAGACCATCGACAGATCCCTGCACGGCTTCGTCGACGGCAGCACCAGGCGTACCGTAAGTCTGTGTGGCACCGTACTGTCGGCGGAAGACGAAGCGCTCGACAGCAGGCATTGCGGGAGGGAAAACGTTGACGGCGAACCAAAGAAGGGATTCGTAAAGCTTGCGGCCTAGCCAGGTACCGTAGAACGAAAACCTTGGCTTTGAAAGAGGAAGGTCCGACTTCTCGGCGCGCCATAGCACGCATCTCCGCGAGTAGGGGAACCACCAGACACGTACAAACTCCTTAGTAGTCCAGAGCGTGCGCCAGTCGGCGAGCAGCCGGTCAAAGTCGATAATTTCCTGCACAGAGTGAATGTTGAATGCCGGCACTGTGCGGAAAGTGATGTGGGTGACGATCCCAAGCTTGCCTAGCGACAGCAAGGCCGCCTTGAACAGATCCGGATCGGTTGTTGGGGAGACGGTGCGGAAATCGCCCGAGGCGGTGAGCAGCGTAATGTCGACGACCTGCTGCGCCAGCGGGCCGTGGAAAGCAGACGAGCCATGGGTACCGGTGGAGATGAGTCCAGCGACGGATTGCTCAGAAATTGAGCCCAGGTTCTGGAGAGCGAGGCCGCGGAAGGCGAGCGCGGCGTTGAGCTGGTAAACCCGAATTCCAGCCTCTACTCGGACGTCGGTGTACTCGGGAGTCTTTTGCGCGGTGACAGGAAAAGTGGATACTACGGAGCAGAGGGAGTCGAGATTGACCAGCCAGTCGTTGGGAGCAGCCATGGCGATGTCGGAGGGCGAGTGGCCGGATCCGACGACGGTGAGCGACACGCCGGCCGCGCGGGCAGAGTGGACGAGGGCGACGAGGTCGTCCATGGTCGGCGGCTGGTGGTAGAGCCGCGGCCGGCACTCGAAGGTGCGGGCCCAGGTTGTATGTACGTGGTTCTCCATCTGAACGGGAGCCAGTGGAGGCAGACGGGCTCTGGAAGGAGGGCGGGAGGAGTGCTTGCGAGGAGGAAAGCAGGTCTCGGCAAAAAACAGCGATAACATGGAAATTTGTCTTGACGCTCGTGCGGCGCCTCGTTGAGCGCAGTCTAATTTTGTACGGGCTGCTGATGAACACGTGCGGCGCTCACTTCAGTCACCGTTGGGCCGTGGAGCTGTCCGGCGCTGGCTTTACGAGAAGACTTTTTCGACGTAGAATTTGGTAGTGTCGGTCGGGCATTTCTCTGGTCTCTGCATCTTCTCCGCGCTGCTGCCTGCTTCGTCGCTGTCGGCCCACCGTCGTCCGGCTCGCGATATTCATGGGTTTAGGGCACCCGTGCCATCAAACCCGTATCAGCTAATGGCGTGACTCAGGCCGGCCATATTGCTCTTCTGGGGCATAAAGCACCTCGCTCACAGCGCGCGTCGCGTCTGTCTCTCTTCCTCTTCCTCCATCTCCCTAGAAACTAGATACAGGCTGCATCTGAATCAAATCATCAACCGTCCTGCTCTCAAACACACATATCGCCCGAAATGGGCCTCCTGACGACCCTGCGCAAGCAGAAACTCAAAGACAAGGAGATGCGCATCCTCATGTTGTATGTAGACTTTTCTGTTCTCACGCGCGCATTCCAAAGCTGACTGTCCCAGAGGCCTAGATAATGCCGGCAAAACCTCGATCGTCCGCGCGCTCCTAGGCGAAGACGTCCGCAGAGTCTCGCCGACCCTCGGCTTTGCCATCCGCACAGTCCCTAGAGGCTCATACACGCTCAACATCTGGGATGTAGGTGGACAGCGGTCGCTACGGCCGTTTTGGCGGAATTACTATGAAAAGACAGATGCCTTGATCTGGGTCGTCGACGCCTCTGCCACCGGCCGTCTACGTGATTGCCGCGCCGAACTCGACGCCGTGGTGAAAGATGACAGGCTGACAGGTGCTGGGTTGCTCGTGCTGATCAACAAGATGGATTTACTGGATGAAAAAGAGCGCGCGAACATTGTCGATCTGGTGACGAAGCAGCTGGGGCTCGCGCAGATCACTAACCACGCGTACAAAGTCATGCCATGCAGTGCTTACACTGGCGAAAATCTTGACTTTGCTCTGGACTGGACCGTCGAGGAAGTGCGGGCGCGATTATATCTATTTGACTGAAGTCGAAGCTTTCAGCTCCCTCACAGTTGAGACTATATCAGCCAAAAAGAGACCAAAAGAGACTTTTAGTGCTCATGTGTACAGTAGTCGCACATAATTACCATTAATATATATTTAATCATGCATACTGTATGTAAATCTCCAATGTTCACCAAAACTGCTTATCGTATCAACCAAGACTAGGAAAAAAAATGTACAATATGAAATCGTAAGAAACAAGAAAAATACAAAAACACCTACTGCGTCGCCGCATTCGCTGCAGCTATTCTAGCTTGCAGCTCTGTGCTGCTACTAACAGTAAACTGGGCTGTGGTTCTCAGCTTGCGCATCACCCACGCCGCCATGATCTTGCCCCTCTGCTTCTCCGCAAGTCTTGACCGCGGGAACTCGCCCTTGGCTACAAACGCAACAACGTCAAGCACCATCTGATGCTCGTTCATCACCGCGTTCACCACCACCGGCACCAGAGAGGCCAGGAATTGCTTCTGTCGACTGCTTTCGACAACCGCAACCACGACTCCTCCTGTCTGGAAAACCGCGCTGCATCCCAACGGAATCGTTCGATGACTGTACTCGATCGTGCGCTCAATGTCGTGCGCAAAATGGCTGAGGCCACGAACCTCAAACGTGTCGCCAATACACCCAAGCACAAACAGAACCTGAATATCAACCATAGCGCCTCCAGGACCAACCGGCTGCGCTACCGTCCTCAAAAACCCAAGATCGCCCGTCCGCACATACTTGAGATTTCGCTCGCTATATGCATCCAGGCCCGCGTCCGCCTCAACTGTCGTCGAGCTGAACCGCATCTGGTCAAATGGATCCTTGCTTTCGTAGATACCGTCCACATTCGCACCCGAAGAAACCCAGATCTCACCATACTCACTGCTCCGACACAGCCGTCGAGTCTCGGGGTGTACAACCAGCACATGTGTCGATACCGGCACCATCCCGCTATCCTGAATAGTCAGCGTGTGCCGCTTCGAATCAGGAGGCGCCACCGCAATAAACCCACGACGAAGTTCACGTAGATCCAGCTTCAGCTCAATCGGCTCGATGCACATGTATGATCGGGTTGTGATCATAGGGTTCAAAGCGTGCGAATAGATTGAATTGATTGCCGTGCCGTCCAACCCTCCTGAGGAGAAATGAACTCGCACTTTTCCAAAAAGCTCAGTCCGTGGACGACCATCGAATGCTATCATGAGATTGCGCATATCACGAAGGCTGTTGCTCTTCATCGGCGTCGAAGTCAGCGCGTGGTCAATCATCTGTGGAGTCACGTATGTGTCCTTGACTTTGTAGCGAGCGAGGGACAAAAAGTATAGCTGCGGATTAGCCGCAAAGTCGACCGGAGAGATCAGATATGTAGAGGCACCTATTCTTCTAATTAGTCATGATAATCGTCTTGAACAGCAACGCATGATCCAACTTACCGACGTAGATTCCCATAAAGCACGTATGTAAAAACCCAATGCCCACACTGGACCGCACACAGCCCACCACAGGCTTCGAGCTCTGCATCTGACAGGTCTCCTTCTGCACCTTACACATCTCAAGAATCGTAGCGTGACTCAGCTTAACCGCGACCCGCCTCTGGTCCGCAGTCCAATGCACCCAAACCAATGCGGTTCGACCAGGGGCGATCCATGCCGGATTCATCTTGAACTTGAGATCTTTGCAGCCTCCCGAGACTTTGCTGGTCTTCATAGTGTTGTATGTAGGCGGCATCGTAAGCTTCGCGGCATGACATGTCTGCTTGATCTGTTGCGCGATAGCCTTGCTTTTAATTGCATGATCAGTCTCCGCATTCAAGAGAATAGCCTTAGGCTTATAGTCCTTCACTAGTCCCAAAAGCGCCGGCACATCTTCGCTCAGCCTGCTATTGTCCAGAGGAGGAATAGGAATGGCGATGATTCCCAACGTCAGACAGGCATGTACCGCGTGCACGAAATCCTCTCCGTGTGTGTATATCAGAATCACAACGTCTCCCGCTCGAAGTCTGTACTTGTTGATCATCGTCGATCCGACAGCAGCAATCCGTGCATCAAACTTCTTCCACGACATGCCCTTGTTCTCTCGAGATCTGGCGTCAATCGTACAAAAGGATAGCTCTTCAGGCTGACAGACAACACGGTACTGGAGTATATCAACAATAGACGTGAAGTTTGAAAGCTCGCGTCCTGTTCTATCGTCCATCACTACATCGCGGTCATCGATTCCAGAGTATTGCTTATCGTCATTAACAAGAAGCTCGTCTCTCATCCTCGATGACGCGACAGACCAGATTCCACCGTGATCTTCCACCGCTTGGTCAACAGCCAGATTGTTGACCGCATGATCAACTCCAAACTTCACATGAACGCAAGGCAAAATTCCGGTCTCAAAATCTTTCCTGCAAAGCATAGCTCCAATTTCCGACCGACCGTTCCGAATCGTCCGAGGAAGCGTGTTCGGTGCTGTGATCAATACGCAGTATATTCTGACATTATGGCGCTCACGAAGAATAACCATACACTTCTCCGCCATCGCCTCAAGAGCGTCTATATCAATCGTGCGAGGAGGGCCAGTGGGTGTCTCCGGAGTCGTGACCGCGAGCGCCGATTCGAGTAGAATAACCGGCAGATGCTCATCGTTCACAAATATATCAAATGCGCAACTGTCAAACACCCTCGGGATAGTTTGCATGATTGTTTGTACCAAATGGGCGGTATAATGATATCTGTAATTGCGCTGTCCTTCGTATACCATGCCTGTTCTATTCGTAGTCGAATTCTGATCTTCATCGACTTCACGGCGCTGGCGCAGACGATCTTCATACAATCCCAGAATGTAGACTTTACCAGCATAGATGAATCCCAATAGACCAGTGCGCAAAAATTCCATCTTCACGATAGTTAGTACATATGGCTGCAGAAAGAAATCAAATTTCGAAATCGTGACTTACCTCCAGAGTGCCTTCGTTGCCCCAGCATCTAGCGTGAAAGATGATCTCAGTTTCGCGGCCCAAGCCCCAGAACCCGCCGCTAAGGCAGGGACTGTCAACCCATATCTCACCCACGACCAGTTCAGGAACAAGGATACAGGTTTCAGGGTCCACGATAGCGAGAGTTGCATCTGGCAAAGGGTACCCGAAAGCTCCAATACGAATGATATCCTGCGGATTGTAGTCGTTGAAGAAGCCGTCTTTGTGAGGCCTGGTCGAGAGGATCGTCACCTTATTGGCTGACAGAGCCTTCTTGTCAAGCAGAAGTTCTGAAAGCTCAAAGGCATCTGCAGGCTCCATTTCATCCGGCATCTGACATCCTAGAGCCTCTTGGCCTCCTATCCAGTCTCGCATGGAGATAACCATACCACCGTGCTCGGACAGGGTCAACATCGGCACAACGAGTGTCTGGTAACGCTTGTTTCCCAAAGGCTTGAACCATCTATCAGCCAGTATCTCGTGGAATTCAGTATCAACGGTCAAGCAGTCGATCAAGCACCATTTTATGCTTGAAAGATCAACCGGGTGCTTCTTGGAATAGTTGCGGGTTGCCAAAGGGTAAGACTGGTAATTGTACGCTACCTGTTTCAGTCCGGGGTAATCAGCGAGCAAGATTGAGGGCTTGAATTTACTGATGACATTTGCGTAAAGGCCAGGAACAGCCAATGTAGACTGGGGCACCCATGTCATGGTATTCCCAGCGTATATCGTCATCAATACTCCCATGATCATTCCGATAGACTGCCGGGGATCCAAGTAACTCAACACGTTCTGACTTCTGGTTATCGAGTTTGACGACGATGCACTGCGCTTGTCCTTGCTCGAGAGAATAGATGAGAGACAGCTCATTTGATGCATCATGGTCTTGTGTGACATCACAACTCCCCGAAGTTCACCCGTAGGGGCTCGTGAGTATTCGATATATGCTAGGTCTGGAACCTGCAGTGCCGGGAGATCCGCCTTCTTTGAGGGAGGGTGATATGAGCCAAACTCATTTGTCTTCCACCATTCAACACCCCGAGGCCAGGACAGTCCCGCTGCAGTGAAATCTCTATGGAACGTTTTCAGGTTTGCATCTGTCGTGAGCGCGAGATGTGACTGAGTATAATTGAGAATGTATGTTATGTCCTTGAATTTGGTTATCGTGTTGATGGGAACAGCAACGACGCCAGCCAAGAAGCAGCCCAGTAACGCAACCGCAAAATCAACCACTTCCGACTCGCGATACAGCAAAGCAACTCGATCTCCACGATAGAGGCCGGACTTGTCTCTGATCACCTGGCCAACCTTTTCAGCACGAGAAGCCAACTTATCCCATGTGATAGCCGAGAATTCCTTTCCCTTTGCGTCTAGAGTGACGATCGCATTCGTTCTGGCGTTGCTTCGACCTCGGTGCCGTAATATAGCTGCCAGGTTATCAAATTTCGCCATCGCGCTCTTTCCGTTTTGAGGATCAAAATTCGCTTCGGATGTTGCTCGTGGATCGAGCGGCATTTGCAGCACCAAGTCCTGGGGATATCCGTATGAAGAAGCCTGATGTGTCTCTTCATTTCCATACAGGGAAAACATATAGTTCGAATCGGGAGCAGCAGATTCGTTTTGTTGATCTTCGAATTCATACTCGTGGCGTATTATGCTCTCAACAGTCCCCAGTCCTGCGCTCGAACTTGATCGTGTTTCGCTAAATTCAGGTCTCGCAGGAAAAGGTAAGCTTGAAACCGACGCCATCGATGCCACCGATGCCTAAAATAGCGATCATTGTTAGACAACACATGTAAGTAGAAGCCTGCCGTGCTACTTACCAGCTGCTTATTTTGAAAACCATCATCGGCACCCAATACAGGAGTATTTGTAATCTCCCCATCCATAGACACACCATACTCCTCAAGCAACTGCGCCCGACGTTTCTTGTAGCCTTTCTCCGTGATATCGCCTTCCTGTGTATGATTTGAAACAAAATGATTAGCCACTCGTGAATGAACAGGACAACATAGGCAGAGGACACGTACGGATAATTCAAAGTCAAGTGAAGAAAGCTTTGCGTTCAACTCCAAGATCTGGGGGCTGAACGCTGAAGCCTCGCAGCTGCTGTCGCCTGTGACCAGGCTGCTTGGGGCAGTATACGAGCTCTCGGAGCTGTTTGTGTTTGCATACGGAGCTCTAGGATCCATATCTGCTATTGCTCCTTGCAGCAAATCCTGTAAAAAGCTCATAGCTAGGCCACACCGAGATTCAGACGACTTCCCGGACAGAGAACGCGTCCGACCGACGTGGTCCTAAAAGATGCAGCTATAGAGCCAAAAATTGCAACAAGAACTGGAACGAGGTCGCGCGTCAGCAAACGAAGGTCGTCCGCGGAATATGCGCGGTCCAACTCGAAGCTATCGCAGAATAGTACGCGCGCCCAGAAGCACTCGAGGGGAAATGCTAAATCTGAAGAGAGAAAGCGCGAGTTTGAAGCCCGTGGAGGAGCTGGCTTTCGGAGTGAAGTCCTCCTCCTTACGCCGTACGAGATGACCTGCACACGCGATGTGGTTAAACCGGGGATATATTCTCGGGCGATTCAGGCTATGGTTTCCTTTTACAGTTCCGTGCATTGCTGCCCAGAATTACTTTGTGCACGTGGATGTCGTCACATCAGAATTGGAATAAATAGCAATCGAGTATTAAACTTTTTCTAACCGGCTCCAGAATTTCGTACAAGAACGCGAAAACATAAGAAATACCTATAAATGCAAACCAAATGTAACAGTATCTTTCTAAGTAAATCGCAGCCTCTATGCCTTATTGCTTCTGATTCTCCGCTTTCGGCTCTTCTCGTTAGAGTCGTCGAACCAAGTTCGCTTGGGTCTGGATTTGATCTCGTCGAAGTGCTTAATCAAATTCTCGCCCTTCTTCAGCTGCATCTCCGCAATCGCCAACTAAATAAAAGCACCAATATTAGCATCGCCCACGTAACATTGCACTAGAAGAGAACACGTACCTGTTTCTCAGACTTTTCTTCTTGAAGCACAGCCTCAATCGACTCCTCCATTCCTTCAATGTCTTTCACAACCTTGTTAACCTCGTCCCAGTTAACATTCCGACTGACGGCCTTTCCTTTGTCCTTTTCCAGGCTTTTCACGGCATCTTTGACAATCACCCGCTCTGCCTTTGCCTCACCAACCAATGAGATACTGCGACCAGTGCGGCCAGCACGCGCAGTTCGACCAACACGATGAAGGTAGATCTCATGAGACTTGGGCATATCGTAGTTAACCACAATCTCAACCTTGGGAATATCAAGACCACGAGAAGCAAGATCGGTACATATCAAAATAGGCACAGCAGAGTTGCGGAAATCTGTGATACCATTAAGACGTTGTTCCTGAGTGAGAGCACCGTGAAGCTCGCCCACCTTGGTGCCCAGTAGTCCAAGAATAACGCGCAATCTGTGAGCTGTCTCTTTCCGAGATACGAAAACCATAATACGCTCATGATTGTCAAACTTCTTCAAAAGCCAAGTCAAGATAGCGGGCTTTGCACTCTCCCGCTTGCGAATGCGAATAAACTCTTGAACAAGGCCACTAGCGGCCTGCTTGGGGGGGTTGATCATGATCCGGACTGGCTGATGCAAAGAGAGCTGAATAAGCTGTTTGATACTGGAGTTCATGGTGGCGGAGAACAAAAGAGTCTGTCTCCGAGTCGGCATCAAGGTCAAGAGCTCTGTCAACTCCTTTTGGAAACCTTCCTCCAGCATTCGATCGGCCTCATCAATAATTAGGATCTCCACGTCATCAACTTGGAAGCTAGGAGAGTTTCTGATATGGTCGATAAATCGACCGGGCGTAGCGACGACGATATCGGGACGAGACTTGAGCTCCTGCTCCTGCACTCGCAGATTTAAACCACCAACGGCCAATCCGAACCGGATTCCGGGCACATACTGGCTCAGCTTTCTGCCGACATCCGAAACCTGAATGGCCAGCTCACGAGTAGGCGCCAAAACCACAACACGTGTAGAAGCAATTTTCTTGGGCCTGTACAAGAGTCTCTCCAGTACAGGTATCATATAAGCAGCTGTCTTTCCTGAACCAGTAACGGCACCAGCGACAATATCCTTCCCAGAAAGTGCAATCGGGATAACTGCACTTTGAACCGGGGTTGGGGCAGCATAACCGAGGGCAGCGATAGCGCGAAGGATAGGTCGTGAGATATTCAGAGTGTGGAACTGTTTGTGAGCAGCAAGCTTCTTAGGATCTGGCTTGACTGGAGCGGCAAAGAACTTTGCAATAGCCTTCGGGGTGTCTTTCTCTTCTTCTTCGCTCTCGCTGTCGCCTGCATTTCCGTCGTCGTCAATTAAGTCCGGGTCGACATCCATACCGTTATCAGATTCCTCAGACTCGTCATCGTCAACCGCAGCTGCAGGCTTTGCAGATTTCTTGGACGCTTTCTTAGATTTTGCGGGCTCTTGGATCTTCTCAAGCTTCTTGAGTGCCGCTAGCTTATCCTCTGCGTCTTGACTGCTGACCTTAACCTCCTCTTCATCGTCATCGTCATCTCCATCTTCATCTTTAGCGTCATCTCCCTTTTCTTCCTCTTTATCGCTGCCATCATCCTCTGCATCCACTTGAACAGCACTGGAAATCTTCTTTGATTTAGTCCTAGACGGAGCCTCGACCTCCTCATCTTCTTCTGCATCCGAGTCCTCTCCCTCGTCATCCAGTCCCTGTTCTTTATTGCGTTGCCGTTGAATGATTCCGTCCAAATCAACCTGACGGCGCCCGCTTCCCTTAGCACGGTCCTGCATGTCAAAATCCCAGCCACTGAATGCGTTCACTGACTCAAAATCTCCAAGATCAAAGTCGAGAGCAAACTCTGGCTCTTGTCCATTGGCTTTGGGTCCCTTGCCCTTCTTGGCCGGCTTTACTTCCTCGACCTCGACAGGCCGATCAGAGTCCTCAGCCTCTAGCTCATCGTCGTCGAGATCAGGCACTTCTGAGTCCGAGTCGGAGATAGTCGTGATAAAGTCGTCCTCTCTCGTCTTCTTTTGTGATTTCGCCATTGCAGATGTGTGTGGATCGCGTTTGACTGATTAGCTTATCCAGAACGTTGAATATTTTTTTCCACCGCAAAGTCAGGCAGTTGGGAGTTGAGACGATGAGCTCGCGGCAATATTTTTCGGTGACACTTTTGGCTGTTCAGCGCGTGATCTTTATGAGTGACACTCAAGATCCAAATCACCAAGCTTGTCATTCTCAGCTCTTTTGTAGGGCTTAACCCTACAATAGCAGTCACAAAGATCCCCCAACCAAGGGTCTCGTTCTGCTCAAGGGCGTACACACAATTGCAGCGCGCCTCACCTCTGGACCACGAAGTGTAATACCAGAAATCAGCCAGCGACTATTTTCAGTTCATTACAGCTCAGCAACTCCAGCACTTCCTTTCACCAACACCAATCGAAAAAATGTCTGACAACGAAGTTGAGCAGGTCTACGAGGAGGAGTACGAGGCCGTTGAGGTCGAGGAGTTCGAGGCTGAGCCCGTTATCGAGTCGACTCTTCTTCCTGAGGACGTCGTCCGGGAGAGCAACCAGGTCAAGCTGTTCAACAAGTGGACCTTCGAGGGAGTCGAGATCAAGGACATCTCCCTTACCGACTACATCCAGATCCGTCAGCCCGTCTACATCTCGCACAGCGCCGGCCGATACGCCAACAAGCGATTCCGCAAGGCTCAGTGCCCCATCATCGAGCGTCTCACCAACGCGCTCATGATGAACGGCCGCAACAACGGCAAGAAGCTTCTCGCCGTCCGCATCGTCAAGCACGCCCTTGAGATTATCCACCTTCTCACCGACCAGAACCCCCTCCAGGTCGTTGTCGATGCTATCGTCAACTGCGGTCCCCGTGAGGACTCCACCCGTATCGGAAGCGCGGGTACCGTCCGACGACAGGCCGTCGATGTCTCTCCTCTGAGACGTGTCAACCAGGCTATCTCGCTCATCACCATTGGTGTAAGTATTCGAAAAGTTTTTCCAGACACGTTTATACCACGAACAAGTGCTAATTCACCATCACAGGCTCGTGAGGCTTCTTTCCGTAACATCAAGACCATTGCTGAGTGCCTCGCTGAGGAGCTCATCAATGCCGGCAAGGGATCGTCCAACTCCTACGCTATCAAGAAGAAGGTATGTTTTATTTTACTCTCTGCTAGTCAAACTCAATCAGGTTTTTGGATTGCTAACATATCGCTTATAGGACGAGTTGGAGCGTGTCGCCAAGTCTAACCGTTAAAGAATCTTATGTTATGTTGGTTCATTTTTGTTGTTTTTAAGGATTTCAAAAGTGTATTTAGTGTACAAAAATAATCATCATCCTATCATTTATGCTATGTTCACGTTGTCCGTGTATGATACAAAGAGGGAATCTTGACCTCATATGGATGACGAGAAGAAAAGGTTTTTATCTTTACCGTCTTATTCTAAAGCTAAAAACATATATTACATGACAAACAAGTAAACCAGATGGAAATTTTATACAGTAAACTAATGATACTGCCTACTATGTCTATGCATCTCCCTCATCCTCCGTATCGGTGTTGATGTCAGTGTCGCTATCCTCCTCTTCCTCGCTGCTCTCATCAGCATCTTCATCCGAATCTTCGATCGCCCTCCGTTTTGTCTTTCCACCCTTCATCATAGCCATTGCACCCGCAATAGAGTCCTCGTCAGGGTCAGAGATATCATCTTCGATTTCTTCCTCAGTAGTAGGTGGGGGCGAGATCTCAAGATACACGCTCTCCATGGCATCAGCGCCAACGAAGCTGTTTGAACGCAGCTCGATCAGAAGTCTGAACCTCCCGAGCTGATCCGGAAGTGGAGCTGAGAGCTGCACCTTGAAAGTGCTGACTTTCCCATCGGTGTACGCACGCGTGATGGCAGTCGGCGGCTCCACGATCTTGTTTTCACGGGGATTGATCAAGAGCACATTCCACCTGGGCTGAATGTAAACAGGGAGATACGGAGCGTATATGGACTCAAGAAGAGGCGCCTTGTTGTTCGTAGAGAGCGGCTTCTTGAGAGTTTCCGCGTCATCTTCTTCCTCCAAATCCTTGGGATCAACAGCAGGCAGCTTGGTGCCAGGATAGGAAACTCTGTACTTTATGACCAGATGAGCCAGGGAACCTGGCATGACAACCTGCTCTCCGGGAACTAGAAAGAAATTGCATTAATATCAGTACAAAATGTCAATACCAAACAGAAAGAAGACTCACCTTTGAAAAACGCCTTGAGAATTTCGATTTGCGGAATCTGCGATTCAAAAGATTTCAGAATCTTAAAGTCCTCGACACTCTTGATTCCAAGCGTCTTCTTCTGCTCATCATCAGACACAGCAACCAATTCCTTGATAGTCTTGATCTCCAAAGACTCTGCCTTTGCTTTGTCGATAAATGGAAGCTGGAGCAATTCATTCGCACCGGGTGGCAAAGCCTGAGTGAACAGCTGGGAAAGCAGCAGAATTCGCTTGATCAAGTCGACATTCTTGAACGAAGAGGCGATATCAAGCATTCCGTCCAGGATCGTCTTCGATCTGGCGACGATTCCAAGCTTCTTGACTTCATCCTCCAGCTTTTCCTCCTCTCTATTCAAGTAGCTCTCCAGATGATTACGAACTTCCTCAGGGGTCATTCCGGGGTACAGGACCTTGAACTCTTCAGCGTTGGCGAGAAGATCCAACAAAACGTCATCCGTGATGTTGTCGAACTCAGTCTTTGCAAATTTTTCAAAAATATCAGCGGCGGTGACGGTATGCAAGCCGTTTTTGGTGTACTGCTTGGTTCCACTCCACCAGTACCACTATCGTGCTTGTTAGTACGTGACGCAAAATATCAAGTCAAGTTATCTGCATGCACTTACCACAACAAATGGGAGGGCAACTCCGACCAGCAAAGCATAGGACAAGATAACCAATGGCGAACCCTTCTCATCAACAAGCCATTTCGGCAGAGCAACGCCCTGCTTCGTTGGCTGGGGACCGTCGGGATGACCGTACTCGAGATAGTTTTTCCGAGTCACTTCATCAGTCAATCTGCACGGATATACCTTTAGTAAATCAGTCATAAATTCAAATGAGAGAAAATCACTTACGCCTTGTATGCCTTTGTCATATCGACATACTGCGCCTCCAGTTCTTCCCTGGTGTTGTTCCCCAGGTTTCGGCCAATCTTATCAGGGTGGAACTTCAATGATAGCTTTCTGTACTTGCTCTTGACCTCTTTCTCAGTCGCGGACTATAACTCTGTCAATACAAGATCTGTATTCACAATCGATAGATATACTCACGTAAGCGATCCCCAAAATTTCGTACGGATCAAATAATTGAACCTCCTCTGTAGATTCCTGCGAATGGACAAAGTATAAGACGGCGAAGAAGATCACCCATCCGAGGAGTAACAACACATTTCTTAAATACAAGTTAGCTTAGGTAACGCAATGACAGGATAGTAGAGATACATACGTTACAGTGAGTATCTTCCCCTGTTTACTCTTTCTCCGAGATTTCGAGATTATATCGTAGCTGGGGGGTTTGTATTGGCTCTCGAGGCCAGATGAGACCGACTCTGTTAATCGAAATATGTTAGCACCTGCACCATATCACTGAGAGGGATTGGAAAATAGATCGATCGTACCTTTTGGCGAGCGCGCAATCTTCGTCAGTCTCTTGAATGTTGTCGGCACCAACACCAACGACAGTAGTGTCATGGCGAAATATGGCCAAGCTTCGGCATTCTCGTCGTAAGAGTAGCGTGAGTCACTCATTGTTGTGATAAATAAGGCGGGATCGCGAGATTCTAGTGATGCGCTTGATTATAAGGCGAGATAGTGTTCACTCGAAAGGAAGGGATCCGATCATGAACTGAACAGCACCCCAACGACAACGTTCAGCGTTATATAATGCTGATGTGAACTTTTGTCAGAAGATCAAACAGCAATCGATCAAAGCTTGCTAATCAGATTGATATTAGAGCTCACTAGAGTCAGTATCAACAACAGTAAATGCGGATGCTGTCGAGAAGTAGAAGACCGCGACGCGCTTTCGAGCAGGTCCAGTTCCAATGGCCACGTCCGTCAATTCGGGGCAAGCCGCACTCCTCCCGACGTATTTTATTACTAAGCGATTATGTGACGTATCTGGACAGTTTTATATTCAGCCTATATCTGGACCTATTGTTTGTTGATCTTTGTCGTGTTGCATTCAAGACTTGATTGAATTGTAGAATTTTATGATTGGCCTTGAATCTAGCTAGAAATGAACTCATGGCCACAGTCATGGGTGCATTGTCGACTTTGCTGATGTGGTAGTTATTGTCGCAGCGACTATTTTTATATTATTTAAATGTGCAGTCCGAATCAGAATACTTATTCCAGGTACCGGCCTTTTCCCCAACTCAACTATCAATTTTTGAGATCAACCAGCCAACGAATACCCATGAAACAAAAATAGCCGACGCGCATATTTTATGAAAAATGGACTCATCGAATTCTTCCCAGACTTTTATCGTCCATCTTCTAGATTCAATATTCGCAGACAGCAAATTTGAAGCTGATGACCTTCCTATCAAGGAGTCCAAATTCTTCAAAGAACTCGGCGAAAGTCCACCCCAAGAAACTCAAGAGGAAGCAGCTATTAAACTTTCAGGACTAGTAACAAAATATGGACTGCAGGAGCATTTACCAGAGATCATATATCTCTACCACCTGATGCGGGACGATGAGAATACCCTGAAGCTCGAGTTCAGGGATCATATAGCTCTACAGGAATTACTAAAGACTATGGAGGACAGCCCAATGCTAGCAAATGGTTGCAACCGTTCTCTAGGATATGACTTGATCGCCGGCGCGACTCAGCTCAGAATTCTTAGACATTTCGTGGACAGCGTACTGGAGTCGAGTTCCGGGGGAGACGACCCAGCAAGTTTTCGCAACAGACAGAGGCTTCAAGGATGGTTCCTATTTTATGTATGTGGTATCAACTGTCTATCGTCATTGTCGAGCAAAGTACTAACGCACCGGTCACCAGGAACCATCATCGCACATGCAGTCTACCCGTAAAAAAACTCGCTCAAATATGATAATACAGGCTTGCCTGTGGTAAATGGTATAACGAAAAGCTAACAGTGATATTACAGGCAAAGTTTCCAACAGATCAGAGTCTGGCATAGATATGCATACGGATACACACTCCCTGCGGAAATCTTCTATCTCACTTGACATCTCATCAGATAACGAAGATCTCGAGAAAATGCTAGGTTATGATGGAAGTATCGAAATTAGCGACCACGGCTACGCTATGTATAACGAGATATTCGGATCAAGCACAGAAGGAAGTGGGCTCGAGAACGGAGTTTGTGATGATCAACAAGAAAATTGGAACCAAATGGTCGATTCCGTCGCACAGTCAGCTTTACTTAACGAGCCCGAGACTATCAAAGGCGGAATCGCGCCCAATATTCTGCCTCTATGCTATGAGACGTTTCCGGTATCGGAAGAACTTCGCAGACATATGTCCCCCTCTTCATGCTCAGATTCCGAGCAGACTGTGCGTCTCGGGGTGAATGAGCATATTGACGAAGATGACTCCAATTTGAAAAATGAGCTCACACCGGATACCGACTGTATGTCGGTGTCGGATCCTGCTTCGGTAGAGGGTGCTGAAAAGGTTGTTCATACAGATATCATGAGAATCAAACGTAAACAGGAAAGGAGATCGTGCTTCCCCGTCGGCATCTGGAACAGCACCAATTCAGCTGACAGTGATACTGTGAGCGTTACAAGCCATATAGGCAGCATCTGCTCGGTGTTCAGTGAGATTATACAGCACAGATTTCACGGATATACTGCGCTGAATACAGAAGAAATGGAGTTCGATGACTTGGGTGATTCAAATTCTGTATATGACTCTGATGATGATAGTTTCGACTATTGACAGATGCTTGACGATTGAGTTGACTGAACGGCTCATCGATTGTTATTCTGTGTTGGACCTCTGCATCTTGTGCATTCCTTTGATATTCTTGATGTCAACAACAGCCGTTTTGTATTATTAGAATGATTAAATAAAATGAAATCAGACCCTCGAGGCCTGTAAAGTATTCAAAGATCAAAATAGCTGTCGAATTATGGCTCGAGCCTTCGGTGACGTAATCGGGCAGTGGGCAGGGTAACACTCCTTTCTGGACGGTACGGCGGCATGCGGGACTTCAGCACTGCCACCACTCCTCCGTGAACCAGCTCTCGCGGAGCATTGCGAATAGTCCAGAGATTTAGGGGTTTTGATACCGGTGTCAGTCGATTATCGTTACTTGGATACTGAAGCAGTTTGATCCGCACTTGAGCGCAGTCTGCATATATTTAGATCTGTCGAGCACTCGGCTCTCTCCAGTTACCCCAGCACCGAGAGTTCAGTCCACCGATCTATAGGAATCGCGGCCATCTCAACTTCGTCGCCATGCCGTCTCTTATCGCTTCCGCGGATAAGGACAAGATAAAACGATCAATCCCCAAGGCGACCAACAAAATCGTCGAGGCTACGGTTGCTCGTCTCTATATTGCATACCCCGATCCTACCGCCTGGACGTTCACGGGAATCGTCGGCGCGGTCGCGCTCGTCAACGATTTGACCGGAAACACATTTTTTCTCAAGATCGTCGACATAATTGTGAGTTGAATAGGTTCCGGAACTGTCTGATTCGTTGGAGCAGATGACACTAACGTGGCTTATTCGATATCTAGGGCAACCGTGGTGTGATATGGGATCAGGAATTATATGTCGATTTCCAGTACAACCAAGACAGAGCATTTTTCCACACATTCGAGCTAGAAGAGTGTTATGCGGGACTTTTATTTGCCGATGACTCGGAGGCTCACTCTTTTCTGAAGAAGGTCCAGCACAAAGAGAAGTACGCGTCTAAAGCCACGATTGCCAACAAGAATGCGATAGCGTTGAAGAAGAAGCCAGTTACTGCTGCCGCGGGGCCTCGTGGAGACGTGCTACGTTATCAAAAGCTTGGAAATAACTATACGCTAGCTCAGATTCACCAAGAGACTGAGAGCGATCAGAAGAGTGTTATGAGTGCAGATAGTGGTGAGGAGCATGATCCTAATATGAAGAAGGTGCTGGAGAAGTTGAGCGAAATTGGTATTACGGAAGACATGCTCGTGAACAGTGATCCTGAGCGCATAAAGGAGTTGATTGCAAAGAACACGGAATCATCGGCGTCCAGAGTTGACAAGAAGGCCAAGGGACCGCCACCTCCACCTCCACTCCAGCCTCCTACCTCACGAGGTTCATCAAAGCCTACACCTCCTGCTCCTCTCTCAGCACAATCGACGGGCGCATCAACTCCGTCTGATGGTGGAAGTGAGGCTTCTGCTCCATCAGGAACGATGTTCAAGGTTCCTCCCCCGTTCGTGCCAACCTCAAATGCTCCGCCTCCTCCAGCCAACCGAGCTCCCCTTCCTCCACCATCAAGTTCAGCGAGCCCGAGTCCAACTGGACCTTATGCACAGCCTCCACCTCTATACTCCAATACTCCAAGTCCCCCCGTTTCGAAAACTGCATCACCCGCTCCTACGGCTCGCCCTCCTCCTCCTGGCCAAAAATACAACGTGCCTCCTCCTTTGGCAAATGCAGGCTCGCAACTTTCTGTGGTCCGCCCACCACCGCCTCCTGTTTTGGCGCAAAAGAACTGGGCTCAGTATGAGTATGGCCAGTCTTCTCCTCCTCTGGCCCAGCCACAGCAGCCTTTTCCGTATGGCCAGCAACCTGCTGGTCAGCCCGGGCAACCTCAATTTGGGCAGCCTGGCAGATCGATGCCGCCGCCGCTTCCATCTAGAGAAGGTGGCCCATTACCAGCGGCGCCTAATATGGCGAATAGGCCAGTTCCAATGCCTCCTTCTCTGCCTCCTCGAGTTCCAGTGCAAAACGGACTTCCGCCTTCTTTCGCACCTACTCCTTCGCCCGTTACACCGTCATCAACCGGAAACGCTCCACCACCCCCACCGCCCCATAAGCATGGATCACGCAACGTTCCGCTCCCGCCTGCTCCACCAAGAGGAACAAACACTGCAATGGCACCTCCACGGCCACCCCCTCCGCCTGCTAGCTATGCCAACAATAGCCAGAGCTCAGCTGGGCCGCCTCCACCCCCTCCTCCTCCGCCGCAATCTGCATACGGTACACCTATACAGCAGCAGCAGCCGGCTTACCCCAGTTACCCGCAGCAGTCTGTGCCTCCTGCGCCTCCGATGAGTACGAGCAGCGTACCCCCCGCACCTCCTCCACCGCCTTCCATGGGCTCTGGTCCCCCACCTCCCCCGCCTCCTCCGCCAGGGTTCGGAGCTCCAACTGAGAGCTCAGCACCGCCTTTACCGCAGGTTGGAGGCGGTGATGGCCGTGACCAGCTTTTGGCTTCGATTCGAGGCGCCGGTGTACAGAAGCTCAAGAAGGTCGACAAGACGCACTTGGAGAAGCCGCTGGTCGTGCCACAAGGTGGTGGTGGCGGTGGTGGATCTGCTGCTTCTGCTGCTCCCGTTGATGGACCTGGTGCGAATCTGCAGGATGCCCTCAAGGCTGCGCTGAACAAGCGGAAAACGAAAGTAGCAGGAAGCGGTAAGTTTCAACTGTTTCCCGGTCTTGTTTGAAAATATCTTATCATATACTAATTCCTCGATAGATGACGAAGGAAACGAAGAGTGGTGAGATAGCCAAAGAAAGGATTTGTAGAGTGAAATTTTGTAGAGATATTTAGTCACAGCATCGGAGAGTTCTGATCTTCAACCTACATGTAAGATTTTCGGCAAAAACTGAACTGCTTGTTTTTCTTTTTTCGAGCATCGAAGAGCGCGGCGACATTGTAGCATATACTACGTTTTTGTTGTTTTTTTGTGTGATCGCATGGCATATTGTTACCTGTATTCTCGTGCGTATCTTTATAATTTGATTAAAAAGAGAATTTATAAGCATTCAAGCAGAGTTGTAGCAAACCCGCATTACTTGAGATAGTATTGCATGGTTATTACCCAGTTGGGAAGTTGAGCTGGAAAGATCATTAGGTAATATCGTACTAATACACAGATCAAAATCACGTGCAGGTGAGTCACGTGGATCCACGAGACCTCTGATCTTCACGACGCTCAACACCACACTCTACGGCCACAGAGGTGCTTAGTTTGTTTGACGTATATATGTGAATTAAAAGACCATTATTCAACTATTTCACTGACGATATTTAGTCCAAAAATGCTGGAACTGGGGAACTAGGCCCGGAAGACACTGTGTGGTGGTCAAGCAAGCACCGCGAGGCTCCAAGAGTTGCGTGACTGTTTTTTGAGGTACGAGCCCTCGCCCGCCAAAATGTATGCAGAGCGGCCGTACATACTCGAGATATTAGGGTTTCACCGCAAGATCGAGCAAAGCCTGTATTCCGTAATTGCTTCCGGCGACTTTCACATAGAATTAGAGATCATATCCGTATCTTTAAATCACACAACAAGTCATTATGGACGCCGCTAAATTAGCAAAGCTTCAGCAGTCAGTTAGAATTGGTATGCTTCAGTCTTTTTTTCACGAGTTAGAGGGGTTGGGGAATGGCTGTGTGGGGTCTATGATCAGGTGCTGGACTGCGCGATCAGAGCCGAGTCCGACTACGCAGATGATCATTCTCTGGACCAGCGGACGAGTTTGTGCATTATGCTAACTATTTGATTGTGCAGGGTACGTGAAAATCTGTCGATTACGAAAAGCGAATGAATCCGACCAGTATTGATGGCTAGGCTATGACGAAAGTCATCTGCAAAATGCGGGATGTGCTGATGGACGGATTCAGTTGAAGGATGGTCATACTAACCGTAATCGATATTCAGTGGAAAGGGAACTCCCCGACGGAAGACCAAGAAAACCCAGAAGAACGCTGGTACCGATGACAAGAAGCTGCAGGCTTCGCTGAAGAAGCTTAACGTCCAGCCCATCCAGGGAATTGAGGAAGTCAACATGTTCAAGGACGACGGAAAGGTCATCCACTTCGCCGCTCCCAAGGGTATCTATCGTCTATTCTGTTTGTTCATTGATCAGGCTGTTTGATCTGATTGTTAACATTGTCGTTATAGTCCAAGCTGCTGTTGCCGCCAACACCTTCGCCATCTACGGAAACGGAGAGGAGAAGGACCTCCCCGAGCTTCTCCCTGGTATCCTCAACCAGCTCGGCCCCGACTCTCTTGCCAGCCTGCGTCGCATCGCCGAGTCCTACAAGTCACTACAGCTCGATGGCAACAAGAAGGAGGATGAGGATGACGATGAGATCCCCGATCTGGTCTCGGGCGAGGATTTCGATACCACAAAAGACGATGTCGAATAAATAACGACAGATCAAAGGATGCTACAATCGAGGCGAATGGGGAAAAAAGTATAGCTTAATCAATCATTTATGGTTAACAATGTATTGTAAATTGTATCCAATGGTAAAAACAGATAAAAATAAACTCATGCAACCTAAAAACTTATGTGCTTTGCAGAATTGGAGAAACAGTCTATAGATGCTATATATGATCTAAGGACAGAGCCAGTTTAGCTCAATTCTCATATCATTTTTTCTACTTGGACTTCTGTTCGAATTCAGCCGACCCATTCCGGTTCTGAATCATCTCAGTGATTTCTTCTGTCGAAGTTTCCTCTTCAGGATAGCCAGGTGCGACTCCGCCTAGTCTGGCGTGTACTTTCGGCGCATTGCTTTCCATTTCAGATGGAGTCAAGGTCATTTCGTTAGAGAGACCCTTCGTCTCTGATCTCCAAAACATTGCATTCGGTCCGAACGCTTTCGAGTATAACAGAGGGGTAAACTATACATTGAGTTGTCAGTGAATGGTCACCGTTGCGAACAATTAAGAAAGTACATACCTCAACTATAGGAATAGAAAGACCGTGCACGACGACGCTGGTTACCATCAAGAAGTAGATCACTGGAGAGATAGCTTTCATAACATATTTCGTGGTCTCCGATTCTCCGTACGCTTCCATTGTTTCAAGGCAGACATGCAAATAGAAAATAGCGCCAACACCGATTGGCCCGAAAAATCTACAAGCAGATTAGTTTTGAATATCAACTATTGCAGGCATATAGACTTACCCAGAGAACACAGCTTCTTTGACATTCTCGATTCGTGGGATAAATTTGTATGACAACACGACAGCAGGCAGCCGACGGAATAGCATGACTGCGATGCCCATAACGATATATCTCCACACGGGAATCTCTGGAGTTGAAAAGTCCTGAAATAAGAATTAGTAGGAGCATACAGAATGTTGAAGTAAGGCGACTTACCGACCAGGGAGTCACTGCTCCTAACCATGCAAACATGAAGATGTTCAGTAGATAGTCGATGCACGCCTGCACCTAGTTAGCACTTAAAGTCTCCATTTCCATTCAAGCTGGAACTTGCTTACCTGAATATTATTGTTCTTCGTTTCTGACTGGAACCAGTCACTGCGATTTCTGTTAGAACAATTATCAGGATGATGGATACCAATCTAAGACTTACTCCCAGTTAAGGAAATTTCCGGCGACGAAACTATATCATGAGTTAGAGACGAGACGGATATCGGGTTAATTTGACTGATTACATACCAAGCCAGAATGTCGTCCGTACCAAGTAGACCAGCGGTACCGATAATGAAGATCTGGTTGATGTTAGTCGATTAGCATATTTGGTGGAAACTGAAAGCTAAATGTCACTTACACCAAGGGCGAAAATGAAAACAAAAAACGACTCTTCATCAATCCACTTCCTGTATCATTAGAAAAATCAGCTAAGCACTCCATTACTTGTCGAAATTGTAAGCAACACAGAAAGATATACCTCTTGACCGAGAATTGCAATATCTTCATAGCTGCATATCCCAACACCGCGCCGTATACGACTGAAAGGATAATCTGGTAGATGACAGTTTCTACGATCCAGTCGCGTGCGATCTGCGTTCCCTTGTCGTGGTAAATGTACAGTGCCAAAAACAAAAACGGGTAACCAAATCCTAAACATACATGATTTTAGTTATATATTTTTTGACTCGCTAGTAGAAGAAACTTGACTGAGATACTAACCATCGTTTGCTCCTGATTCGGCGGAGATAATGCTCCGGAGAGAATCCGAGAGGTTCTCCTCCGCGAATTTGCCCTTGATAATGGAGTTGCTCAATACCTGTCAACTGGGGTTGTTAGACAGCTCATTCTCTGTACGTATAGAATGTTTCCTTCGTGAGTACTTACTGGATCGGTGGGAGTTACGCATGCAGCCATAATGAGAGCGTCGAGCTATAAAGATTATTAGACCACAGTACCAAAGTTGCAGAGCGGCTGTTGATATTATACATACAAAGCGTAAACCTGGAATGCATAGATAGATGATGAGTCCCGAGACAATCCACATAGTGGTCATTACAGGCACCAGAAGCATGAATATACTAAGCCATTCTTTGCGAACGTATTTCATAGGCAGAAGCGCTCCCGCTATCATAAGCTGTAGGCCTAGCACTAGTCTAGCAAATTCTCGCGTGATCTCAGTCACTGAGCCATAGTCGGACGGTCGAATAAGATTGGCTGTCTTGAATACCATGCCAAATAGTAAAGACGGGACTTGAGGACGTTAGTACAATGACGCGCGATAGATGTCAAGCAGTCTCTACTTACGAGCTTCTGAGACATAAAGCCTGTCTCTGATGACATAGGACAGCTGCCCAAACACCAGGATGAATCCGCCTAAAAGTGCGCAGACATAGTTGAAGTTGCTGGGAACTACTGCAGGCATGAGTACGTCCCTATCGTTATCGATTTGCTTCAAAGAGATGTGGACTTGAGCAAAAAAATAATTCTGCCAAGCCGGTTGTCAGTTGAGAAAGACCTGATCATGTAAACCGATCGTATTATCCAAGTGGCAAGCTTTTTCTTGCACGTAATTGCCTGTTTTCATGATAGTCTTGGCTTTGGAGGATGTTTGGCCACTCTGGGAGATATCTAAAAAGGTACGGAAGCGGTTTAAGCTCAGTCAGTCATCTCCCAAGACATTGAAGTTCCTCTGACATCATTCTCTCCTCTCCTGCAATCCACACTTCCCACCACAAATCAATTACTCTTATCCCACATCAACATGTTTAGTGCATTCAACAGTGCCCGTAACGTTATTACGTTATTGTAAGATATCATATATGATCCATCAGAGAAATATTAGACACTGACACGTCATACAAAGCCACTCTCCGACTTCATCCGCCTCGCGTCGAATTCTGCAGCTTCTGAAGAGCAAGCAAACAGAAGGCAAACGTCTGTTCGATTTGGACGTGACTGAAGGTGTGCCCACAAAAGATCAACTGAAGACGATTTTGAAATACGCCGGCCAAAGCAAAGTCTCCGCCATTGTTCCTGGCGCGACATCCTACACCGAGGCATCGGCAATCCTGGAAGGGGGATCAAAAAATCTACTGCGACCGATGGTTATCGACTGGGTCAATGGAAAGGTATGTTTACACCATATACACCCAGTGATAATACTGTTCGAGCATAAGGCTAACAGTCTTCCAGGCTGTTCTCGGTGACGACGAAGCTGGTGTAAAGACTATGATCTCGAGTATTGAGCAGTAAGTATTTACGCTCCGCACCATGCATCACCGGCGAATCGATCCGAATTCAAAGCCACACACAAAATCTACGGAAGGCCCCTTCAACTATTTATAAAATTATCGCATTGACTCGTCTCACACAAGACTGTGAGCGCATTCAAGCTAACCCAGTCAATTACTCTTACCCCTCTACTTCTTCCTCCTCTCCACTCTCCTCACTATCCTCGTTGTCCATAATAACAGAATTGAGAAAGTTTACCTATGAAATGAACGGTTAGCGAATACTCAGTGTATTTCTAACATGCGTGGAAACTCACGAATGGCACCATTGCCTTGAAAACTCTTATGATCTTCCCCACTGCGTCGCTCCCGGTATCAAAAGTGGAATCGCTCAACATACTGTGCACAGTATAACTCCGCAGACACAAGAGAGGAAGATCTTTATGGTCTTTTGGGTAATCTTTTGGACCTTTCTTCAGAGCATCTCCCTGGTTCATTTCCAGAAACTGTTCCAAAGGCGTCTTGTTCGGGTTCCTGAAGAAAAACTTTTTCATCTCCGGATCCTCAATGACCTTTTTGAAGCGACGCCCACCTCGATCAATGAGCCGTCTCATGGTCCGAAGTCCATCATTGTTGCTCTCGGATAAATGCCACATACCTCCTGCAAGTCGACAGTTACCGGGCTCAACGTGGACATAGTAGTGTGCGTAATGTCCGCTCCTCCCAGTTCTAGAGAATGCTGCGGAGAAATAGGGCTTGTAAGGAGTCTTGTCATTAGAGAAACGAACATCTCGACTGTTCGAATAATGTTAGGACCCATCTTTCGCAAGAGACTTGATCAGTTTGACTTACTGTATGCGGAACGTAAGATCTTTGACTGGCAATGGCGGGACCGTGAAATCAATCTTCGTCATCTCTTCAGCCAGACACTCAACAAACTCATCGAAATCTTTCTTAGCTACTCGATATTCAGCTTCATGATCCCAAAACCAGTCACGTTCATTGTTATCTTTCAGCTCCCGTATATATAATAGAGTGTTTGGATGTAGCTGATTTGGTTTGTAGGGAATGCCTCCGTCAGTTCTCGGAGCCCTCTTTGGAATGAAAATTTCCCGTCCATCAAACCCATCAGCACTATCATCTCCTCCGGTGGACTTTCGCTTCTTTTTCGGGGTACCTCTTGGAGATGGGCCTTTACGCCTCTTTGATGTCTCCTCCTCCTCGTCATCGGACACTACTTCCTCCTCACTCACTTCCTCGCTTTCAGGCTCCCCGTCTTCTTCTTCAAACTCGCTGAATGATTCTTCTCCATCTTCTTCATCAGAATCATCGTCTAGAGCGTCATCATCAACTTCAGATTCCGAATGCGTGCTCTTCTTTGAGCTACCGCGTTTAGCGATCGGCGCTTTAGCGGTCGGCTTTTGCTGCTGACCGCCCTTTTGAGCAGCAGATTTTCCTTTAGTTGACTGTGGGGTCTTTGATTTCACTGTTGTGTTACTCCTCGCCATTTTGAATACTATACTAGCATTATAAGCAATCAATTGAGCTGCAAAATTATTCTTGATATCCGATGATCTTCAGCAGGCGCGCCGTGGCTTTGACGCGTTTGAGTGCACGTGATCACGCATTAGTTATGTTCCACAAATAGGGCTGTTGCGCTTATGCCATAAATGATAAACTGCGGAGGGTACAAACTCAAGGGTCATCCAGCCACCCGCCCGTTTGCTTTGTTCTCTCTTCTCTTCTCCCTCTTCCGACTTCACGATCTCTCCCCATCCGATCAGATCCAACAGCTTTGCATCAAATCGCGAACCTGTTCTCAGTCATCACTTTTACTTTATCATTTAATCGGATTAATATTTCAATATGTCTATGAATCTCGACAAGTCTCTCGATGAGATCATCTCCCAGAACCCCTCCGCTAGACGGAGAGGACGTGGAGGACGTGGCGGCCTGAAGGGTGCTCGTGGTGCCACCGGTGGCGGTGTCCGCAAGGCCGCTACCAAGCCGGTTGTTCGTGCTGCTGCGAAGCCTGCGGCCTCGCTCGATCCTACTTCCAGATTGGATAATGACAAGATCATCATTTCTAACTTGGTATGTTGTTTGTCAGCCTCGATTCACATGCCTTTAATGATCTGTGCAATACTAACATCCCTCTCAGCCGGCTGATATTGACGAATCGTCAATCAAGGTATGTTGAATCTCGTTCAGCGAACACGGTTTCGGCGAGAATCAATCGAAAATATAAGCGCAATACGTTGCTTGTTCCACTCCTCCGACTTGGTCGCACGTTCCTCGTGCGAGAAAGCTGGATCGTACATGATTCCCAATAAGAGGAATCATGTCAGACACTCCCTCGCGAGACCAAAGCTAGGCCACACCAGCACGCTTTTATTTGTGTGCTTGGGTTTCCATTTGGTGATGCGTATATAGGCTGTGGCTAGGCTTCGCGGGGTTGAGTGGTATAGTTGCGTGGCTCATTGAGCGTTCTGCATCCCTTTGCCTCATGCTTCTATACACAACTAGGTCGACGTTATGTCTTGACCTTGCGCTGGTAGCAACATTGTGCTACCGAAGAGCGCTGCTGCTAATATTGCAAGATATATATGGGTTCGGATGGGTGCAGGAAGACCTTTCATCGGCCAGATGTCTTTGCACTAAGTCAATTCTCTCAAATTTTTAAGCACGCTATCACGTTTCAATAGAGACGGAAAGATGCTGCAGATATTCGAGATTTAGTAGCGGTGGTGGCTGACCGCGAACGCGCATGGCCTTTTGCCTGCGGAAGACTTAAACGCTTATGGGGAAGCTTCAGGTCCCAATGGACTGCTTCACGACTTGCATGCTGCATTCGTATACCTGGCACGATACAGTTCTCTCGATCGTCATAGCAGTCCTTCTGCGAGTATGATATAGACGACATATCGAAACGCTTCGTTACTCGCCTATATGCTTGATAACTATGAAGAGCATGATGCTATCTCAGATATGAACCGAAAGAGTTCTTGGATCTTTGCAGAGCCTTCAGTGAAGCTAATGCTGTGATTTCTGAGACCTGATTGGTCTTGCTGCTCCATACCGAACCATGCTGGTCGTAACATTTCATGAATGTTATGGCAATTCAGCGATTGTACGATACCCAAATGAGGATCTACATGTTTTTCGATAACTTTACTCCCAATATTGATCTGCTGATTGCACTCGCGATTGATTTGGGATGTTGAGATTATACGAGAATGAAAGTGCACTAGATGGACGTGCATCCGTCTGTGTAACTCGTGCATTCGTCTGTGTAACTCCGGGGAAAATTTTGGACTTGTGTGGATGCAAGAAGCGGAACGATTCAGTGAACGACGCATCTCCAGCGGTGCACGCCCACTCCCGAAACTCATTTCGACTTACAGCGGTCGACTGGGACTAACTTTGCAGCAAAATTTTCGATTGACTCGGACCGCCACCGTTTTACTTACTATTCTGATATGATATTTATATTTTATGATTTACTAGGAATACTTTGCCCATGAGATTGGTCCTGTCAAGAAGTGCAGTCTTGCCTTCAACAAGAACGGAAAGTCCATTGGCGTTGCCACCATGGTTTTCAGCAAACACGGCGATGCCAGCCGCGCTTTCAAGCGTTTCAATGGAGTTCCTATCGACAATGGAAAGAAGATCCTCTCCGTACGTTTTATGTTTACTTTTATCCGTTTTGGGAAACATCGAATTTGACTAACGAAGTTGTACCAATCCAGATTGAGCTTGTTGTGGACCCCAACAGAAAGACCCTGGCCGACAGAATCCAGGCCAAGCCCGAGGTTGTAGCTGCCGCTGCTGCCAAGTCCAAGCGTGGAAAGAAGGGTCCTGCCGCTGCTGTTCCTGCTGCTGGTGCTGCCACTCGCGGAGGCCGCAAGGGACGTGCTCGCCGGCCAAAGAAGACTGTCGAGCAGCTCGATGCCGAGATGGCTGACTACTTTGTCCAGTCTGGCAGCGCTCCCGCTGCTGCTGGAGCCGCCCCTGCCGCTGCTCCTGCCGCCGCTGCGCCTGCCGTCGATATGGGTGATATCCCCATGTAAGGCGTGTTCTTTTTTCGAGAACAAATGGTTTTTCGTGGGTTATGAATGGGTAGTATCCAAGATGGTATCGCAAGACACTCTGGAATATGTATAAGGTTGTTTGCTTGAGGGTTTAATTGTATTGTTATAAATTATGAAATGAATATTGGCACATGGCTTTGTTAAATTATTGCTCTTCATCTATGTAGATAATTGTAGATTTTCTTATGCGTGTAAGATCTCTGAATCAAAAAGTGAAGAATTCGCTCGATCAGGAATAGTTATATTCTGAAAGTAATTAAGAAAAGTTGTAGCAGATGGGATGCAAAATACCACCAAAACACTAGCTCAATTGATTAAGCATTCAAGAAGACGGAAAGAGCCAAAAGAGGAAAGAGAGCCAAAAGAGCTAGATAGCCAAAAATGGAAAGAGATAAATAATCCCGAAACGGAAAAAAAACTGTTACACAAATGGAGCGATGGAGAAAAAAACAAAGAGAATAAACAGGAAGAACGAGGAACAAACGAGAAGAAAAGGGAAGAGGAAAATGAGAAATGGAGCAAGCTATGAGCAGGTAAGCAAAGACTTTGGAAAACAGATTGAACCCACGCACACATACACATAGAGGCCAAAAGAGGAGAACACGAAACAAAGAAAAAAAAAACAATAGATGGAATGAGGAAATAAACAAACAATATGAGCTCCTACAATTAAAACTCCGCAAACAGAAAAAAAGAAACAGAAACTCATAATTTTCCGAAAATGAAAACAAACAGGAAATTAGTTGATCATCTCGCTCTCGAGCTGGTCCAAGTACGCTTTGACAATACCCTCGCACTCGTCACCGACGTCGTCGCCGATGCGCCACATACGCAGCCTGATCCCGTTCGGGAGCATCATTCTCGCGCGCGCGACGCGCTTCTTCCACAGCGCGAGCTTCTTGTCGAGCGGCTCGTTGTCGCTGTTGCCGCGGCCTTGGCCGATGCAGGCGCGGTAGGCGTAGGAGGCAATGTCTGATGCGTGCTGCTTATTTCCTGCGGCGGAGGCGACGGCGGCGCCGGCGACCGAGCGCGCGATGTCGGCTGGGCGTGGGGGGAGAGGTGGTTTGTGGTGGTCGGACTTGTCGTGGTCGTCGGAGAAGGTGACGTCGCGTTTCTTGGGCGGGGAGGAAGTGTCGGCGCTTGCGTCGGATGCTGCTTGATGCTGATGCTCTTGCTGCTGGATGCTGTTGTAATTAGGTGGGTTGGCGGTCGAGGACTTGGCTGCCTTGATGCTGGTCGAGAGGCTGCTTATGTTGCCTTGGCTGGCAGACGACGAACCGGTGGTGCCGTTCAGACCGGTGGAGTTCGTGACGTGGGTAGATGGCAGCTTGCTTGCGCTGCCTTTCCCAAGCAAGGGTTGCTGCTGCTGCTGCTTGCCGCTCATATAGCTCGGCATCTCTGGCGACTCGGGCGAGCCACTTTCAAAAGTCGAAGAGTACTCTGCTAGTCGTGCGGCAAGCGGAGAGACCGAGGACGCAGCAGACGACGAGAGTAGATCGCAAGTCGCACCGCCGGTTGGGCCAGTAGGATATGTAGGCTGCGGAGCCACGAGCTGTACAGGCTGCGACTTCAAACTGCTGGGCTTCTTCGGCACCTTTGGCGCCTCGTGGGCTTGCTGTTGCTGCTTGATACTTCCGCCTGAAGGAGTGGGTGTCGAGTTCCAAGCTGTACTTGTTGGCCCTGGTGGCGTTGTGATTTTGTTGCTTCTCAGATTCGCCGGCTTCGGCATCAATGGCGGCGGAGAGTGCGGACGGTTGTAGTATCGGTCAGCGTCGCCTTTACCGCCACAGCACCAGCCAGAGTCGTCGACAAGTAAGTCATCGATCTCGTCCGGTCGAGGAACAGAGCTGGTGAAGAACCCGTTTAGTTGAGACATAGTACAGGCATCGTCGTCATCTGAGCACATCGTCGTCACATCTCGGATATAAATCGCAAGAACTTGATCGGGGAAGTTACACGCAAGATTGACATATGCTTCCAAATCCATCTCGCCTGAATCACCGACCAAGATGAATTTCCGGTGCGGGAAATCAGCCAGGATCGACTCGAGATTAAACCTCTTTCGCTCAACAGCAGGTTCGAGAAGTCCGTAGAGGAAACCGTTGTAATGCTTCAGATGCATTGAGCCTCCCGGGAGTCCAGCGCGCCGAAGAAATTTGGAAATCGAGGGGAATAGTTGCCATGGCGAATTGGAGACGTAGTGAATCGGACATCCCATATCACTTAGACGCTGATACCAGCTGGCGACTCCCTTGATTTCCAGCTCGCTGTAGTCTTTAACAAATACGTTTCGAAATATACCCTTCTTCGCACCTATATATAATTGACAATTAGAACACCAATCATTGTTTAGAAAGATACGGCATGTAGCACAAGAACTCACCCGTGATTCCAGTGTGCTTGATCGTATCATCAACATCACTGATAACACTGACGCCGAACGGCTCAATAACCTTCACTTCCTGAACAGTGATCAAATCATCGCCGCACTCGACGCAAGAAATCGACGGCTCATAATTCAAACGCAATCGGACTCCGAAATGGCCACTATCGGCAGTGAACACATTATAGGTACTGTACTCCTCTGTATCGGTTGAGCCGACGTTGATCGTGATAGCTTCGTATGAGATAGGCCGCGAAATAAACGGCGCGATTCGTTCTTGCATGGTCTTCTCCGCATTGTAGACGGACGGGAATGAAATGAGATTAGGACGAGGCGGTAAAGGAGGAGGTGCTGCAGCCTGATCCTTGGTGGCTTTGTCCTTGCCGTTCGAACTTCTTGCAGGGCTCGCGCCAGAAAGCGCTTGGAATCCACCGCCGCTTCCATTCATCGAGAAGGAACGAGACAAGCTCAAGATCGAACTGCGGCGAGTGTAGTCAGGGAAATAAGAGCCTCTGCTGACGGATGTAGGCGATGACAGAGGAGCGTTGTCGGCGTTTGCGGCGACAACCTCACTGTTGTGGCCTGCGATCGAGGTCATGGATCCGTTTGCCTGGTTCGAATAGAACGACTGCTGGCGACGGATGTCGTTACCGCTGATAGCAGGACGTACGAGAGGAGGTCGGCCGATGGAACTCCGCGACATTGAACGCGCAGGCGAGGCACGTCTGTCGACAACCACGGTCTGGTGATGATTCTCGATAACCTCTTCATCGTCGTCGCTTGACGAAAAATAATCAGACTCCGTATCGGATTCGAGATTGATGAGATAGTTTGTGCTTCTCTTCCCCGAAGGACTCGAAGACAGTAGAGGCTGTCGCTCGCCAACCAACGTCGGCTGGACAAAGTTCTTGTTGTTGATCACAGCACCGGAGATGTCGTCGGGCCTGATACCTCGCGCTTGTTGCGCGGCAGATGAATAGGTATCTCTGCGCGGCGAGGACGAGAAAGCCCGGTTACCAGGGGAATGGGAATATGAGCGAGCAGTGCGCGAAAACGAGACCGATCGGTCTGTCTTTGGAGCTGAGCGCGGGATCATTACCGCCTCAGATACAGGCGACGAAGAACGGTCGTATCGGTTCCCGATCTGATTGAATGAACCGCGTCTGGACGGAGACGGGGATCCGCGATCGCTTGGACTGTTTGATATCACAGAGCCGACGCTGATGGAAGAGGTGTTTTTGGGTATCGACGAATATGTCCTTGCGCGAGCAGAGTTACTCGAGCTGCCGTAGATAGACGACGCTGGACTGGAGGTGCCGACAGTCGCTGCTGACGAAGCATCTGAATCAGCAGCTTCCGCAGCAGACACACCAACCAGCTGTCGCACGACGCTGGTGAATATCTTGTTCTTTCGAGTAGCGCCTCCGGGTGCGTATACCCAGCCACGAATGTCGATTTCGACAAGCCCGTTGTCTAGCCGACGAGCATATGAGGGAAACATAACGAGCTTCTCGCCGTTCTTATCGGTCAGCGTCTTCGCTTCTGACACGCTAGGTGCAGCGCTACTGCTCCCGTTCGTGCTGGTCTCATATTCAGATTTCGATTGCTGCTGCTGGCGCTGCTGCTGTTGCTGCTGGCTGGCGCGCGCAAATGTGGTGAACGACGAGGTCGACATGAGTCTGTAAAAATTCGGTGCCTTAGAGCTCCCAGCCCCTGCGCCAGCTCCACGAAAATCTCGGCTTCCATCCTGTCGCTGGCGCATGAGCTGGGTGCGCTGTTGATTCAGCAGACGCTGATATTGATCAAACTGCTCTTTCTTTTGCTGCAGATAGCGCGCCACCTTCTCGCGCTTCGAAGGCGGAGGGTCAACGGGGATGACCGCCTGAAGCCCGCGAGGAGGAGCAGGCGAGAGGCAAGACATGGCGCAGAGATAGGAGATGTGGGGAAAGAGACCTGGAGGGACAAGGAGGGAGGTGAAGAGGGGGTGCACTTTTGCTTGCGGGCTGTTCGTGAAATGGTGATTTCAATACGGTCGGGCCGACAGCGAAAGTCAAAATCGAGCTGTTGTGGTGTTGATAGTACAAACTTATCAGATGTATATTTCTGGACGGTCTATACCACAACAAGAGCAGCTAAGGTAGGCCTGTGCACGTGCAGACAGGATACGGCGGAATCGCGCCCACTCGCTGTTGACTCTTGAATCCAGGATGCAGTCTGAGATTCGACGAGCTGCAGTGATCCGAGATGGTTGTTTATACTACGTTCTATGATGTTTGGGGCCGTAGAATTTAGAGGTGTGCTTCCAAAAAACCTCCAACGAGGACCGCGCAGGGGACATCAGCTGCCCAGGATCCACCACAGACGCCCGGTCCCCACCTGGCGCACCTGTCGGTCGTGTGAGCTGAGCTGAGTCAAGTCAAGTCAAGTCGGCTGTGGTGGCATGACCTCCGGTAGCCTGTCCGTCATCCAGCTACAGTCGAGACGCAACCACACGCAACAGCATCCGCAAGAGACTGGCTGTGGCGATCAGTGGACGCGATAAACAGAAGACTCACGCCGATAACAGCAAATGAGCCAAGATGATCAAACTTTTTGTTTGTGTTGAGTGTTGAGCGCACGCTATGGCCATTTTATAGACCCACGCTCCTTCTTGTCTGCTATCGCGCAATCGGACTCGAGGTAAACGTCTACGAGCAATATTTCAATAAAGATAAAATAGCATTAATAACATAAAAACCAAATGATAAAAAAAATCTAGGAAAGAAATATAAATAACGAATGATGCTACTACTGTTCTTCAAAACCGTCTCTGCCCGCCGTGATAATTAAGGAAAAGCAAACAAAGGAAACTACAGACAAATAGATAGACAAAAACCAACTCATACGCAAAATTTCAAATGTCTTATCTAATGATGATCGGCAGTGGGGGGAGCACCGATGCCCTTGACCATACCGTCAGCGACAGCAGAGGTGGGAGTCCATCCTCCGATCGAGACAGAGCCTGCCCGGTCCTCAAACTGCTCAAACTTCTTGAGGATCTCCGGTCGGAAATGTCTGACGAGACCCTGGATAGGCCACGCAGCGGCGTCACCGAGAGCGCAAATCGTGTGTCCTTCAATCTCCTTCGTGAGCTCGATCAGCATATCAATCTCACGCTCGGTACCCTGGCCGTTCTGGAATCGGTTCATCACTTTGCTCAACCAGGTAGTTCCCTCACGGCAAGGAGTGCACTGTCCGCAACTCTCGTGCTTGTAGAAGTGGGCGAATCGCTGGATCGCACGAACGATATCAGTAGACTTGTCCATAACAATGACAGCAGCGGTACCAAGACCGGACTGCACGTCACGCAGAGCATCAAAGTCCATCAGGACGTCCTCGCAGATGTGCTTGGGCAACACAGGAACCGACGCACCACCGGGAATAACTCCAAGGAGGTTATCCCAGCCACCACGGACACCACCGCAGTGCTTCTCCAGCAGCTCCTTCAGAGGAATAGACATCTCCTCCTCGACTGTGCAGGGCTCATTGACGTGTCCAGAAATGCAGAAGAGCTTGGTACCCTGGTTTCGCTCACGGCCAAAGGACGCGAACCAAGAGCCGCCGCGACGGCAGATAGTGGGCGACACAGCGACGGTCTCGACGTTGGTGACAGTGGTCGGGCGACCAAAGAGACCGACACCGGCGGGGAAAGGGGGTTTTAGGCGAGGCTTGCCGGCCTTGCCCTCGATCGACTCAATCAAACTGGTCTCCTCACCGCAGACGTAGGCTCCCATTCCACGGTGGATGTAAAGATCGAACGAGTATCCGGAACCACAGCAGTCCTTGCCAAGATATCCAGCGGCGTAGGCCTCGTTGATAGCAGTCTGCAGAGTCTTGGCTTCGTTGTAGAATTCGCCTCTGTAAAATAAAAATGAGGTCAGCACGTGCATTGAATGAAGCAGAGATGCTCAAAAAAGACTGTAACGCACCTGATGTAGATATAACCAGCAGTAGCGTTCATTGCGCGGCCGGCAACCAAGCATCCCTCGACGAGCTTGTGGGGATCCTTTCTGATAATCTCGCGATCCTTGCAAGTACCAGGCTCACCCTCATCCGCATTGACAACCAAATACCGAGGGCCCTTGTTGTTTTCCCATCCGGGAGGGTTCATGAAACTCCACTTCAGTCCGGAAGGGAAACCGGCACCTCCACGGCCTCGGAGGCCAGAGGCCTTGATTTCGTTGATAATCTATAGGCACGACAGACAAACAGTTAGACACAGCTGAGATTTCGAGACGCATGGCGTTACACGTGTAAAAATGAGCAAAAGCGTACCCAGGTATCGCCCTTGAGCAGGATCTCCTTGGTCTTGTACCAATCGCCCATCCGTTCAGCCGACTTCAAGTCCTTGCCGTACGAGTCGTACAGGTTCTGGAATATCCGGTCCTGGTCCTTGAGCCCGCCATAAGTTCGTGTGCTGTTCATTCGCTTGCCCGCCGAGGCCATGGCGGCCGCGGTCTTGCGCAGCGACGCGGATTTCGGGACCGCGGCCGAGCTCATCTGCGAGACGCACCGGGCCGCTGAGGATCGAGTAAGGTGGTACATGATTTTTGAATTGCGAGGCTTTTGAAGAATGTGTCGAATATGAATGACGCCGAATGCTGCCGACAAAAAGAAAAAAGACTACTTTAGATCTGTCAACAAGTTGTCTCTGTTTTCCACCCCGGAAGGTCGATATGGAACCGCGAGTCTATCGGAAAAGAGAATCACAAGACGTATGAAGAAACACTCCCACGTATCGCGACTGATTCCACGGCGTAAGAACTAACAGCAGACAGAGGCGGCGCAGATAACAGAACGTCTCTTTCGGACCGGGCAGCAGGCTGGAAGGTGGTCTCGACGTCCCGGGAAGGAGCGCAGAAAAACGAGGGTTAGGTGGCGACCGTTCTATGGCGGGGAGCAGCGCGAAGGTAAGCAATTTCGAGCGATTTGAGTGGTCGAGCAGCGGATGTCAGCGCGCGGGTTTAGTGCTGTTTCTGGCCTATCAGGTGCGCCCGGATTCCAAGGCGGTCGGGACCTGAACTCGCAGAGGTTTTGTCGACCGCACAGCAGCAGCACCGCATCCACCGTCAATCACACATAATCCAACATGATTCCCTTTGAGGCTTTGATGCCGTATGCCGTCATCGTTACGGTATGTTCTGCTGGTCCGGAGAGTCTGGCTGTTGGCGCGAGTACTGACCCTCAAATCTTTTCTGCAGATGATTGGAGTTGCTAGTGGAGGCATGGCCTTGGGCAACACATGGCGGCACGAAGGAAAGAAGATGCGTGTTCACCGTGATCACTGGGACAAGATGAGTATGTTTGCAAGAGATGCTGAATTACGGGCTCGCAAGGCAGCCGGAAGACCGAGCAGAGACTGACTACGCATCAAACAGTGATGGAGCGCGACATGCGTCTTACGGGCAAATTCCGCGCTCAGTCGATCGACCCCATCGCGCCCCCCGAGTTTGCTACTTCGAGCACGTGGAAGGCCACCAAACCGTGGGATAGATAAATTCGTTATATGCAAAATCCGACAATTACAACTACTATCAGCTATGCATGACAGCGAGGCGAGGAGCGAGGGGACAAAGAAGAAGATCTGAACGAGCACAGAACAAAAGGAAATGAGCGAGAGAAAAACGAGACATTCAAAGTAATCTGTGCTGGTTTAGTTGGGAGTTTTTTTGGTTTGTTATGATAAAGGACTATTTTACTAGCAGGCGGGTTGGATAAATATTGATCCTGAGTCTATTTGCATCAAGCGTCTGGATGGACTTTTTCGTTATTTTTTACATTATCATCTTTTATTCGCCATCTGTGTTTATGTGTGTACATATACAGCAATAGGAAGCTTTAATAAAGCCAGTCTGGCTGTTGGTATTGGTCGTGGTGCCCCATCGTCATCCTAGAAATGGCATTGCTTGAATGCTACGAATGCACAATTGAGTTGCTATTTCAATCACTGATCAACAGTGACGTAAATATATATTGAATAATATGACGAACATCGGCAAGGCCTCGCAAAGTGAGCAGTGTCATTCGTGCACGGCAGATATATATAAAACAACACCAAGCACTCTTCACATGAACTTTACACCCCTGCTATCCTGCGCACTTTATATACAATTTAAAAACCCCTTGTTACAGAACAACAAAACAAGTTACAGTCAGTGAAACGAGGAATAGCCAAGGAAACAATACAAATGAAAGACTTAAAACAGAAAACACCTTCTATACAGTTGCAGTATCACACCAATCCAACGAAAACACAAATATTTATCATTATTTAACACCGGTTTAGTAAAGCACGAGGTCTCCAACCACTGGCACGCTTTCAAAGGAGTCAGCGAGGAGCAACTTAGTGCTCAAAGTCCTCGTCGTTGGAGTACACGAGATAGTCCATCTCGTTGTCGTCATGCGGAACCTCGATCGGCTTGATGTGACCCGAGGATACGTCGTAGACCATTCCGTAGACTGCGATCCGTCCTTGCTTGAGTGCCTCAACCACAGGAGCCATCCGGCGGACGTGGTGAACCTGCGCGACGACGTTGAGCTCGACAAGACGGTTCAAGCGCGCCTTCGGATCCTGAATTGCCGCGAGCTCGTCCTTGTGCTGCGCGCGCACGTCGCGGAGATGTTTCAGCCAGTGATCAAGAACTCCAAGCGACTTGTTTCCGAGCGCGGCAGCAGCACCACCGCAGTCGTAGTGTCCGCAGACGACGATGTGCCGGACCTTGAGGGTGTCGACGGCAAACTGCACGACCGAGAGTGACGAAAGATCTCCGTACGGCATGAGGTTTGCAATGTTTCGGTGGACAAAGACAGATCCGGGGAGTAAGTCGATGCAGAACTCGCCCACGCGGGAGTCTGAGCATCCGATCCAGAGCACATGCGGGGCCTGACCCTTTGCGTTGCGGGCAAAGAGCGCCGGGTTGGCGGTGTGCATACGCTCGGCCCATGAGCTGTTGCGGGCCATGATTTCCTGCACAAAATCCTTGGTCGGATCAGCGGTGGGATCGATAGCGAGCGTGGGCTCCTCGTCAGGCACGACAGGAGTGGCATCGCTGGGAGCGGTGCTGGTGGACGAGAGTGAGCTCTCGGAGGACTCCGACGGGCGATGGGTGGTCGAGGGGCCAGGTGTGATGGGCTGCGGCAGGTCGCCAGCAGGGGTGATAGGAGCGGAGGTTAGGCTTGCCATGATGGAGGGGATAGGTGAGAGTTCGCTTGCGATGCTGCTGCAGCGGTGAGGGGATTGGGGGAGGTTTTTGGATGAGAAGAGCCTCTTGTAAAGAGGCTGTAAAGGATGCGACAGGGGCGACCGGAACGGCGAGAGCGGGCGAAGGGCGAGTGGGGAAACGAGCTGGCGGGGGCGAAGACAGGATATTTTGGCGGTTGGAACAGAGATGAAGAAGAAGAAGAGGAGGAAGGTGTTGTGCCAGAGGAGGAAGAGATATAAACAGACCGGGTGATTGTGTTGATGTTTCGCAGGCGATAACGGACGAATATATCAGACACAAATTGTTGGTGACCGCGCAGAGATTTTTTGAATTTCGGTGCGGCGCGGTGGGCGGTGGGCGCTGCTTCTCGCTCGCGCTGCTTAAACTGCTCGCCTGCCGGGCCCGCCGCCTCCGACTCCGGTCCGGATCCCGCTGCTGCCTTGAACGGCATTGGCCAACATCCTGACTCTTACTTCGTCGTGGTGGAGAAGTGGTGGCGGGCCCCGGGACGCAGCGTCGCGTCGCTGTTATCTGCGATTGTTGAGTCAACAACTCTCGGAGCAGCTTAAAATAAGGCGCGCTGCCTATTTCCAGCCCGCCGCACGTTCCCGAAATGCCCGGCTCAATTCGTCCCTGAGCAGTGCTATCTGAGCTGGCACCGCGATGTTCTGCGCTGTTGTGTGTGATCGTTACTGGGATGTTTAGTATGCTGGTGTGTTGAAAGGTGATGCTTCTGTAAGCCTTCCCTGTGTCTGTGTGCTGTGTATTAGCACGAGAGGGGCCTCCGGATAGCTACCATCTCTACCCCACGTTCCCCACCCAACCCACCATACGTCATATTTAACCTGCACCTGGATCAAAAACGCCCCGAGAATAATTATTTGCATAGTTCTATTTATCAATGCAGATAAGTAACTGCATAACTGCTGATTTTCAGGCTATGTGCCCCTGTCTTGCGTGTCTTTTGTGCATTCTTGCTAGCTTGCTGTAAACCAGAGATCAACCGAAGCTCGTTTGGGCTCTTTTGTAGATATCCAGAACCGCGAAAGTGGGCGCTCGATTTTCGTTGATACCAAGATCTTCTTTGCCTCTATCTGATCAGTGTCAAGTCTGGCGGTTATGCTATTTCGAACACAAGAATTGGTAGTTGGCATTTATTGCTGTTTGTACCGACCGGGTCGTTGCGGCAGGCGTCATTCGTTAGTATAATTTTTTTCCAGGTAGAGCCTTCTAACTTGTCGGTACATGGAGGGCTTGATTGAGTCGAAACAAAAGTGAGATATCAATGTTGACAGAATAATATATAGGCAATTACAGTCCGAAGCAGTAAGTCCCGGACTGGCAATTGCGACGGACAAGATTTGCTTTAATGATCTTTCCCGTAATGTAGCCCTTTCCAATGCTGTTGATATACAGTGGAGTTGATCGGTTGGAAATAAGTCTGAAGCATCAACGCTCACAGACTCTCAGATATTGAGAATTGCAGCTCGAAGAGGTAGTCGTGGTCGGGCAATTGCAACAGAGAAGACTCGCTCCAACGAAATTCCCAAAACATAGCTTTCTACTCTGTTTTGGCACGCTGGCTCGCCGCGAGCTTTTGATTCGAAATACAAGCACAGGGATCATGTTCAAATGAACAGGGAAACAATAGTTCGTAAGGTATGTTCAGAGAGCACGTCTGTTGCTGTAGCATGGGTTTGTCGAGTCATTGTGTATATTTCGAAAGCTGCGTAGAAGCTCCGCAAAACTGATCAAACCGACTTGCTAGCATTAGTGAACATAGAACAGCATCTCAAGTACCCGCAATGCTACCGTGCCCCTTGTGCATCACCAAATATATGTAAATCGTCGAAATCAGTGTCCAGATTATTGGATAACAGGCCCGTTCTTCGCGGATAGATCACTGCTGCGAACTCGGTTTGTTATGTCCTCGCTTGACCTCAAATCTCAACACTATCAACAAAGTTCAGAGGAGAGAGATATAGATAGAGAAAAAGATAAGACCGCTGGCCGCAGAAACGAAGCTGCAAAAATGGAGCGAATTCTGCTCGGATGACAAGAATGGGATGCGCAACTAGACTGTCTTTTCCGATCAGAAAGTCAGAGATCAATAGTTGTCTTCAAGTCGTTCTCCACAGTACTCAAAACAGCAATCAAAGATAGCATTCTGTTCTAGAAGTATTCTGCAATATCGATCGACATCTCTCGATCGCTCGATTTGCTATCTCTCACCCGCGGTCTCCTCCGTCTCTCCTCTCGCGGAATCTCGCTAACGGCTGACCATCCAGGCTAGTAGTATTCCGAGATCTAGTGATCCTTCTTGGCTTCTTCCAAGAACATTCCATAAGAGGAAATCTTCTCTGTAAATCATTCACTCAGTCGAGTCGTCTTCCGTATCATATCTTTGCTCGCGCACGTTCTGGCCTAAACTTTTCTTTCGTACCAGAGGACCCTGTACCTTCCGTGCACGAAGGAATACTTCGATCACAAGTCCAACCACAGCACGTGCTGCTATTTCTGGTTGTCTGGCACTGGACCGGAATTCTAGATCTCGAGATCAAACCTCATCTTCTCAAGCAAAAATTCGACTTTGTGAATCTCTTATACTCGCCAATCATCTAGAACACCTGAGGAAGCAATGTTTTCGTTTCTCGAATTTCCGCTGAGTTAAGGTTCATCTGGCGCCGCCGGCGGAAGTCGCCGGTGGAAGCCGACACCGGTGGGAACGAAGCTCAAGTCGAAAGAAAGACCCTTAGAAAAAATAAAAAGAGACAAGTGGGAGCACCGAGAAAGTCGCCCTAAAGAACTACCCGAGCTCCCGATTCTGGGATTTCCCTGCCGCTAGTTCGGCAACGGCCGTGAATTTCTTAATTAGTGGGGTTTCGAAGTGGACCCTTCCCTCGCATTCCCTCGCAGCTAGGGCTTTGCGTATGATCTACAAGCGTGTCCCATTTCCATTTCCGCTCTCGCGCGTATCCTGCTAGTCTTTCGCTACTCGCACTAGCACATGCCCATGGAGAGGCTCAAACAAGTGAGTTGACAGCTGCAATTTCTTTTTCTTGGGCTCGGACGCAATCCGAGGGGATGCTAGTTGCGCGCATGCGGGACTCGGACTGGTGCCGAACCGTGGACGGACACATGCGATGCTTCGCGATGCCTTCGAATTGTCTCAGCCTGCAAACCCTCTGGTGCGTCCTATACCATGGTAGATTATAGAATCTTGTTAAGATTAATGAGACAGCGAAGTCAGGTACTCGGTTTTCGCAGTTTATATCATAGATTGCTGATGCTTTGAGCAGTTAGAATGCAGCGTCAGCAAACATTTTTAACCCACTCGTCTATCGCGCTGTATCGCATTGCCGTGATCCTGCCTCTATCAGAAACCCAGTGTCGCATGTACTGCACGGTGCATCAGTCTCTAGCACTGTGGCATGCGGAACAATTCTGCGGAATGAGATAGAGATTGCTGATCTCGTGCGCTACGTAAGCCCCTTCTCGAAACCTCACAGCCGCCAAAATTCATTGCCCGTTCTCATAATTGTCCACTCCGCCCTCGGATTTAGTGATGACAGGTGGAGTATTGTGACTCGTACGCCTAGCTGTAGCGAGTCCGCTCCCAGATGCATGCTATGTGTAGGCCGGTTTTCGTTCTTTTTCCCTCTTCTGGCATGAACATCTCCGTGGTGCTCCTCTAGGCTCTGCGGGGTCGTGCCAAGAGGGGGCTTGACCGTAGCGCATCGACTCACGAAGCACCACCCTCATCCTCACCAACGACGAAGGATCGAACGAAAATCACCAACAAAAGTACTGACGATAGAAAAGACTAACGGACGGACTAGCGGGCGACATCGAGAGCTTCCAGAACTAGTCAAACGTTCCATATTAGTTTTTAATCCTCAGACGCAGATAATTCCACCCAAGATAAAGGTCAGCTTGGTCGATCTTAGTCTCGCAGACGTACCTTTTGCAGCCCATCAGTCCACCCGTCAACGGCTCTGTTTATCTGATGTTTCGGATTCACTTTCATTCCGCTGATAATTTCCTTTCCAGTCTTTAATGGTGTACTTCTTCATGCTTCGTGTGTGCGAGGGAGGCAGCGAGACCCTGTGAAATTCAAGCTCAGAGAGAGTTGCCATGTTGTCTCACGAACACCCTCGCATCAGATACCGAGAGCTGCTGTCAGAAAGCCTTAATTTTTAGTCTCTCACGTGGGTCCTGTAGAACTGGATAACGGATTATTTGCGACTTGGAGCCGTACGGCGGCTCATGTAGAAGCGCCCACCTGGGCTGCTAATTGTGCAATCGTAAAAGGTAGTTAGCAATCTATGAGACATTTTCTTGGTGGGGTTTGATTCAGGTGGAATTAGTGATTGGGAGGCTTTTGGTGGAGGGGTTGTGCGCTGATAGGCTGTCCCGAGACGGTCTTGAACTGGAAATAGTAGAGACGAAGAATCGACTTGATGTAAATTGACGGATCAGGATACCCTTCAATTAGTTCATATGTATTCAAATGCTCCGGGTAACTCCAAACAGTCTTTACGCGGGATTATCAGAAGATCAGCTAAATGTATAGGGAAGTAGCATCTAGATTCTTAGATACTAGTCCCACGACAACAACACCGACACCGACCCATCAGCTGCAACTCTCGATACTTTTTCGATACTACTCTTGGCTAATTTCCTTAACCATAAAATATCTATATCTGCTGCGTACGATCAAAAGTCTTTTCTGGAGATACTTGTTCGACTGAGACGATGC